ATGATAAATATAAAACTACTCTTCTATAAGTAAAAGTCCTGCACTCAAAATTAGATTTTTACAATTATCTTCGTCAGGTGAAACAACCGCAGGATCATGCTTTTGGTCGTGTGTGTGTGTGTGTGTGTGTGTGTGCCTTACATTTTTTGTGTACACCAATGACTGTATGCTGAAGGACCTCTTGTATTTGTGGTGATTCACAATTTTTTTAAAATTTTATTGACTGAGCCTGTTGTTAACTTGAGACTTTAAGCTTTTACAATACGCGTTACGACATAGCCAAAGGCAATTCCAGCAATCAGCTATAGGCTAAAAACATGGTTTACAGAGTCAATTGCCACATTTTGGCCTTTTGTCGTGGCTCACAAACTGATATTCATAGAAAAATTTGGTCTCATCTTGGAGTTATGCACAATACAAAATGAATAAATCCCTTTTGTGTTATCTTCACCACCATCTTGTCATGCAACAAGGAGGGACAATTGAGTGAGACTGAATTCTTCTTTGTTTGGAGGGGGAGAGGGAGGTAGGGAAGAGTTTTATTTTGTGTGTTTTGTTACAACAAAATGTTCTAAATAATTTAATGTTTATTGTTTTTTTTATTAAGTTTATACAGTTAGGCAAATCCAGGACGCTCAGTTACCATTACACTTTACTATACATCTTAAAGAAAACTATACTAAACTAACACTTCTATATACTACAACATACACTATACTGAAACACTTTCTCCCCATCTCTCCACTATTCTCGTGCATTTACGCTGGACACACAGCCAGGCCTGCACTTCCTGTTCCCCAATTGGTCGAACTAATTACATTATAGTTTTTTTGTAAAAAAGTATTTGCTTCCTTGACTGAATGGCACAGAAGGTAATAGCACCTTTTATATAGCTGCAAACAAGCTCTGGTTTTCATTATATTTATTCAGTTGGCCTATAAATAAAACTGAGCTGTAGGTTTCATTTCTGTTGTTTTTTTGTGCACTCCTCTATCTGCTTCATCACCAGATACAAAGCACTGTAATGTTTTGCTGTTATTCTCTCCAGGGAGAATGGCTAAGTGCATGTACAACTACCCCTCCTCTCTTTGTCATGCGGGGCACGCTGACATTTACTCGATATGGCTATGTTGTTCTTTAGTGGTTTAGGTATAGTGGCATCTGTGAGCTTGGACTTTTGTTGCAGCGGAGAGGGAGGGAGAGTCCAGAAAAGGGGTGGGATGACAGGAAGACAAAGAGCTTCACAGAGATTTACAGCAAAAAGGTTGAGGCAGAGAATAAGAAAGAGAAAACCCTAAACCTGGCACAGCAGCCTCAAACACACTTTCACTTTTAATCTTTTAATCCCAATTAATCAATCAAACATAATAATAATAATAATAATAAAAATCCTTGGATCTAGTTTTAATGAACGTAAACCTGCAATATAAGCACACAACACGCATACAAACATGTATTTTTACTTTGTAAGCAGCTTTGGAGAAGAGCACCAAATGGCATATTTTATGTCCTGTGGGCACATCTGCTCTTTACCAGGAGAAACCATTGCATGTATTTTCTATCCATCACATGTGTAACACAAAGAAAAATGGGGGAGGAACAGATAACTAATATGACAGTGATGAGTTTGCACAGTGGGAATAAAAACCCTCCTGCAGCATAATCCACCTTTTCGCTGTCCATATTTATGTTCAAAACACTTACATTCCTCCTAAAACGTGTGACTAAATACACTGCTCAGTTTACATGACATACACTGACTAGACAAAACAAACATTATAAATAAATTTTTTAAAGGGATTGGTGTAATTTCAGGAAGGAAGTGTAAAATGCTTATACAGACACATAGTTTCTTTTAGCTATAGTCAGAGAAAATTAGTAAAAAATCTGCCTAGGAGTCTACTAAAAACACAGTTCATATTTGTTAACTGCCAAGTTTTTCTAGCACGAGAGGACAAGGAGTTTAAATTTCTACCCAGTCTGCTGATTTTTATGTCTGCTCTGAATTTTTGGATACCTCAAACACAAGTGTGCAGTGCCTGAAGCATATTGTTTACACCAAGGGCCGTATTCAGAAAGTCTCTTGTCTTACGTACATGAAATGAGAAGTATTGACTTAAATACATTGTATCTCTGGCAATAAAAAACCATCAGCATATGATGGTTTGTCCAGCTGCCAAAATAACAATTGATGTGATCATTTTACAGTGATGGCCATGAAATCGCCTGCATTTATATATGCTATTAATTTACACTATTTATTTATTGCATTTATTATGAAATGTGCATAATGAACTGTCAAATTGGGGTCTAAATAACGCATTTTTGCTTGAATCAGCGCTGCAAGCTGAATTCTTACAGTGTCCAAGTAGTGCTAACTGTCATCTGTGCTGTTATTGGATTGTTTCGATTTGTTAGAAAAGTTTATTATCATTGTATTTTAACAAAACACTGACATGCCTCTTACTTCTCTCTGAATTAGGAGCTACTTTTAGTGCTGAAATGTTTTGTGAATTACTTTGAGACTAAAAACTGAGGGTTCTTATCCCTTTCATGCATGGTGTCCACATTTGTAACAGTTATTTTAACTCCATTTTGGGTTACTATATCATGGTTATGTTCTCCAAGTCATTTGAGGGCAGTGTCAGTTGATTGATAGCAACATTGTGCAACAGTGGTTACTCAAGGTAAAAAAATTCTTTTTAAAAGTACAGTAAAGTATTATTAACAGGTTTATGTTTTTTAAAACATGTTAATAAATTTAGAGTAAAATATAGTTTTTATACACCAAAAACCAACTGTACACGTATGTGGACGTCATGCAACAGTGGAGTCACATTGCATTAAGTTTGATTTCTGTAACCAGCTAGTTTAAATTCAAATTCAAATTACCTTTATTGGCATGAATGTATAGCAACAATATTGCCAGAGCTACAAGGACAATTCATTTTATACATTTCATTAAATAAGGAAATAAAACAGAAAAGTTGTGTTCGTATGTGTTAATAAAAATAAAATAATAATAATTTAAAAATATATAAAATATAAAGATTCCATAAAAATAGATATTAAAAATAAAAGTAAATAAATAAAACAATAAGTGTAAGTGTGTGTGTGTGTGTGTGTGTGTGTGTGTTAGAAAATGAAAATAAATAAATAAAATAATAAGCATGTGTGTGTGTGTGTGTGTGTGTGTGTGTGTGTGTGTTAAAAATATATATATCAAAAATTAAAATGAACTAAGTAATGTCACAGTAATGTGCATGCGTGTTATTATAATAATATATTAAAAAATAAATGTGTGTGTCAGTGTATATTAATAGCCAAAAAAAGAATTAATTAGTCAAATTTAAAAAAAACTTTTAAAAAAACAGTATCAAATGTGGGATTTAAAAACAATTACTAAAATATCAAACAATCATAATATTAATAATAATTTGAAAATTAGTATATTATTTATCACTCTGAGTTTCCATTGGTTGTCCTCAGTTAATGGTATGAGGAAATATATTTTGCAGCAATTACATTTGGGCATTTTCCCCAGTAAATAGGGGAGTTTCTCTATTCTAATTTGTGTGATCAGTTGTATAATATTATAATAAAACAGACATTTAACAAATATATGATCATTAATAACAATGCAAATGTGCATATTACAGCATTAAATTGCAACTTTTGACTGCTTTGGAGCCTTTCCACAAAATAAGAGTAAGTATTATACTCACATACTGTTTTAACTAGTTTTAACATAAACTATGTAGTTACATGTTGGATGTTGATGTGCTAAAACTGAGATGATTCAACATTAAGCTAGATAAGGATAACAACATGCTACTGGCTTTCAGTACAGCAATCAATACCCCTGTGGGTGTTTTTCCTCTATTTGTTCCTAAAATTTTCTTTTTATTGTTAATTTTCAACTATTGAGCATAACATGACATAAAAACATACTATTCCATACTTACAGGTGTGGCATTTTCTTCTTTGTTGCATGGTGTCTACAGACGTGGACTGTTAAATAATTTAAAAACAAAACAGAATTTTGAAAATAAGAATCTGAGTAATAATATCAATCTTTAAAAAATCTAGATAATATTTTTAATAATTCATGCATGAGAGGGTTAAAGTTAAAGTAATGGCACACATTATTTTTTAGGAGTTTTACCCACGTTGTCCACTGAATAGCTACTTTTAGATTAGCAGGATTCTTTGTTCAGGTGAATATCCAGTGCTTTTTGTTAATATGAAAGAAATCTGATATGGATATCAAACTGTTCAATCAGCTCTTCAAATGAAAGCGGCTAAAACTGATGAATATCAGAAAATTGAACTGATTGGAAGTATTTTTGTTATCATCTTGAACATTTCCACTTCTTGCCTCTCAACCCGTACTGTGTGATTTCTTGGTAAGTTTAGAAGTTATTTTTATCCTCTGGTTTTAAGCTGTCAATGTCAGAGACAGGCGAGATGAGAGAGAAAAAAAAATTTTACTCTCCGTCTCCCACCATCCTTTGAATCATCAGAGATTTTATTTTGAGCTTCTCTTTTGTAAAATGCTCTGATGCCAAGGACAGGTGCTGCATCAATCATGAATGGGAGGGTGCTGTTATTTATGGACTCCATAGGTTTCTGCTGCAAGATTATTTGTGCACTTTAAACACTCCTAATTAAATTGGGAATTTTGCGGCGCCTGTTTCATATTTTCCCCCATGTGAATCATGAATCTGAATTTGTTTCAGTGAACCTGTGTGGTGAAATAGGGGCTTAAAGGTGTCAGATGAGTTGTGTGAAGTCAGTCAGAGTTTAATTAGATGTGTGAACTGCCTTTCGCCTGTGGGGATGTGTTTAATGGTTACATAGGACAAGAACACAAAAGCAGCAATGGCACCTGTCCTCGCCACCTTTCTCGCTGTCCTTTACATACATGTGCATGTGTGTCTTATGTCTATAAATTGCGTGCCAGTAAAGATATATCATTAATTTATGTGTGTGTGTTGCAGGGCGTCGGGCGCGATGGCTAATGCCTCCCCAGACCTGGACAACGCGGAAGCCCAGCGCCAGCTCAACAACAACAATCGACCAATCGGCTCGGGGTTCTGGGAGACGGAGTGTACCAGCTCCAAGCTGTTTGAGTGTTCTCGCATCAAGGCCCTGGCAGGTCAGAAATCACACAGACCAAAACACATGCTTACTCACATCCAGCCTGTATCAGTGGGTGTATAAATACACCTACATTAAGTATGTGGTATTGATTCTTTGGTTTTTTGAATTTAATTTTAAAAATGTTTTATCATGACTAAGGTTTGCTTTTTAGACAATCAGTACAGGTCAAAAATCACAAAAGAACAATATTTTTAGTTGGTTGCCACACCAACTAATATTTACACAGAATTCAGATCTCATATTTTGAAAAGTCTCATCAGGTAAAGCATCTCAGAAGATAAGAAGGCTGAAGGCACAATTTGATGTCTATGTTAGCTAATGCTATTCAGTATTATCTTAACTATCCCAATCAAAAGAAAGCAATGTTTTTCACCAGGACTTAGATTGTTCTTCCCTTTCCCATTGACGTAAAGCTAATTGTTTCATTTCCCGCAGATGAACGAGATGCGGTGCAGAAGAAGACTTTTACCAAGTGGGTAAACTCCCATCTGGCCAGAGTGTCCTGTCGCATATCTGACCTCTACAACGACCTGAAGGATGGATACATGCTCACTAGACTTCTGGAGGTCCTCAGTGGAGAGTTGCTGGTAGGAATACATGCTCATAATGGCAAATTATGCAATTATAATGGGGTAATTGTAGTCTATATTAATTGATCGATCATAGGAGTGTTAAAGGTGCTTTATGCAGCCTTACTGTACATCAATACATTATTAAGAAATTAGCTGTGTTACCTAGCTACTTCACTACACAGCCTGTAGTTCATTTTTGCAAATATTACATTAGCCACTGTTTCACCGTAAAAGTTTGTATGTTACAGTTATTTTATAATCTTTTGTTAATTACAGATTTTTTGTGTTACTTAACCTACAGTAAGTGTAAACTGGAACTGGTTTTCTGTGGAAATAATTTCTGTGGAGTGCAGCTTTCTACAGTAGTGTATAGAGTGGAACTGGATGTTCTTACTGCCATTACTTTACTTCACTGAGGAGGATAAATTATTTGTCCTCAAACATTCATTCTGTCTACTGTTTTCATAAATTCTTAAAGCTTAAGCTCTACTCCTGTTTTGACTCTTTTTTTTAAAAGTAAATTTGAAGTAAAATCCAAACTGATGGCTGCATATGCTTTTTGCAAAAGTTATCTTTGTTCATGGCAATATGTTAATGCTACATTGATGCTGCATGTCCTACTTTAATAATAAGGGCTTAACTATCAAAAGTAGTAATTAATCCATCTGTTTTACCCCAGCCGAGGCCTACACGGGGTCGTATGCGGATCCACTGCCTGGAGAACGTTGACAAAGCTCTCCAGTTTCTTAAAGAACAGAGGGTTCACCTTGAAAATGTTGGTTCCCATGACATTGTGGATGGAAACCACCGCCTCACCCTGGGCCTTATCTGGACCATCATCCTACGCTTTCAGGTAAAGACAAACACATCTAAAACAACTCATTTTAAAACAGCATTTTATCATAGTGGCCAAGTTTGGGAGATGTTACTTGAAGTGTTACATCTGGTAGAGTCAAGGGTTAAATATTTAATTTAGTTTACTACAGCAGTCCTCGAGAAGCTACTTTGTCAGAAACACAACAGAAGAGGAGCTGGCGTTTCTGCAACCAAACAAACTCACATTGTCATAGTCAATCAAATATAACTGCAACTGCAGTCTGATGTCATGTTGCGCACAGTGTTCCTAGTTTTTCACATAGGACACAGTAAAGTTGGTTACTTAAAGTCTAGTTCACGCTACAGGATTTATACAGGAGCTTGCCGACCGTCGAGCTGTGATCGGGGGCAAATCAACAATCAATCGGCGCTCGCCAATTGCTATGTGGGAACTTCTCAAAGACGCATCGACAGTACTGAGAAGTCTGAGGTGTGCAGGCTGTTACCTGCAGCTCTTAATCCAATAACTCACTGTGGCTGGTTGTTGCATTAATCCTTGCAGTATTTAAAACTGATCCTCAAAAAAAATTGCTGAATCTGACCATGTCTTATCTTGTCTTGTTTAGTTAAGACAGTGGTCTGATATCAGCTGTATCACACGGGGGTTTCCAGCTAATGAAAGTTCACTAGACAAAATGCTAAATAATTGACTAACTTTCAAATATTTGATTCTTCCCGTGGGATCCCAAGGCTTAAATCTGAGCTTCTCTGTTAGTGCACTGAGATGCTGGCCCATGTTGTCATGCTACTTCCTGAAGCACAAGGATGCTGTAATCAGCAGTGGCTTCATTTAGGATGAGCTGCCAGCGGTTCTGTTTGGGGGAGGATGTCACAGCTGCCGCATCATCAGCGTGCGACATCAACAGCAACGTTTGGTGGCTAAAGCCTGAATGTGACTTAGGGCTAGAGGTAGCAGTCGCCTTCCAGTCTGCTCTTCAACAAGGACACACACACACACACACACACACACACACACACACACATTGCACTTGCTCTCTTACATACACACTCTGTCAGTCTGTTAGTATATCTATCTAGTCACACACACCTGAATACTCACGTCCTGTCATGCAGACACACACACATGCAACGGTTTCCAGACCATAGCATGATACAGGAACAGGTCCTGCCATGTAAGTACAGCAGAAGCCCACAGCTCCTCTTTATTCCGCTTCAGTGCTACAGTGTGACTTTGGCAAAACAATGCTTGTTTAGCATTATTCAGACCCTTCTGTAACATTCACAGCGCACAGTTGCCTAGTAGCTGTCTCCTGGGACTCAGTATTGTCATGCAAGGCTTGGCTACCTACCACAGAGCACATTTAACTGCTAGGAGACTGTCGAGTGACCCTCTGAAAGCCAGGCTAGTGAGGATGAAGTAGTGTGTGCAATATGGCTAACTGGATTCATAATTTTAGTGTTAATGTTTTTAGTTCATGGACATCATTGACATGTAAGTGTGCAAGTCAGAGTGTGTGGTCTGTTTTTTATGCAAGGTGTGATAATCTTTTTAAATCATACTTTGAGGGTTTTTTTTGGCCTAACTACATTTCCCTAAATAGTATTATATGAAAGTAAGTAAGTTAGTAAGTCAGGTAATCAGTTCAGTAGACTGTGTAGAAACAAACACAGTTTAGATTTAGTTTCTCATTGTTGCCACACAAAATTATTTAATAGCTGTAGTACAGTGATGCTTATGAAAGCAGCAGTTCATTCAGTCGATGCCTGTTTTGTATTTTGTTGTGATTTGAGTCTAGCTAAGCAGCTTTACCTGTACATTTTAGACTACAGTAGTCTTATCTGACTACTAGCTTTGCAACCATTAGCTGTGAGATTTGTTGTCGTCCCGCTCACCTGCTCCCAAGAGCCACCAGTCGATGGCCTCTTCAATTTTGCATGCGATGAGAAAGGAGAGCAATGCAAAAGACTGGTGTTCAGGAGTGTGTGTGGGTGTGTGTGTGTGTGTGTGTGTGTGTGTGTGTGTGTGTGTGTGTAATAGAGAGAGAGTAATTATGAAATAAGTGAGGACAAAGGGAAAGGATGGTCAGCTTATGTGAAACAAGCAGTGATGTGGTGGTATATAAATTGTGACCTTCAGGCAGTGTTCACCATCAGTGGTCAGATTTCTGAGGATTTGCAAAGGTTAAAATAAAATTCAGATTTTTGGTTTACACGTCTTTTCTCACACCTGCTTTATTTGCCATTATTTGTTATTATTAACTATTACACAGGTTTTATTTATGTTAAGGTTTAATTGTGCTGCTGCCTGTTTTGGCCAGGACTCTCTGGTAAAAGAGATTTTTAATCTCAGTGAGACGTCCTGGTTAAATAAAGGTTATAATAATTATAATAATAACATTATTTAGAATTAGTTGTTTAAAACGGAAACCTGGCAAAAAGACATTTGCAGGTAAGGAGACAAAACAGAAATGAAAACAAAATACACACAGTATCAACGGACCATGGAGAAAGATTTAATTTTGGGGTCTGAAATGAGAAAAGCCATTAAATTATTATGAATACATTTAAAAAATGACAAACACCAAGCTGCACTGCAAAGAAATTCCAATAAAATTAGATTTATTAATCAGATATATTTTGGTTATGTTTCAAACTGGCAATGGCAGCTATTATGCAAGTCAGTCATCTCTATAAATGCAACTAATGTGGAGATAGTGTAATAATTGCATTGCTTGAATATTGAACCACAATGGTTTTGGTCATGTTCTCAGTTTGCATAAGCAGACCTGGCTGCTTATGGAACACATTACTGTTTAAATTACACAGTAGATTTTGTAGACGCATCAGCTTTAGGCCAATAAACAGTTGATTTTACAGTTTGGAAGTGGTCCAGGCCGGGGATTTTTGCCATTACACAACTGGGGTCTTCTTTGGCCATAACTATGGTACTAACAGAGTGTGAGGCTTGATTCCAAATCTGAAGGCGTGTTTATAAAATCAGTAACTTAATTTAATCAAACATTTAAGTGCTAATGTCAGAAGGATAAATTGTATAGGGTTGGCTGAGGTTAATGTTGTCCGGTCGGCTTCCAGTTATCTTTCCGTCTTGCGCTTGTCTCCCTTCATCTCCACCTCTTTTCCCTGTTCCTCCCTTCCTCTGTGGTGAAAGTGAGAGTTTGCTTTGTCCAGTCAGCAGGTAGGGCCAAACCACTGCAGTAACTGCTCACAGGCAGAAAGAGTGGGAGAGAGAGAGGGAGGGACAGAGAGAAAGAGAGGGAGGAAAGATGGGAAAGGATTGACAGGAAAAGGAAGAGGTAATCCTAATGTATTTACAGAACCATACACAAATAATAACACACTGTTATTATTTGCAGTGACTTCATTTATAGTGTTGTATATGGTTGGCTAGGTGTCCTTGTGTTGTTTGCAGTGTGTGTATGTGCATTTGCTTACCTAACAAACTGCCAACTCTCTTGCCGTTTATAATGAGTCTGAATCGAGACACATTGATGTAGCTTCACTGTATATTTGACAAGATATGTAAATTCATATTTTTACTGAATCATATTGCGCTCTTGGGTTATGGTTAAGATGTAGATTGTGTATTCAATATTGGTGAGATGTTCCTAATATTTTATACATTCCCGGTGGGTTTATCTGGCACATTGTCTTATGCATCAAAATGTTTTTTCTTATTGGGTAACAATGGAGTTACCGCAGACGGCTAACTGGTAGTTTTTAACGATTAATGTACTCATTATTTGTGGAATTTTCTCATTAATCATTCAATCAGTAATTCAATCCATCTGTATGTCAAATGTAATAACAAATACTCATTATTTACAAGTTACCAGCCTGTAGAGATGCAGCACTTCTAACTTGTGAAGCTGTGACCAGTTAAAGGGGTATTATGTAGTTTTCAGCAGCCACTAGGGGCACGGTTTTTAGATTGCAACCAGGCATGTGCTCATACATGTGCTCGAACTCATAAGTGAGCAAAATCCGTTCATGAGCTTCATTCAAAGTGCTGTAAACTCAAGTAAACTCCCACTGCAACGTTACAGTAATGTTTTTATCTGCTTGATGTTGAACTAATCCATGCTTGTTACATGATAACGTTACATTGACTGCATTTAGCCGACGTGATACATCGGCGTTAGCTCGCCTGCCGCTTTTCAATAGCTAATATATTTGTTTATCTTTCACCGGAGAGGCTCAGCAATGTGAGCACAGTTAAATATATTGATAATGAAACGGTTAGCGAGCTAGACTGAATATTATAAATGAGATTGTTGCCACACTTTATAACAGTTAGACCGCAGTAACTCCAAATACGATGTCTCTTATGCTGAAATTACATCTAGTGCTAGTTTCCACGTGTGATATTCTATCAGGATAAAGAGACAGACAAATGATTTTAGTGTAATCCCAAACCTCATCTGATCTCTGGTGATTGTGAGCACTTGTGTTCATCTTTTTCGTGCCTGTTCATGCATTTTATTTGTGTGTGTGTTTTTACATGCAAGACTGTGTTTGTGTACGTGTGCACAATTTTGTGGCTAACAACATGGGTAGCAGCTGATTCCAGGGTGTCATGTCCCCAATTACCTTGGATCATGTCACTGTGATGGGATTGGTTGAATAGCTGTCACTGTCACCTATCATCAGGCGTTGTAATGGCCCTGCACTTCCTTGCACTGAAATCCTCAGCTCTTATTGCTCTTGTCTGTTTTTACTTTTAATTCTCTCTCGCTGTGTGTTCATTTGAGGGTTCAGGAATACTCTCATGGTAATGTCACTTTGACCTTTGCTCTAGACTGGTTCCAGACCTCTGACCTCCGAGTTGCCACCCAAATCTCAGTACAGCAATAAGTCTGGTGTTGCTCTCATGGCTGTTTCCATGGTTGGAGAAACACCTGAGCCATTCAGAGCCTTTGTGGGTAGGACTTAATGTGACAGGTGGTAACACTGCCAAACTTTGTCAGAGTTAGACAAATCTTAAACATGCTTACTTTTAACATTTTAATCACGATCTAATCACTGCTTATGATCTATTAAGCTGCATAGTTATAGCCATATCATAAATAGAAAAATTATCTGACTTGAGATTGGAGCATGACAGGTAGCTAATAAGTAAGCTAACTTTGCTAGCTAGCTTACAAATGTTAGCCAGACAGCCTCTGTCACTCACTCCTTCATTGACTCATTCACTGCTCCCTATATAATAGACATTAGCTGTCAGAGATAAATTGAGATTCTGGACATTAAAACAATCATAATTTTTAGCATAATCAATGAAAGGTGTAATGTTGCACAACTATAAGATGCAATGCATTGCATTGTGGGATTGTTAGCAGAAAGTAGTGCACATGTACAATATTTTTCCCCCTCCATTGTAGGAATTGTTGAGGCCACTATATAGTAGCCTACATACATTCACATTTAAAGTTTTGACACTGGATGTAAAACTTTAAACATTTCTGTTGTAACTTTAAATGCCTGACCAGGGACAGGGGTTGCAAATTAGTCATGGCTAGAAACCTGTATGCATGCCATCTACTTTGTATAATGTATAAAGCAAGACTCATGCATTTGTCCCTGTCAAATAAACAAGAAATTAAAAATAATGGTGGACAGTCAGTGCAGTGTACTATGTAATGAATAGGAAGTGATTTTGGACACAGCCTCAACTACTCACTGTTTGCTAAACAACACACTAGTAGACAAAGTCTTCTGTAAGGGACATGGTAAATGACTAAAATGTGAATGTATGTTTCCAAAAAAGAAAGCAGCGAGGTGCATTAAACTCTATATCTGGTCTGACAGAAGCTGTAGGGTCTGTGCTACGGGGTCTCTTCTTCAAACACTGAACTGCTGCTTTGCTGTGTTGTTTCTCAGATCCAGGTGATTAAAATAGAGACAGAGGACAACCGAGAAACTCGCTCTGCCAAGGATGCCCTGCTGCTCTGGTGCCAGATGAAGACTGCAGGGTGAGCAATGAAATGAAAATACAGGAAACTGTGAGCTGTAACAGTGAATTTAATGATAATTTACGTAATGTACCAAGTCAGTATGTCTGTGTTAATACGTTTACATTTACAAAACATTTCTCCATGCTCCAGGTACTCTGAGGTCAACATCCAGAATTTCACCACCTGCTGGAGAGACGGCCTCGCCTTCAATGCCCTCATACACAGACACAGGTAGGTGGTATTTTAAAATCTCGTCTCCATAGCACGCTACTATCTTTAACAAAGGGAAGTTGCACGTTTTACATGATAAAAAAATGTGGAAAAGTTTGCAATATTGTTGTGTTTTGGGTTTTGTAATTACAGAAGTTGTTGGATTTTCCACTTTTTCATGAGTTAAAGTAGTTGGATTTTGATATACAAACATGACCAAAAACAATTGCAATGACAAAAACAAAAAACATGCATATTTATTTAGATTAACAGAGCAAGATGGGGTGGGAAGACATATAATTTTAGGATTAGAGCCTTATATGACACATCATCATCTTTGTCTGCCCTCCAGACCTGACCTGATAGAGTTCCACAAGTTGACACGGTCCAATGCAACCCATAACCTCCAGCAAGCCTTCAACATCGCTGAGCAGCAGCTGGGCCTCACCAAACTCCTGGACCCTGAAGGTAAGAATGTTCAACCGGTTTTGGGTTAATGTCAGTCAAACCACATTACATACAGCAGTATCCATAATAGTGCCATAAAAGTGTTTTTTTTACTCACTGATAAATAGTTACTGTGTGGCTTTATTTATTTGTCTCCACCACCTCCCTGTGGTTCAGATGTGAACACAGAGAACCCAGACGAAAAGTCCATCATCACCTATGTGGTCTCCTACTACCACTACTTTTCCAAGATGAAGGCTCTTATTGTGGAGGGCAAGAGGGTTGGCAAGGTAAAAAATACACACACACACACACACACACAGATACTCAATGAAAGTTGAAGGACCAGCGGTGTTGGAAGCTAAAACACAAGTAGCAATTCATCAAAATCCCAACCTTCTGTCTGACTCAGGTGCTAGACAATTGTATTGAGGCAGAGAAGATCATCAACCGCTATGAGGCTCTGGCGTCCGACCTGTTGGACTGGATAGAAAAGACCATTGCGGTCATCAGCAACCAGAAGTTTGCCAACTCGCTAACCGGAGTTCAGCAGCAGCTGCAGGCCTTCACAACCTACTGCACCATAGAGAAACCCATCAAGTATGTTTAATGAATTTTTAAAATTGCATCTTGTTATTTTAATGCCATTTTTGCCTTTTCATGCATGCATATGACTTCATGCATACCTTATATTGCAGAGCATATAGTTCACACTGCTTGTAAATACTACTGGAGACTACTGGTTGATTCGTTCTACTGTGACTGATCGTGGTTCAAGAAGTTTTGATTTTACATTTCATTTAGTTAGTAATGCATTGCTGCAGTCGATACATAGAATATTTATCTTTAACAACAACATCAATGGATTAATAATTTCCAAATGTGAGAATGTGCTTTTTTTCTTGATTAATCGATAATGAACATATTGATCTATAATGAAAAAAATTATCCTTTGCAGCCCTTATGTTGTTAACAGGGTGCGAACTACAGGGGAGCCAGGGTGAGCTTAGCTCCCCTTAATAAGACATCATCTCGCCTAAAAGCATGATTTGTGATACTTTGGGGGTCTCTAAAATATTGACAGCATGCTTTATTGAGAAATTCATTCCTATATTTCTCTATCATCACGGATCATGCCTAAAATCAGGAGCGTCAGACTTCATCCAGCCAGAGGGAACAATCACCGACCGTCCGCAGCAGGCCGGTCGCTCCATCGCGGTATCCCTGTCCGGCACAGGTTGTGTTGCTAGTACGACCGATGCCTGTGAATGGTTTGTGATTGTTTCCTCTAGCTGAATGAATATTACGCATGATTCATGCACTACTGCAGCTGGGGGCTCCCCGCAGCGCCACCTAACTTTCTAAAGTCTTTTCTCTCATGGAAAAAAGAAAGGTCAGGTTGCAAACACAGCCGCAGCTGTTGTGTGAAGCATAATTGTAGCAAAATGGCTTCATATGATAATAATAATAATGCTTATTATTAATAATAATGGATTGTATATGTATTGTAATGGAACATCTATCATGATCGTAAATTAATTTGAGGTTTTACTATACATAGTTCACATGTTAATCATGCAATAAACTCTATATATTGTTTTAGATTCAAATTAATTTCTTGAAATATATGCTGTAGCAGCAACTGAGTGATTGTCAACCATGTATATTCTGAGAGATCAAAAATCAGCAAGTATGTGTACATGCTTTATATACATGAGGTTGGTGGTTATGTGCAGTATATACCTGTATAGATGTCTATATACAGTATATACAGCGTGTATAGATGACAATATGTACACATTTGAAAACAATGTTATGGGTTATTGTATGGGAATATTTCTGGCACTATATTATCGATTTAACTGTTCATCAGAGTGATGGCGTGTGGTTAGAAACTGTTCCTGTGTCTCGTTGTTTGGGTGTACACTGTTCTCCTCTGTATTCAGTCGAGACTGTTTATTTGCCTACTTCTAAGGTTCATGTAGAAGTGCATAACCAAATAGATCTTCTGTTGGCTGGTATCAAACAAGTCTCAGTAGGAGTCAATAGTGTGTGTCAGTGTGTGTCAGTGTGTGTGTGTGTGTGTGTGTGTGTGTGTGTGTGTGTGTGTGTGTACATGCAAACATGCATGAAACACACTGGAACACAGAGCCACTGCAGAGCCACTGCAGAGCCACTGAGCCATGAGCATTTTTGTCCAGCATCATCAGGATCAGCGTTAGCAGACCAGTACTACACTCACGGCCTCACAGGCACTGGGAGTACACAGGCAGCTATGATGATACACACACACACACACACACACACACACACACACACACACAGACTATGATACAATATGTCTTGTTACACTCCGGCTTGATGTCCAGTTGAGTGAAGTGTTTGTGTCCAATACTAGCAGCCAGCAGTTGACTTATGACTTATCTAACATGCAAACACACTGCAGACACACATACGCAATGTGATAGTAATTCAACTATCAGTGCAGCACTCACATACAGTGTTTGGTGCGCCTACAGTTCATTTTGAGATATGCTGCCAGTAGCATAAAGCTGTTGTCTCCAATATGTCCAATATGCTTTACAGCATTTCCAATAAACAGTCTTTATGAACACGCAGTTTTATTTCATCCAGCAGGATTTGAAAGGTTTCCACTGATCATACAACTTACTGAATCCCACAAACAACTGTGTACTTTTTTTTATTTGAAGCTGAAACATGAAACATGATTTCACCAAATAATGATGACATTAGCATTGAAGCAATTAGTCGATTAAACGATTAGTTGACCGACAGAAAAGTCATCAGCAACTTTAATTTAGAAGATAATCAGAAGATAAATCAGTAATAAATGAGTTGTTATTTCTAGCCATAGAATATTTACAGAAGAGCTCATGTGCACACTTGAAATTCAAATCACATATTGACACCTTTCTATTTTTTAAAATCAAGATCCTTATTGTCTTATATATAAAAGATAGTCCTTTTCTATTCTCGCTTGTTCATAAAATGTCACTATATTGGTTCGATGCAGTAATAAACACCCAGGTGTTCATACAGTGAATAAAATTATTAACGCAACACTTTTGAGCTGAACTCAAAGATCTAAGACTCGAAAATGTGCAGTTCCATCTCACAGCACAATGCCACAGATGTCACAAGTTTTGAGGGAGCGCGCAATTAGCATGCTGACTGCAGGAATACACATTTGTGCTTTTTATTGTGGCCAGCCTAAGGCACACCTGTGCAATATCCATGCTGTCTATGTGCTCACTAACACAGATTTAGACAGATTTGTGAACAATATTTGAGAGAAATAGGCCTTTTGTGTACATAGAGAAAGTCTTGTGAATGGGGGCAAAAACAAAAGTGTTGTGTTTATACTTTTGTTCAGTGTACATTAGATGGAGTGGTGAATGGCCGTGATATTGGACAGCAGGGTAGCAGAATGAGCAGAGAAATCGCCCTTTACCAGGAGTCCTCAGTCCTAGCTGTCAGCAAGCATTCATGCTGTGAGTGTCCTTGAACAAGACACTAAAACTCTGACCAGCTTTATGGCTGCAGCTTGAGTGTTTCCTTTGACCCCATTTTTTTTACTTTGAACAATTTGAAAGTACTTTCATCGTGTCCTACACAGAGGCGACTGTTGAAAGAGAAGAGGCCACATTGTGAAACAGAATCACTAACTAATGTTTTCTGCTTCACGCTCAGGTTTCAGGAGAAGGGGAATCTTGAGGTCCTTCTCTTCACCATCCAAAGCAAACTCAGAGCCAACAACCAGAAACCCTATGTGCCTCATGATGGGAAGCTCATCTCAGACATCAACAAGGTTGTATATCCACCAGCTGAGTTGTTTTTATTTTACTGTATATACAGTATTTCACCTTTTACTAAACAATGAAGTAGCATCTGGTACAAGCGTGGGAAAATTGTTGCCTTTGAGATAACCTGCAGTCAAACTTTGTTTTCACCTTATACTGACCGTATACTTTATCTTATTATACTTTTTCTATTACATTACCACCATTAAACTTTGTTTTTTTATACCCTAAACTTGTTGTCATTTTCTGTCCAGGCCTGGGAGAGGCTGGAGAAGGCGGAACATGAGAGGGGCGTGGCTCTGCGAAAGGAGCTGATTCGTCAGGAGAAGCTGGAGCTGCTGGCTCAGTGCTTTGACCACAAAACCACCATGAGACAAGCTTGGCTCAATGAGAACCAGAGACTTGTATCTCAGGTAGGAATCTCAGGGGCACACGATAAACCAATCATCTAACCTGATGCAGATGTGATGCAAACATGCTTCTTCCAGTGAATACATAATTACGAATAAGCAAGAGGGTATTTCTTTTGACGGCGCTGAAGAAAAAGGTGCTATATTTTGGTTTTGCTGGGCAGTTCCATTTCCCTTTTACGTAAGAAATCCTATTTATTTTTTTAAGCAAACTATTTTTTCACTTTTGCACCATAACAAAGGCTTTCTTTCAAAACATATTGATGCCAACCCCGTAATAATGACTTTTATTATACTCAGGACTCCGGTGGTTTAACTTTTGAAATGAAAAACAATTCTTATAAATAGTATATGGGTGTTTTACTGATATTATATTTAAAGGCTGAAAAAGATATACCTTTTTTGTGTAAAGCAGAATATCATTTCAGTCTAAATCACATCACAAAACACAAAAGAGAATATCATTTTATTCAGATGAATTGACAGGCTGTAAAATCACCCTGTGTTCATATGTCCTGTGCTACTGTGTGTAAGTTAAGTTTCTTCTTTGGTCGTCATACTTTCAATGGTTAATTTTCATTAACTTCATCTTTTTGCCCTGTCTCTTTTCACTTCTCCTCCTTTCGTCTCCCCGCTTTCTTTCCCTCGTCTCCACACCTTACATCTTTTTTTTTTCTTCTCTCCGTCTACAGGACAATTTTGGTTATGACCTACCAGCAGTTGAGGCAGCAATGAAGAAACACGAGGCCATTGAGGCGGACATAGCCTCGTATGAAGAGCGAATTGGCGTGGTGGTGGAACTTGCCTCAGAGATGGAAGCCGAAGGATACTACGACATCCGGCGTATCTCGGCACGCAAGGAGAACATCCTGGGCCAGTGGAGTCTGCTGAAGGAGTTGGTGGCTGGGAGGAGGACCCGGCTGGAGAAGAACCTGGCCCTGCAGAAGACTTTTCAGGACATGGTCTACATGATCGACTGGATGGAGGATACACAGGTACTGGAGGCTGTGTGAGAGAGAGAGAGAGAGAGAAGAGAGAAAAATAACTGTCTACCTTCGCACATTGGGGGAGTGAAAGAAGGACTGAAGGGAGAGAGAAGGATTTTTTTTTGTTTGGATACTTTAAAAATCTAGTTTCTCCAAAGTTGCCTAGCCGATAGAGAAAGACGGTAGTGCATAGTATATAGTTTGGAGAATGACATGTAGAAAGGGGAGATCCATAGAGAGAGCCAAAGAAGAGAGCAACAAAGCAAAAGAATGTTTGCATGTTTTTCCATTCATAAAAAGTAATTAAGGCAAAATAAATATAGTCCGAGAGAAGAGAGAGATATGTCATGACAATGTAAGACATCCTGATGTTTAATACCATCACACATATTCCCTGTCATCCGTCCACCTCTCACATCTTCTCATCCCTCCATCTCCGGCTCTTTCTTAGGTTCAGCTGCTGTCGAAGGATTTTGGGAAGCATCTTCTGGAGGTGGATGACCTGCTGCAGAAACACAGTCTGCAGGAAGCCGACATTGCAGTGCAGGCTGAGAGGGTCGAGACACTCAACACCGCTGCTCTCAAATTCACCACTATAGAGGGTACACTGGACTTAATTAGCCCAACTACTGGAACTCCTCTTGTCTTCCTGTAGTGAAATACTCTGGGGAGACAGAACATACCATTCTAAGAGGGGAGGCAGAATAATCAAAGTGGTGGCGGCCTTTTTAACACACAGACACGTATCTTGTGTATTGTGTATAGCCCTGATGAAGTATTTAATTTTATACATCTTTACCTTCATATGATAACAAAAGTCTTTTTGTTTCAAGGTTTTAAGTTTGTATTGCATGCAATAAAGCCAGGCATGAAAAGAAACCTTGAAATGCAGTTTTTAATTGATCTGGTCACACAAAAAAATGCATGCCGAATCCTAATGAACTTGAAAAAGTTCAGTTTTTAAAACCCAAGTTATTGATAAGAGTTACAGAGTGTGTACAATAACAAGAACACCTACAAACTTTAAATGCAACCTTTGCAAAACTTATAATGTTCAATTTCTGTTAAGACAGTGTCTGAGAGTTGGTGACTGAACTCGTATTTTGTTGGTTCGGTTTGTATTATATGTTACGGACTTTAGAATAATAAATATAAAAATAAAATAAAATAGTAATTTTGTTTGTAATGAAGAGGCAACAATTGTTTCTGAACTGTTCCCTGATCTTTCCCCTAGTGCTTGTCATAAACAGACAAAGAGGAAGCGATGATCCTGTGTTGATTCCATTTAGTCAGATAAAGATGTATTTGACCTTGAGACAGCTGGAATATAGATTTTTGTTACTGATATCAGTAAAGTGATCTTCTCAGTACTGTGCATGTTTTTTTTAGGTAGTCCAGCTCAGAGTACACCACTATAATAAATGAAGTGCTGTATCTGTTGTGTGTTTTTGTTGTGGTCATTAACCTGGTTTTATTGTCTCCCAGGTTACCAACCGTGTGACCCACAGGTGATTTGTAATCGTGTCAACCATGTCTCTTCCTGTCTGGAGGAGCTGAAACAACTGGCAGCTAAAAGACGTGCAGAGCTTGAGGAGTCGAGACAACTGTGGGCCTTCTTTCAGGTAGGATGGGTGGATAGGTGTTGCAGAGGGCGGGATTATGTTGTTTTAATTATTCCCAGCAAGATAAGGGGCCAGTGTACTCAATCTGAAATGCTCGCTAGATGCTTCACACAGAAACCTGCTCCCTCCACACACCGGGGTTGAACTTCCTTATGTTTTTTTTTACTGATTCTTTACTCTTTACTACCTCTGGAACTTTTTATGTGCATGACTGAGTGCAACTCTATGAATGTCTTCCAGGAGGGAATTAAAATGTGAACCGATATTTAAAGGATTTTTGTGTCTCGCCTCTCTATATGACAACTGGCATTGAACTCCACCTTCGAGTATGGCCATTAGGACAAACTATAGAAATTTGAAGGGCCATCAGTCCTTTTTTTGATTTCCGAAGGATGAATCTTTATCATCCCAAACCTGCTTCCACAGCTTTAAAGATATACAGACCTAGAGAGTAGATCAATTGTTTTAATTAATCTGTTGTAATTTTATCCACCTCTATTTCTGGCAAAATCACAAATTCAACAGCATGTTTTCTTATATGTTTCTTTGGTGCTTCGTTATAAGCATCACTACGTCTCATTCGGCAGTCCACATCCTTGTGTCAGACGTGGCCTGCGTCAATCTCCTGAAAAAGCATCCATCACTTTTATAACACAGATGTGATGAACGAGTTATTAATGTTAGTGAATAAGCTTTTTGAATGAACTATCAAAGTAATGATTATATAATGAGAATAGCAGATTTCTTTGTTCAGTGAGTCACTGCTTATATCACATTGCTGATTCATTTGGCCAGTTCCCCTTCACCATTTTGGGAGGTTCTCAGAAACAGACTGGGGTCAGTGTTAGATGGAATTTATGGATTACAGGGGAGCAAGTTTCTATATTTCTAAACTTTTCTCTTTTTCTTCCAGTGACTTCACCTTTTACGCTTTCTTATAGGGTTATAAAACCTTTTTAATTTTTTTTTTAAAAATGTAAAAAATGTAAATCTTGTTTGTCTGTTTGTTCTCCTGTTAGGAGCTGGAGGAGTCGGAGGCCTGGATCAGGGAGAAGAGCTCCATCCTGGGAGCTCAGGGTTATGGGAAGGACCTGAGCAGTGTGCTGAAATTACTACAAAAACACAAGACTCTGGCTGGAGAACTGCTGGCTCACCGGTCACTGCTGCAGGTGTGTTTGTGTTTTTATCTGTGTGTGTGAGAATCAGCATCTCAACTTCAACTTCAACTTCTTCCACCTCAACTTTACTTACTAAAATTATTTATAGAATAGTGCAAATACTGCTTTTTTGTATCACTTTCATATTTGATTGTTGTTTTGGCATTGGTCTCACGTTTTTCTTCTTTGCGAACTTGTACTTCCCCAACAGGCAGATGAGGTCTGTGCAAACTGTATGACAACAAAATTACTGAACAACTGGTGATATTTATCAAAAATATGAGTGTGCCAAATATAATTCTAGTATGGTGTATAGGTAAGCTATCATTGACAAGGCTACATATACAATACACATGAATTAAACAAGTGCCAGTCTCTCCAAGTACTTGGTGGTATTGTGATAGAGGTTCGGTCTAATATGCAGGGTTGGGAGTACAGCAATTTCTAAAAAGATATCATTAGTCATAGGACTCATGTTTGTTGATGTGTATGTTTTCTTGTTCTTCTCATCCCTTTTCTGTTGTGTCAGTTCTTCAAAGATTTCAGTCCATCCTCCAGTGCATGACAAGATATTATATATTACATTGTATTTGGATGCGTTTTCATAACATTTGAAGACATTGTTGAAGAACATGTTTATTAGAAGACATTCAAAGCCTCACAATGACAAATTATCTGCAGAGAAATTTTTAGAAATAATGTTCAACTGACCGTTTAATGTTTTGGTTTTAAGCTGCATCAAAAATGTTTGATATTGACAACACATGTCATTAATAAACACCATACTTCTACTTTAAAATACACATTAAAGTTAAAATGTTGTCTAATATTCCACTTTGCTGCATACAGTGTGAAATAATTTATAGTGGCTCTGTTATCTGTCCATCCTGCCCTGCTCCTCCAGAACACCATGAAGCGAGGAAAGCAGATCCTGAGTGAGAAAAGCTTTGGCACGGCAGGGATCCAGGAGCGCATCATGGAGGTGAAGGGCGAGTGGAAGAGGCTGGAGGACCAGGCCGCGCAGCGTCTTGGTCACCTACAGGAGGCGCTACACTTTTTTCAGTTCTCCACAGAGACGGACGACTTGGTAGCGTGGCTGCAGGACGCTTACCGCCTGGTCTCCAGTGAAGACTTTGGACATGATGAGTACTCCACCCAGTCCCTGCTGAAGAAACACAGAGGGGTCAGCGAGGCCATAGACAAACATCGCGTGCATGTAGTGGCACTGCGCAAACACATGGTGGCGCTGCCTATGCGGTACCGTGAACAGGAGGTGGGAAAGGATGTTTAACTTTTTTGGCATTAAATATTTTGTCCTTCTTCATCTTTTATTTAACTCGCCTCCTGTCTTTCTGTCTCCCCTCCTGACTCCTTCTCCCCTCTTCTCTCTACAGGAGGTACAGATGCGTATGGGAGAGGTGGAGCAGCTGTATACGGAAGTGGTCGAGGTGGCGGTACTCAGACAGCAGTGGCTTCACGACGCCCTCGCCGTCTACCGTATGTTCAGCGAGGTCAATGCCTGTGAGCTGTGGATTGATGAGAAAGAGCAGTGGCTGGACAAGATGGAGATCCCAGAAAGACTGGAGGACGTGGAGGTGGTGGCACACAGGTAAGGAAAAGGGAGAAGAGTTTTGTTGTTTTGTTTAAATCAAAGAGGTCAAAGTTTTTAGCCATTGCAATAATAACCTACTGACTGCCCCATCATATCCCACAATGCTATTCTGTGGTAGATTTGAGAGCCTGGATCAGGAGATGAACAGCCTGATGGGAAGGATCCTGGATGTTAACCAGATAGTTCAGCAGCTCCTGGATGGTGGTCATCCATCTTCTACAGAGGTCAGAGGTTGTCAGGACCACCTCAACTCCAGGTACTGAAACGTAATTGACCTCCCAAGAGCAAAATCTTCATCTACTGCTCCTTGTACGACTATCACAATTACTACTTTTACTACTATTGACATTAACAATTACAACAACTTTACAAAACACACTCATGCTTAGCCAGCAGTTCTGCTTCACTAATACTGATACACTTTGTCTTTTTACACTCACTAACACAGATATTAAAGTAACACTGGTACTGATTGCAACTACAAAGCTGAGAGTCTGGCCATCAGATCAGTCCTAACAGAAATCTTTATGTCAGTCATGAGCCAGTAACTAGTGATCGCTGCTGTCGAAGTGTTAAGCAAGGCACTAAAGCACTTAAAGATTAGGGAACACACCGATTTACAAGTTTCAGTAAATCTTTGAAACAAATTAATGTAATAATGTTCGAATCTGTTGTGTATGTGGAAAGCAACCTGTGAACTGAGCCCCCTGTCTGTTAAATAATGCATAGGTTTATTGGATCTCTGTCCTATTTACTCCCGGGAGGGGGGAGGCGTAGGTAGGAGGAGACGCAGGCGGACTGACACACAGAGAGATAATAGGGGAAGAGAAATTGTTGTGTTGATTTGTGTTATTATTCAGTGGGATTCATCTCATGCACTTTTTTTGTAATTGTCTTTTGACAAGCGCCTCGTGTCCTGTCAGTTGCTGACTTAGTAAGAGGCTTTACTCCTACTTGCTTTCTCATTATGAGTTCAGTTAAGAGATGTAAATGTATCTCTTCTAAGTGTGTGCTGCACCGCTGTCTCTCTCTTTCTCTCTGTTTGGCCAACATGTTTATTTATGCTAACGTCCGCTTCAGTCATGTTCACTGACCACTGTTACGTCTGGCAGCCAGAGTCCATGGCGGCCCGGTGTCCATGAGTCTTGTGACCTTGGCACATGGTGTCGGTCTCAGGGCGGCCATCTGTGCTGGCTGCCTCAGTTGAGACAAGGCCACCCGAAAGCAAAAATAAGAACAAATATACTAAATAAACACTTCTATTTCCTCATTGCCTTCTCTGGTATTAGTTATTAAAATTCAGTTTCAGTTTTAGGACCTTAACTCAATAATATCTTTGCTGCCCTCAGATATGAACACTGCACACAGTATTAGGGTTATTGTGTTTAAATTCCCTTTAACTTTGTTTATTAGATACAATGAAACACCAGTAATCCTCAGTGGTATAAAAATACATTCATCTAGTGTAAATGGAAAACTTTCACTTCATAAAGCACATACAGTAGTAGTAATGTATGCACTACTGAGTCACTATGTTCACATCTCTGTCAGTTTTATCCTTTGTCTTTGTCATTTTCTACCTTTAAAATTTATTTCTGATATCTGTTGTTACCATTTCTTATTATTAAACAGTGAATAAAGAGTTAACAAGACTATTAACAAAAACATTTTAGGTGAAGGAAATGAAGGAACCACCCAGTTGTGACCCATGAACATAAAGTGTGTTATTGTTTATTAATGTTGAGATGAAACATTTCTTACTACAGTATTATTATTATTATTGGTAGTAGTATTACTTTATTTTTGTGATTTCTGTAGTATTATGACTTAAAATTTCATAAATAAGTACATACAGTACAACAAATGATTAAAAGTAAACTTATACATTACTACTGCTCTGTAAACATACATACATACATACGTATGTTTCATTTTGTGAAGCAGCAACCCCCATCACACACACATACCCCCAACAATCACCACCACCACCCTGTTTCACATATAAGACTTTAGTAGCTCTGAGGTCAGTGTCACCGAGCTGTTTTCCTGCCTGCCTGCTGAGCACTCTGTCTGCCTCTCAGCGTCTCTGCCATTACCTCATTACAGTCACAAGTATGTATGTGTGTGTGTTCCTTGGCTGGATGAGTGTGTATTGAGACCTGCTGGTCTGGAGCAGAATCAGGACAACATATTGTATGATGATACGGTAAGCAGACGAGGCCTGGACTGAAACCACAGCAGAGAGCAGGGAGCAAACACATTCGACTGTCTCATATGAATCGTAGCAGTTCCTTTTATAACATCATAACAAGGAGATTAACCTGTATTTTAATAAAAATCCAGCTTGGCTCTTCTCAAGATCAAGATTAACGTTGAGGGCAACAAAAAATAAGAAAGCTCTGCATTCACGTTTAAAACATTTACATCTCAGTTGACGGAGCAGACGGAAACAATTTTTTCAGTTGATACATAATTTATTTTGACATGAGAGTTAATGATGTACTATAGGTGTAAAATGTCCCAATAAATCACGACTATCTTCACCATTGCACATTTCTCCTTCACAGTATCACACTCCCCTCTCTTCATCCTTCTCAAACTACACTTTCAGTATCACTCTCTCCTGTCTTTCGCATCGTACCAGGTGGAACAGCATTGTGGAGCTGGTTGAGCAGAAGAAAGATCAGCTGGACTCGATGTTACGCCTGCAGAACTACCTGCTGGAGTGTGCCGAGATCAAGTCCCAGATCCAGGACAAGAGAAAAGCCATCGACGCCACTCAGTACATGGGCAGTGACCTTGGAGGAGTCCTGTCTCTGCAGAGACGCCTGTCCACAATGGAAGGAGCCCTGTCTGTCCTGGAGCCCAAACTACTGCATCTACAGGTAGGCAATTAAAGCACAATACACTGACTTTACATAAAATGTTGATACTTAGATACTTGACTTTACACTTCTGACAGTTTTTAGCTTTTCACTCTCAAGTCTTGTAAGCCGTGACAGCTGTAATTGTTAATGTTAACTACCTGTTAATATTTATGTTTATCTATTTATGATTAAAACATCAGTAATGTGAATAGATAGTAGCATATTAGGCATTTATTCCTATGAATAGATAACACGCTTTTAAAAAAAATCATCTTAACCCTTGTCTTAAATTTCCACAAAAATGTGGATATTTAAGAAGATTTTATACGCTGGTTGTATTTCAGCATAAATAGTTAGAGTCGATAGACGATAATGTCGCCTCTATTTGGTGATGTAGGAAGACGCAGAGCATCTCGCCACCAGCCACCCAGGTCGGGCCATGGAGATTCTCGTACCGTTCGATGGCATCAGTGTGGAGTGGGAGGAGCTGAAACGCACTTTGCAGGGCTGTGAGGATTCGCTGATGGTGGCTAGCAGGCTGCAGAGCTTCATACAGGTACACAGGTTACTGCGCCCCAGCGATTATGTAACCAGCACCGAGACACAGAATGCTCTGGTAATTTTGTTCTAGAGAGCGATAGAACTTAGTTATTGGTCATTTAAGTTAAAGCTAGCATTTGTGTTTAATATTGAGTAAAAAAGTAGTTTTTTTTTAGGAACATTAACTTTTCACATTTCTTTTTAAAGCTGTACTTTACTCTTTACTCAAGTATTTTTTGGGGGAGGCATCTGGCCATCTCTTGTTTCTCCAGCGTTGCATGCCCCAGCTTTAAATATTTGAACCTACATTAATATATATAAATGTATGTGTGGCGTTTTTCTATTTCCACAACAGACATTGAGAAAGTCATGGTGGAGAAATTGGTTGTTTTATGAAGTAAATGTTACTAGAAAAACACTGTATCTGCTGCAAGCTAAGCAGTCTTGACACGGCTGGTAAGCATACAAAAAGACCCTATGTATGGTGAAAGTGTATTAATAGTCACTTTTAGTTCCTTCATTGATTTAGGAGCAACTCACGACTTTCTGTAATTGTATTGTGTTTAAATTAAATTTTTTTAAAGATTATTCAGTCTGCACAAACATCTGTAGTATAGTCTAACTATGGAATTGATTATATGTAAACTTGTTCTTCTCCCCATCCTGTCAGGACCTGGACTCGTTCCTCACCTGGTTGGTCCAGACGCAGACGTCCGCCGCTTCAGACCAGCTGCCCAACGACCTGGAAGAGGCAGAGAAACTGATTAACAAACACGCTGCCCTAAAGGAGGAGATTGGACGGTGGGTTATTGGAGGACAACAAAAGGCCTTCCTAAGAGGTCTTAAAAAATACATCAGGTGTTCAGAGAATAACTCAATGGGTTGCTGTTGATTTCCGCAGGTATGAAGAGGACTACGAGCGCCTCCAGGCCATGAACGAGCTGCTGGAGTCCGAGGAGGCTCCTCTCCCTCAGGCCGCCCTGCAGCAGTGGCTCCAGAAGCTCGATGTCGGCTGGAACAAGCTGCTGGAGATGTGGGAGAGCAGGAGAGAGGTTCTAGTCCAGGCTCACATTTTCCATCTGTTCCTGCGAGATGTCAAACAGGCAGAGTCTTTCCTCAACAACCAGGTGAGACAAAGACTGAGCAGGTGGTTAGAGTTTACAAGAAGCATCTCTGGACAGCTGTATCAACTGTTTTAGCCATTTTAGTGGCATTTTAGTGCTTTTGGATGGCAATATCATTGTTGTTAGTCCAAAACTTGCTTACAATTTAAATTGCTCGTCAACTTTTAGATAGATTGCCCTGAAATGTGGTACAGACATCCATGGTCCCTAAGGGATGGATCTTAATGGATGTTTGATAATCATGCAACGTGCCAAAGTTTTTACAATGTAAAATATGGCCACTAGCAGGTAACACGAAAAAGCAGTGTAGACCTTGATGTTCATGTTCATGTACTATTTGTTGTGATTTTGTACTGTGGCTGGATTTCTATGTAATACATTACATCCAGTTACAGTACAAAATCACAACAAATAGTACAGTCATGAAGTTTAGCTGTTAGCTTTAACAACTCAACTGTTTTAGCAACATTAGAGGAGTTCTGTTTAATTATGCTTGACAGCCAGGTAAAAACAGCTGCTGTATGCAACTTGTAAACATGTATGATATGCTTTTACATTGCACCTTTTAGGTGAGCTTGTCTGGCTGCAACTGAGGCAAATCTCCATTGCTGTGCTCGGTTTTCCCTTTTCATCTCATATTTTCTTATACATTTTTCTGATGGTGGCAGGCCAGAAGGAGCAATACACTGCACAAAAAAAAAAACAGGAGAGGAAAAAGAATATGAAGCTCAAATAGCACAGTCAATGTGTCAAAGGGAGGGTCAGTAAAAAGACTCATGGCTACAGACTTTCATCTCTTTATTGACCTTTCTCAAAGCCCTTGAAATATGAAATAAGATATAATGTGAGTCATAATGAGTGATAATGAACATCATCTCACATCACTGACTGCAGTAGAGTGTCAACTGGACAGGGTGTGGTCGGTTTAGCCTTGCCAAAGTCAGCTCTGAGATGGAGAAAGCGCAAGACAGAGACAAAGGAAGAACGAGAGAGAGAGAGAGAGAGAGAGAGAGAGAGAGAGTGTGTTTGTATGTCAGCAGGTGTATTTTCAGTGTCCCTGTGTTATGTGATATTAGAGCACAAGCTTCATTATGAAGTGTAGGAGGATGCGCAGCCACTCCAGTCTGTGTATGTGTGTGTGTGTGTGTGTGTGTGTGTGTGTGTAAGTATACAGTAAAATAATATTTATAGGCCTGTGTAGATTAAAATTATACTTGCTAAAATATTTGGCTGCAAAGATCATACCTGGATCTACCTGAATTTAAACAATGCAGCAGTATCATAACCAACGTGAGACTATTATGTTGCAATTATTTTAACACTTTTGTGGCATGAATAATTTGCATCATAATTTTTAAAATAATATCCCATCTCATTTTCAATTGGCCCAAATCAGCAGAAAGAGCCAGAATTTTGTGGAAATCAATTTAAGTTTTCAGTATCTTTTTTAAGTAGATTTTGACATTGTCAGTAGTTTTCCCTTAGCTGAATGAGGATTATCCCCTTGATTTGGTAATGTTTCAAAGTATTTTTAAATTACTTATTTGCTTAAAGTCGTCTTTGGAATATAATTATCACCTTCTGTAATTTTGCTGTAAAAATGTGAATTCAGCACACTAGCCTGTGTCAAGAAGTACAAACGAAAAGCCAGAGCCAGGTTTTGCAGTCTGTCTTGCTGTATTTAATCTCAGTATTACAAGCACAGAGGTTTGTTTTTCTAATCTGAAAAGCTTGCGTGCATGCCAGAACATCACTTTTGGTTTGGTTTTGGTAACAGGGACCAGCTCTCCTTATTAGCACAGTGCGGTTGATTTAGAAAGAGCAGGATTTTTCTATAATATGTATCTAAGACGTTCCAGGCCATAGAGCTCGGTCTGCATCTCCCAGTTGTTTCTCCCTTAATTTAATTTAATTTGTCTGTATCCAGAGGCCATATACATTTGCAATCATATGATTTGTTTGAGTAGTTTCACCATCTTTTGACATTTTCTGATCTTAAGTCATACAACAGCTTTAGTTTTTCAGGACTACTGCAGCTACCTTCTCGTGGATAGACTGATGGATTAATCATTTAGTCGATTGAATGACAGATAATTAGGAAAACAAATGTCTAAAGCCCAAAGGGATGTATTCAAAATATTTGTTTTGTCTGACTAGCAGTCCAAAAACCTAAAGATATTTAGTTTACTATGACACAAGACAAATAAGAGCAACACATCCTCACATTTCAGAGGCTAAAACCAAGAAATTCAGATATTTTGGCTTGAAAAATGACTTCACTGAATTGCTCTTATCTATTCTGTCTTTTTCTGATACCTTTCTGTGTATTCTTTATCCTGTTTTTGCTTCATCTTGTTTTTATCTTTTACCTGACTTCACTCAATCCTGTTCCTGAACCAAAGAAATCACCTCGCTGTTTACATCCTTATTTTGCAGGAGTCTGCCCTTGCTCACGTGGAGCTACCCACCACAGTGGAAACAGTCGAAGCTGCCATAAAGAAACACAAGGACTTTACCACCACCATGGAGCTGAACCTGCACAGGATCAAAGCTGTGATCGAGGCCGGAGAGAGCCTGATCAGCCAGAGTAACATCTACTCTGAACGCATCAGGGAACGCATTGACACGCTCGCCAACAGGTACAACAAACAAACACTCGAGGTCAAAGCCCTAAAGCAGAATATCTGTCAGTGTTTAGCAGTTTTTTTTATGACAATATAATTTTTACTTCATCAAGAAGGATTTAAAGCTCTAAAAGAATGTTTGAAAAGGAACAGTACAAACAGTTTTGTCTGTAGCAACAAAATGTCCAAGTTTTCTGACTGTATACACACTAGATGTAAGAATGTAGAGAAGACGGAAAATAGACTGCAGAATCAGGAATAAATGTAAAACATCCTCAGTAGTTTTGTTTTCCTGCATCAAATGTTGGAAAGGTTTCCGGTTTCTTGCAGTCAGCGGTTCATGCTAGTTTTCGTTCTGTTCAGACAAAATGCAGCACCAGGCACTGACCCAAGCTGTACGTTGAGCTGATTTTAATGCACAAAGATCTAAGCAGCTGCCCAAACACAGCAGCTAAACAATTCGAAGCAAAGAGACCCTCAAGTATAAATGAAACAAAACACAGAAAACAGAGCTCATTCTGTTTAGTCCAGAAATGACACATGACCATGAAATCTTTGTGATAGCTGAAGTGGTGGTGTTGTGTGTATGTGTGTGGTGGGTGGGGGTTGGTTGGGGTTTTTGTCTGTGTCCAACAATAGTAATGCGAAGAACCATATGGTTTTTAGATTTAATTTACATGAATTAACTCATTGGAAAATTATTTTGACAAATCGATGAGCACAGTGCAACATAATTATTTTAACATGTTACATTTCACAGTTTTTACATTAATTAAATTACTTTTTGATATAGTACAAATGACAACTGGTCTTGTTTGATGTTTCATAACTAAGCTTTTAAAATGCTTGTATGAAACAGAAAATGGTCAGAAAATTTTTTGATTTTCAGAAATCTCATTAAAGAAAGAAAAAAAAACAGAAATAGGCATGCACGCACTTAGATATGTTTTTAGAACTTTATATTAATGTAACTTAAACTAAATTGTCTGTCCCTCACTCTCAGGGGAAACCAGAACCGTGAGCTGGCCCAGCAGTGGCTGGAAAAACTGAACGACCAGTGGGGACTTCAGAGGTTTCTTCAGGACTGTCATGAGGTAGGAGGCCAACAGATCTGTACTTAAAATCAAGAGCATTTTCAATCAATCTCATTTTCAATCAATCTCTTTCACATTTTGACGGTTTCTAGTGGCAGCACAAGATAACTATTAACTAAGATAACTAAGAACTTCATTACCCAGGAATCAATGTTGCTGCATCAGTATAGTTTGACCCCTTCGACCTCTTTGCTGATTATGAAAGAGAAAAGAAAGTTTCACTGCAGGTTCTACTGTGTAGTTTTGTTTTGACATAGTCATTGCTGATGTTTAAATGTCCTGTAATTTGTATTTAAAAAGTTTTGCCTGTATATGTTTAAGATTTCTTGGCAATGACCATAATCAAAACATTAAAGGTTCAGTGTGTAATATTTAGTGGCATCTAGTGGTTAGGGTTGCAAATTGCAACCAATATCACCGCTCCTCCATTTGTCCCAAATTTTACTTCTTCTTACTTCGAGGTTTGTCCATCTGTAGAAACATGGTTGCACAACATGGCGACACCCTTGTAAGGGAACCCGTGGTGTATGTAGATGGAAATAGCTCATTCTAAGGTAGTAAAAAACATAACGGTTCATTTTGTAAGGTCTTCATACACCACTGAAAACATAGTTATGGATATTATATTGCATTTCTGTCAGTAAATCCACCTAAATATTACACACTGAACCTTTGAATGAATGTAGGAAAATTAACCAAATATGTGGGGTTTAAATTAGCAGTCCCAAGTCACAATCATTTTGAATATAAGTGAAAATGTAAATAATAAGATTTAGCCATCTTGTGATTTATTTCCAGTGTCATAAAGTCATGTTAGCAAAATTTCCAGCTAGCTTGTATCTAGTATCTAATGTAATCATTTGATTTAAATATTAAAGCCTTTTAGCAGTCTGTCATAAGATGATGATCTACATCTGTGAATCTGACAGTACCTACGTATTATTGGGTATTTATACCAGAACCATACATACTGTTTTACTGACACGATTGCATGATTTCTGAGAAGTGCTGTGCAAAAACATGTAAGCAATGAGCACAGATAACAAAACATGTACAGTACACGGCTCACCTCTGCTCGCTCCCGCAGTTTTTGCTCTCTCACCCTGCAGAGTCACAGGCTTCTTTCTGGGCCAAAACCATGTTTAGTTTCAGCAACTTTCTCTCTTTGGCTCTGGTGAATAATTCAGCAGCACAGCTCCTCATCACTAATTCAAAGAAGGAAGAGTCTTTCTTACTGTGTACATGTTTGCATGTGCAGGTGTGTGTATATGTGTGTGTATCATCCATATATCTATCTGTCTGATCATATGTTGTATGCGAGTCTTTAGAAATACAGTATGTATGAGGAGTCTTCCCCCGACTGTGCGTGTGAGCGTAGCCTACAGTGGGAGAGTGACACTGCGTCAGTCTGTAGGAAAGCTGAGCTCTCAGCTGTCAGGGAGTGTTCATCTGCTCGGTCGAGGCTGCAGCCACGTGTTTCCTGCTCCTCACTGCTGCTTTCCATCCACTTGCCAACACAATTACACAAAGCTTTACACGCTCTGGTATTTTTTGCTGTACACAAAATTATGACATCTACTCTTTTGTCTGGTCTTCAAGGTGAGATTTATGACAACTGTAGATAGTTATGTGGCAAACATAGGCTATTGCAGTGGTGGTAAGTAGTCCGTAAGTGCATGAGATACTTTAGGAAAGTCATCATTGTTTATGTTGGACTAGGCTGGAATAAGGTGCACTTTATTTTGTGGTACAGACTTACGTATGTTTAAAGGTTGTAACAGTTGTAGTTGTCCATAGATAGAGCTGTTCTTTCAGAAATACTTCCTTTACTCTCTCCTTGTCCCTCTACTATTATTACCATATACAAAGAAACCTTTGTTTTTTTAAAGTTTGTTGCATTTTATTTTTGTATTGTGTAGTTTAGGTTTGTATTTGGATCAGATTACACCAGCAGTACACAGAGAAAAAAACAATCACATGGCCTCTCAATTCAAGGGATTCAAGGATTCAAAATGTTCATAGGTTTTATTTCATATGTGGACATATGGGCGTTGGCCAGCTCACTTGGTAAAGCATGTGCACCATATACAAAGGCTAACTGCTCCCTGGATGCCCACTGCTCTTAATTAGGATGGGTTAAATGCATAGAAAAAGTAATTTCCCCTCAGGGATCAATAAATACATACATACATAAACAAGTCTGAGTAATGCTTTGCCTCTCTTTAAAGGACTTAGTTTGTGCTAAAGACATATTCAGAAACTAAGTTTAAAAAAAAATTAAAAAGGAACAAAATAAATTTTAAAATGTCTTTAAAAATCAGGGACACAATTTTTATAACCAAGAACAACCAGGGTCTAAAAATACTGGGGGGAAAACAAACTTATATAATCTTAAAAGTCCCCTTTCACCCTGTCTCTTTCTCTTTATCTACAGTACTACTCCATCTTCAGGACTAAAGGGTATTAAAGAGGTGAACTCAGTTTGAGATCATACTGTAGCTTTTTACCCAGATTCCTCTCCCACTCTGTTTCAGAAAAAGAGCAGGTGTATGCCCAAAGGCTGCATTGCTAAACACAGTGTGTCTCTATAATAGATGTAACACATGCAAAGTCCCTCTGTATGCATTCTCTCCAGTTTCACCATGTTTGTGCTTTTCTTCTGTCAGGTCAGATATTATGGATTGGTGCTTTGGAGAAGTTATTGTATGCTGAGGATAAACAATGTTAAGACCACTTTTTTGGATATTGAGTCAAATCTATGTTTTCTCAGGACCTTCTTTAACCTTTTGTCTTCTGAAAGTGTTCTTCATACACTATCTGCAATGGACTATCATTTGTCCGGGACTCACCATGTTTCTTAATTTAAATTGTAAGCTGTTCTAGTAAAACACTAAGCTAAATGTTTAGGCCTTGCAGGAATACCTTGAAAAAGCGCTGAAGCACTAAGATGGGAAATATATTTTTAGTCTTAATCCAAACCGTGCCCTGAGGTCCAATGCTTTAAAAGAAAGGAAATCTATATTTTGTACAGCCAAGTTGGAATTTGGTTACCCTATATATTAGATTTTTTTTGTCTTTTGTATACATGAATACACATTTCACACCTATTCAAAATGTAAAAAAAATAATATTTTCAAAAACTATACAACTTTATTGGAAAATAATCAGATTTGGTTCTGCAAGTAATTATTATTTTCAAAAACTGATTAAGCAATATTTTTATTTACCGATGGCAGAGTAACACCTTTAAATTATTTTGTCTGTCTGATGGTCCAAATTGATTCAATTAATTGAAAATGAGTAAATGATGATTTACAATGAAGGGGGAAAACATTTGAACAATTAATTAATTGATTATCAAAACTGTTGATACATTGTCTGCTACTTGACTAATTCATTCATTCATTAATAATTTTAAGCTTCACACATTATCACCAGCTGTTACACATCTGGGGTGGCTCGATTATTTGGCTAAATCTGAGATCAGCAGTGCATGAAGATGTTGAAGTCTGATGACGTGATGATGAGGCTATGAATCGTCCTCCGTCCCTCCTCTTCCCTCTTTCAATGTCCTCTCTCCCCTCTTCTTCTTACGTCACAAACTTGTCCATCTCCTCCTCCCCCTCCTTCATTCATTCTCAATCACTCTTTAGGCTTCCCCACACTACTGCCACAAGGCAAGGCAAGGAAAGGCAAGTTTATTTGTATAGCACATTTCAACAACAAGGTAATTCAAAGTGCTTTACATAAAACATAAAAGCAACAGGGAAATATAAAAAAGTTTAAAAGCAACATGGGGAAATTCACATTAAAAAATAATAAAAGTTACAGTCCAGTGTACAATCAGGGATAAAAGAGTTAGATGGAAAATAAAAACAGGCTGAGGGGTTGAGCAAAAACTCACTCCCCTTCTCCTCTTTCCTCATTCAATTAATTTACAGTCTCAAGGGGGGCATCAGTCTGTGACCCTCCATGACCTCTGCAGTCATGAGACCTGTGTGTTTGTGTGTGTGTGTGTGTGTGTGTGTGTGTGTGTGTGTGTGTGTGTTCATGCACATGAATTTGCACAGTCCTGATACGTGTGAGTATGCACACACTCTTGTTTGCCTCTGCATTGATGTGTGTCAATGTGTGTAATGTGTTTACTCATGTTAGCTGGCATGTCTTTACCTGTCTCTACTGTGTGGGTTGTGTGTGATGGGTCCAGGAAGAGGTGACAAAGTGACAAACAGAGGGGTGGGGTGGGGGGCTTTGAACAGAAATCCATCCTTAAAAGGAAAGAGGAGCAGTAAATCTAAACTACAAATGCATTATTCAGGATAAATCACTGCTCCTTCCAATCCTGTACTACCCCTCTCTCTCTTCCCACTATCTCCTCTTTTTCTCTGACCAACCCTCTACTGTCTCTCTCTCTCTCTCTGTCTTTCCTCTCTACTTTACCACTGCAGCAGTGTCAGGAAAGCTGGAGACAGAGAGTACAGCTGCCTTGGACTGCTGCATAGAGGAGAAGAGGGATGGTAGAGGGGGGTGATGTGAGTGTAGTGCGGGAGTGGAAGGATAAAACAAAAGCAGCTGTAAAGGAGTCGTGAGCTTGGCTGTTAGCTTCAATCCAAAAAACAAAAATCCTGTATTTTAGTCTCTCTCTCTCCCTACAAACTCATCCACCCTCCTGCTTTGACACATTTAAAGCCCACCTCCCCCCTCCACCTTCTCCAACTCAGCATCATTAGCCATGACCGGTGAGCCTGGAGGCGCTGCCTGCATCACCACCCCTCCCCTCCCCATCCTAATCCCAGTCTTTTGCTCCTCCCTCTCCTTCTCCTCCACTCCATCTCTCCTCCAACCAGCCAGGCAGCCTGCTCGCTCTCTCGCTCGCCCACTCGCTGAAGGTGTGAGGCAGGGGAGGGGCGCCCATGAACCGGCTCGGCTGCCTGCCATTTTATTGTTTTTTTGGGAAGCTGATTTTCTTCTTCTTCTCTCAGTCATCCTCATTCTTGCCCTCTCGCTCGTCACTGATTTGCCCCCGCCCCTTCTCTCTCTCCGGGTTGAGTGTACAGCAAATCCTCAATACCACAGAAAGGAGAAAGAGAGAGAGAGAGAGAGGAGAGAAGGGAGTGCAGCCTCTGTTTGAAGTCTCCAGTCTCCTCAGCCAGTATTGTTGTTATTTACCCTCCTGCTTGGCATTTTCCTCTCAGCACACCTTTTGTGTCGCTCTCTCATGTTCGGCTCTCCAGAAGGCGCCTCTCTTTCTATCTAGCTTTCCCTCTCCTTGCCTTCCTCTCCTCATTCTCTTTCTCCATCTGGCTCTGCGGTGAAGAACGTCTTTGCATATGTTTGACGGAAGACCAGCAGGGATGCGGCTACCAGCAGCTGCCTGCAGCTGCCACAATCTCGCAGGCTGTTCCTGTTAAACACCGCTGGTAAACAGGTTATTTGCTTTACAGTTGCGTTAGGAGAGAGGGACGGAGGTGGAAATGTTGCATGCAGGTTGATGAGCGTGCTGATGCTGACCTGAATATGTTGGTGATGGTATCAGCGCAGACATGAGGTGTTTCCTCTGTGTGTTTACCTCACACAGACAATATGTGCAGATTTTACTCTTTGATGGAGAGTGAAGGTGTGTAGCTTGTTTACTTTGTGGGTGTGTGTTGATGCTGTGGAGACTGTGATCTGTTGTATTGTTTGTACGTGTGAATTCTTGCGGCCATGCTTGTTGGTACACGTGTGTCTGCCAACATGTGCCTTGTGTGCGTCATTAAATATTCATGTCTGTATGTTTGACCTTGTATTTCCCACTGTTTGTGTTGCTGGTGTGTTTATCTACAGGATTCTGTTCTGTTTAGAGTTTTCACATAACAGGAGCTAATGAAAATGTACGCATATGTGGGAATTATGATAATGTTGTCTAAGTGTGTCTGTATAATCAAACATATGAGTGTCTTTTTTTAAATGAGTTATCAGTTTATAAACACCGACAGTTATTTTCAGTATGTTTGCTCATCCAGTATTGACACCTCTTTCTCTGTGTTTCATTCTCTCCTTGCCTCTCTTTGACCAGCTGGGCGACTGGGTGTGTGAGAAGATGCTAATGGCGAGGGACAGCAGTCGAGACGAGACCCAGAAGCTTCATAAGAAATGGCTGAAGCACCAGGCCTTTATGGCCGAGTTGGCCCAGAATAAGGAATGGCTGGATAAAATTGAAAAGGTAAGTGCTGCCGGTCCTCTAAATGATTGCATGCTCGCAGATACAGTTTTGGTACTTTTTTTCTCTTGCTTGAAAGTTTACGGGGTCATTCTGGGGCTGAGTGAGTTTTGTGTTGTTTGGCTACTTGGAATAGCGTAAGTGTCAGATAAAGTCTAAAGTCATCAAGTGTTTGGATTATTTTTTCTACCGCCTATAGGTAAGAAGGTCATGTAGACGTAAAGCTATTTTTCTACCAAGTCTACAGTTTAAAAAGCACCTCACCTCAGGAGATCAATAGAAAGTAGAAGAAAAAATGGAAGAGTATATATCTTTATATTGAATAATGTTGATGTGTACTGTAGATGCCAGCTACCCTACTGTTTTAATGGTTAGCAAGATAAAACAATTGGGCTATACTGAATGGTTATATTAGTTGTGTTTAAAAGAAAATAACAGTTGTCAAATCTCAAGTTTGGTCACTGAGTTTTTTTACTGACAGACATCACTGATGTTAACAAAGCTTAAACATCAATTATCAAAGTTTTACAGCCTTTCATTACCCAATGTCATATTAATTTTGAACTGTTTTATACAACTAGTCCTTGTACTAAACACTAAAGCCCTAAATTAACTTAATGAAAGCGTAACAAAGCCAGTGGCAAGGGCAGAAAGTATCACAGAGAGGTTTTAAATAGAGAGGGGCGCTATAACCTTCACCACTGCTCTGTATCCCAATAGGATCTGTTTCAGATTACGGAGATTTATACAGCACATCAGCCTGCAGTCCACACAGGCGTAATTGGGTTAGCCAGTGTTTTCCCAGCTGCACATCCAAGTTTCACCGGGTTGACTTTGGGCTGTTGTGTTCACGTCTGCCTGGCTGCAGTGACGTGAATCCGGATGTCTAAAATCAGAGTCCGTAGAACTGTTAGTTCAGTGTTACGTTCCCTCAGGCTGCCTGTAACTTATCACTGATATTTGTAGTCCTGTTTTAGGTACCACATAGCATGTGTGTGTGTGTGTGTGTGTGTGTGTGTGTGTGTGTGTGTGTGTGTGTGTGTGTGCGCCTCTGTGTTTGACCTGTGAGAGGCATTGAAGGCGTTAATTGAATGACACTTGCTCATGTTATAATATTACAGATGGCTTAGATGTTATGTTGCTATCTACAGTATGTTGTCAATAGATTTCTGAGCACTTTTTCTGCTAAATGAATCATAGATTGTGTACGTGCATCAGAAGAAACTTAAATTTAGACACAATGTAAGGGAAATATGTACAAGATGATACAGTTCTCACATGGGCGGCACGGTGGTACAGTGGTTAGAACAGTCCAAAGACATGGAGTGTGAATGGTTGTTCTTGTCTATGTGCCCTGCGAAGGACTGGCGACAATTCTCACATGACAGTCATTGTCCTGGCAGGATTTACTTGTTTAATGCTACAACCCTAGTCTGTTTTTTGTTTGTTGAAATTCTGCAAAAGTAAAGCCAATTGAACTAAGGCTAAAAAAGGCTAATTGATGCTAAAGCTCAGTATGTCTCTAATTCACTTCCACGCTGATGCTGTATCAGGTCATCATATTACGTTGACAATTTGTGGCTAGCATTCAGCAGTCTCACTATTCCTGCTATTAGAGATTGTATGTGATGAGCCTTCAGAGTATTCAGAGCGAGTAACAGTGAGTGGCTGCTGAACAAGTATTGACAGGAAACATGGATGGACGCTAATGAACCCATATGAGCTGTTGTACAAAATCAGATGTGTGACTGTGAAGTTAGCAGGCTGCAGTTTTATCTGTGTATGGTATAAACAAATCCTGGCAGTACATCTGTTCTGAAAAAAAAGCCAAAGAGCTACTGTTTCTTGTGAAGAAACACTACATGTATTATCGTAAAGCTTAGCACCTATGCTACCATCTGAAAACAAGAGACAAGAAGACAGTTCAGGAAGATTTTCACAAAGTTCATTGAACACAAGATTAGGTAAGACAGGCTAGATGCTGGGGGGGGTGGCAGGTGAGAAGGTGGCAGGTGAGAGCACGGGCAGGCAAGGCAGGGAACAGGGTGGCTGACTGAGAAGTGAGTCCGTGATGGTGAATCTCCAACTAGGCGTTCTCCGAAATCAGAGTGGCACGAGAGCAGAGCAGGGTCTCCAGGAACACTAAGGCACGACTTAATAATCTGGCAGGGAACTGAGGAGATGGCAGGGTATAAGAGCTCGTCCTGATGATAAAAGGACACAGGTGTGCCAAAAGCAGATTGCCTGCAGCTGGGGAGAAACGCCCAGTGTTCCAGTGGCGCAACCCACAACTTCACCCTGAAGGAGAGGAATGAAGGGATGACCGAGAGGAAGAGGGAGAGGGAGAGGGAGACAGAGGCCACACACAGACAGACAAAAAACAAACCCCACCAAGCACCTTTCACATGCTCAAAAAGGGACAAAATAAACTCAATACAAACACACAACACACCAACAGCCACCTCCCCGCTTGTGGCGGTGTGACAAAATATTGCAATACTGAGTGTACTGCAGTATTGAAAACTCTCATACTTGATGGTGCATGCAGCTGACTGTAGCATAATGGCTTGATCCTCTGTAGTCTCATCCTCGGCAGGAAACTGAACTCCCCTGGTGGGAGCAGAATGATGGAGCCAAGGCACACTGTGTGTATATGTTATCTGTGCACACACTGTAAGGCAACCTTTGAATCGGTTGACACTAGAGCTGGAATGATTATTAGATCAGTTGAAACGCAGAAAATTAATAGGCAAATCTTTTAATAATCCATTAAGAAGCAGAGCTAATTTACTGTATCTAACATAAATGCCGACCATTTGATGCAACTTCTTAAATGAGAGGATGTGCTGCTTTTCCTTGTCTTACATTATAGTAAACTGAATTTCTTTAGGTTTTGGACTGTTGGTCATGGTGATATGGTATTTTTCACTATTTCATAATGCTTTAATAAACCAAACATTTAAACAATCAAATAAATGATTGGCAGATTGCTTGATAATGAAAGTAATAGCCCGTGACATGTATACAGGTACCACAGCTTGCAATGGTCAGTGCATAGAAGTGAATGTGTGCTCCTCAAAACAAAACAATTTTTGCTGTCGATTTTCTGCTGAAAATGGTCTTGTACAGTCAGAACAGAAAAGCTTAAAATAAACCAGTGAAGTTGAGGTATTACATCATCTCACCGGCCTTGTCTAATCAGCTCACTGATCACTGTAACATTATGGTTGTTGGCTGTACAGGTAGGCAGCTCCACCCACTACTGGCATATAAACTGCTCATTATGTCTAATTACTTTATGCCTGTCTCTTTCTTCTTCTATAGTTGGCATTGTGAAGTTGGTGTGTGAGAAAAAATGTGTATGTGTGTGTAGCCTTGTGCATGTTAGCATGTGTGAGCATGTCTATTATGTGGGCATATGATGTGGGGAAATTGGCTGACTGGTGTGTAATAATATAAAATGTAGAGAGAGCAGCACTGCGAGGCCTGAGAGTGCCGAGCCGTTTCCATTATAGATTCATAGGTCATGTGCTTCTCTGAAGGCAGAGTTGGGTTACTGGAAAATGCTTACAGGAGGAGAGAGAGAGAGAATGTCAGAGACAGAGGAGAGGAGGTGAGGTGAAAACATTATAGTTTCTTGTTTTATTTGCTTTTTTCCCCCTGCAAATGATAATATGTTGTTTTATATACAGTTACTTTGTACAAAAGTGCACCTATCAAATCTGCTGTTGCTCTGATGTATAAAGGAGTCCATTATGTTTTTTACTACCACGAGCTGAAGTATCAGAATATTGCTGACTGCATTTCTTTGTTTGCATCTTCAGTTGAAAGTATGTAATTTGGCTGACAGTAAAAAACAGCAACAACCTACTCAAAACTTGTCATATCTCACACTACGCAGTGAACAGTGAAATCTCTCTCTCTCTCTCTCTATATATATATATATATATATATATATATGTATATGTATATATATATATATATATATATATATATATATATATATATGTGCGTGTATACATGGGTGTATATGTCTGTCTAAATTGTAACCAGTGTGGCATCTTGGCCAGGTCTCGAGATTTCAGTCTCAAGGGACTGGCTGGTTAAATAAATATAATACGGTGAAAGAAAAATCACAATGCAGATAGAAAAATTGGCCTGAAAAAGACATATTCTGTTTGTATATTGTGGACTTTTGGAAAGTGATGACATTTTGGCTCAACATTGAGGATAAAATTAGCTTTACAATCTACAGTATTATGTCAATGTGATCCTTCTTCCAAATATAGAAGTACAAATGTGTATTTGTGTTTGCATGCATCTCTAATGGTCCCAGCTCATGCTCTTCAGTAGCAGACTGTAGTCACACCAGGCCGTCTAGCTGTTGGCAGATAGACAGGGTTTAGCTTCTGAAGTCATACATGGCAACCATGTCCATCCCACAAACCTGCACCATGGCCATTGCTAAGTAGCTTAAATCTTTTTTGCAAGATAAAGTTCATGTGATTTGGCTTCTTATCGTGGCAATACGGATAAGGATTTGTACACATTGCTGACTAGAAACACTTTTCTGTTCCTCTGCACTGTGCTGAAGCTACAGAGTTCCTGAACTTGATTATATTTGTTTATTTTTTTCAAAAAAAAAAAACTTTATGAAGTGAACAAAGTAAATTAAAACACAAAAAAGAAATTAACAGAAGGTTAAACAGGCAAAAAAGATTTTTAAAAAATCATTAAACAACCGTCACTGGGTTGGAATATGAATTGCATTAGCTGTACAATTTCAGAGCTCATTGTTGTACGTTCTGTCCAAACACTCTGCATCTTGTGTCCTGGTTGTTTCACTCAGCTTGTGTCCTCTGAGAGTCTATTTTTGTAATCGGGTAAGAACCTCTCTCTGCTATAAAGAAATCTGTTTTTAGGGTAGCATCAGCCATCAGTATGTGTATATGTATTTCAGCATGTACAGTATGTGTAAACCGTGTGAATGAGCTTTTACCAGGGAACTGAATTTGATCTCTTCAACTTAAATGTCCCAGAGAATCTTTGATAGCCAAACCCCTCTTCTTTAGTGAAAGCGCACTTTACATCAAAGTCTCTTAAAGGTGTCTGTCTCCCCCTCTTTTCCTCATCAACACACCCTTAAGCACAGAGCTCTGTACTGCCTGTAGCTACCTAAAAGCTAACATCAGGGTCAAAGCATAACATGACATTAGTCATACCTAAACCTTGAAATATCTCTATCCTCTTATAAGAAAATTGATTTGTTTACAAAGGCTAGGAACATAAACCAATCTAACTTTAGGAAACAGACAGAGACACAAGGTCTTACAGTGTCCATCATTATCAAATCAGATTTGTTTTTGATTCCACCAAATTTTCTACCCCTACCCTACCCCCAGTTATGATCACTCTTATATGTACCTTGGTTGATGGTTAATTGTGTAGGTAGTATTTGAAGAAAGAGAAAATTATAGTAATATTTTGTACTGTGACCTTAACACAAGAACTGTAGGTGGGATCGCATCCTCACAGGGCTTTCACACCAAAAAGGACAAGGTCAGCATTTTGCAGAGCAAGGCCTTTATCTCTAATGAAGAGAGCTGCTGACCTCCACATTGCTCATCCGATGGGATTCTGGCAATGTCGGGAGGTGGAAGTTATGACAGTGGAGAAGTTCTACACTCCAGTCCTCCTGGGGTCTAGGTAACAAACCTCCAGCCCAACAGAATATATCACAGAGCACTGTGGAGGGTTATAAAGTTCAGGTTATAATGTTTAGATTCAGATTTAGTCCATAGCGTCATAGTTAGCTGTCTTGGGTGGCTCTTCAATCTGAGCACTACCTTGCACAAACTGTTCGTTCTTGCAGGTTTGGTCTAAACATTACATTTACTCATTTAGTCCAAAGCAACTTACAATTGCTGTATACATGACAGAGGTCCCATGCCTCTGGAGCAACTAGGGGTTAAGTGTCTTGCTCACGAACACATTGGTGGATGTGTCGCAGTGGGATCAAACCCAGGTCTCCCGCACAAAAGGTATGTGTCTTATTCACGGAGCCATTGCTATCACTACAACAGTCCTCATATCCTGTAGGCTGAACAAATTTAAGTTTACCCTTGTTGTATTGTCCAAGTTCCAGTTTCACCATTCTCCTTCAGGTGGTGTTGCCTGTATAAAAGCTCAGTGAATAATGTCCCATGGCCACTGTCTTCCAGGTGAGCCTGGAAAACTCAGTAGGAGTAAAACTCTCTTCTCTCAGTAGCTATTGACAGTGCACCCCTGAGCAAAACACCATCAACGGCGTCTGTGTTTGTCAGTGTGGGACCTCTTGTGGGATTCTGAGAGGATGTAACTATGTGAAAAGAGCACATAAATGAAGATTAAAACAACAATCTTCCATCAGTGAGTGTCTCAGTGATGGGGGAGACCCAAGCAGAGGAAGATTTTTTGTTTGATAATATTGATGCATCTTGTGTGCTGTTTCGGTTGTGACATCAAGCAGCAGCTGGAGCGGCTTCCTGTGCTTGCGCCGGTTGACAGGTAACCACTGTCCAATCCCCTCTCCCCTTCTCCCTGTCTTCCCTCCTTCTTCGTACAGCGTACAGTATGTGTGAAGGTCATTCCTGCTTCTCTCTCTGTCTCTCTCTCTCTCTCAAGCTCAATCCTCTCCCCTTTAACCAGGGGACAGGAAACATGTCTGCTTTGGAGCATTGAGATTCAGCCTTCAACAGTAGGTGTTAATGTAGTTTAGTGTTGAGGGCCAAATCTAATAAGCTGAGGTTTGCAGTGTTCTGAATGTGTAATGCATTGTTTAATCAATAACTGTGCTGTTCTGTCGCTGCAGGATGACTGGGCTTTCTTAGTGGGACATATCTGAAAACATGTGGATCATAACATGAAACTATGACAAAGTTTGTGAATGAATGAATGACCTGAGCGAAAACATTTGTACCAAAGCTCAAAGAAGGTTTATGCCCAGATACAAAGATACATTTTGTTGAGCCACTTGTTCAGGTTTCAGGTTTCTAACCAAAAATATATCCTATTAGTTTTATTTACAGAGCTAGAAGTCAATGTAACACTAGTCTGCACGCACGCAAAGACGTGCCTAGTCAGTCTATAATGTCTGAAATGTAACTCTGCAGTGATGTTGACCAAATAGAAGCTGCAGGCTGTTAGGGGTGATTTGCTTCAGTTGCACCAGACTGTGTTTGTTTGTGTATGAGGGTATGCGGGGGTGTGTGTGAGTGCATAGTGAAAATGGCTTCCTCCCCATGCAGTTGCTAGCCTAAATCCAGTAGGCGCTTGATTCCTGTCCTCTTCTCTCCCATTATGCTTGATAATTAATTGGCCTCATTAACTCATTATGATTAGCAACCTCAGCCTCTGCTGTCCTGATCCCACTCTCTCTGTTTTGTATCACACACAAGTAAAGAGAGGAATAGTTTGAGATGAATAGTGTGAAAAGGCTTGATATTTAAATATAGTATTTGAATGTTAAAACATCTGTTTGGTGTTGTGTCTCTGTGACTGCTTCTTGTATGTTGTTTCATGTTGTGAAACCTCCTTTTTATAGCATCAAATAACCAAACTTATCAGAAATATTAATACTTGAACATGCATCATGTGTCATAAGAACTACCTAAAATGACAGAAACCACCAAAAACTTACCATATTTGACATGTACTCCAATTTTTTAGTTTGGGCCATCTCCCATCTGCTAAAATGCAGCCAGCAGCCAGGAGGCAAACGAGATGTTTTGGCTTCACTTTTGGGAAGCTGTCATGTCGTCTATCTTTATATACAGTCATTGGTTTGCACACAGTCATTGGTTTGCAGAGATAACAGTTGAACACTACTAAACACTAGTTGCCCCATGAGTCAAAACACAATTATTTAACAGAGAAACAATTTAAATCCTTACTAATAGTGGACAAAAGTTTGGCCTGAAGGTGACGCTATGTGTTTTCCTAAATCCTGTATGCTCTGTACAGTTGGCACGTTTGGATATATTAGCCTCAGCTTGTCAGGCTCAGCTACGCAATGGCAGACTTTAATCAGCTAAAGTCTCGGCTTTACTTGGGCTCGGCCATGCATTGAGCTAACATGCTAACATTAGGAGTTCCTCCAAAACACAGCGAATGTTAGTGGTAGCATGTCTACATTTAGCATGTTGACGTATGTATGTTTGTCACCTATTGGATGTTGGAACATTTATTACATAATGTTAAACAACATTTTAAATGTTACATGCTAAAAGTTATCATGTTAAGCAAAGTAATATGGTAACATTTGGCTTGTTAGCCTGCTAATGTTACCATGTTTCCATATCCAATTACCATTTGTCTGAATTTATGGCTAAGGCTGACAGTCTTTTGTCATAATCTGGACTTAATGTGTTTGAAATGTTTGCGTGTTTGTGGTGCTAGATGAAATGTTGGGATCACAAGCACCTTTAGTTTCTGTAGCAAACATTATGGTACGATTGTTGAGATATTTCTTTCTGCACTGATGTTAGAATTGCCTGTTCTGTTCTGCCCTCTGATTTATAATCAGTAAAACTCTTTTGTATTAAACTTTTATTTTGAAAGATCTGCCTTTATTTTGATACTGCAGGAGACATGCCCTGCATTCTGGGGTAGGAAACCTCAGTTGAGAGTTGCAGGTGTAGATGTGCACATGGTGAAGTTTTCACCTGTGTCTTCGCTTTTCTTTCTCCCCCGAAAGCAATGGCTGTAAGTTTTTTGGTTGTTTAATACATTATTTGACATGTATAAGTGACCTAGGTTTACTTCCTGTGTACAATGTTAGTTGTAAATGCACATAATTAACAGGAATTCATTCTAGTGTGAGAGAGATGCTAATTTGTGATAAAGTTAGGCTAGATGCTAATGGTAACACATAATTTACATGTAATTTGGTTTATGGCTAGTGTTAGCTCTTATTGGCCAGCTGTTTTGTAGTCATACAGCAACTTTGTTTGTTGCCAAAGAGACATTATAAGTATTTCCTGCCTTTTGTTTATTTCAGTTTCACTCATAAGTTTTCACCTGTCGAACATGAAGATCAAAGTCAATAAAGGAGCAAGGCGCCCGCTTCCTGGCTCGTGAAAATTGAGTTTGGCTGGCTGTTGACGTAACGGAAACAGTACACACTAGAGCTAAGTTAATAAAATTATTTTTAAAAACTAACAACATATCTTTATCTCTTTTTGATATATACTACATTATGCAACTGCCTCACACACAAAGCCCTGTGTGCATTAAGCTTTGACCTGTAGTTTTGTGCTGGCTCTGCAGTACAGGAGAAAGTGTGTGCGTAAAAGAGGGAGTGTGTGTAGGTGTGCTTGTAGGCGGGTGGTGTGTGGTGAGAACATCAATGGAGCAGTGATGATACCAGCACTCTCTCTGAGAGCAAATGGTAAACTGAGATGGATATCTGCTGTTATATTTTTATTCTTCAATCAATTCCAGTTTTATTTAGATTCTTTAGCATTACTGTTCATGCAGCATTCACGCAAAGCATAAAGAACTAGACTGAACTGAGACAGTGATGCTGGGGAAGACAGAGAAGGCTGAAACCCTGCTGTCAAGACACTTATCCTTCAAAGACAGCTCTGCCTTGACTGGCCTTCATGCACACCAGAAGAGTTTAAACCTTAATCTGTTTGCTCACTTTTCTGCAAATTTTTGTTTATTTTGTCTTCAGAAGACTTCTGGTTTTAAGAGTAACCCATAAACGTTAACAGTGAACATTTAATTTTCTGGTCAAATTCTTATTATTGCTTTTAAACTGAGTTAACAAGCACCCAGTGTATTTACCTCTTTCTTTTCTAGTTCATAGTGCTGCGAAATGAAAGGAATCTCAACAGAGTGTCCTACACCTCCCAAACCGTAGAGCACTCTGAGCTTTCTGAAGCTCTCAGTACAGAAAGACACACTCAAGGGGGGTTGACAAAAGTCAAAAAAAACAACAAAATAAAACATGTTCAGTGCTTCTCTTCCTACAGTCAAAGTGATGCTTTTACAGCAGCACAGGGGAAGAGAAGAGGGCACCTTTTAGATAGATGGGACAACAGCGCTCATCTCCGCCTCTAGCTGGGCACCTTTTGGATAAAAGATTTTGTCTGTCATGATTGTGTTATGGGGACACTCTTTCCTTTTGGGGGCAAAACAGAAGTCCAAATAACGTAAGGTCAATGTAAAGTCCTTTGAATTGATGGATACATGACTGTGTGTGTATCTGTAAACCTACTCTAGTTATGTTAACATTAGTTTTACTTCCATTTGTTTCCTCTAGCATTTTTTGCTAACAAGTGGACATCATGCCACCAGTTGCTGACCTAGACTATTATTTACAAATTACTAGGGCTGGGCATGTTAACATTAATTAATTAATGCCACCAATTACTTTATCGCACTTTAACGCATTTTTTTAATTATTATTTTGAAAGTCCATTGCTCACTGGCTCTACACATGCAATCCATGGGTCACAGGAGGGGTGGGATGTTGATGTCTCTTTTCCAATTGATTTGTGCTGCACGTCACGTACAAAAAGTTCAAGACAATTCAACTTTGAGTTGGCCATGCTCGACCACTTCACCTTCACCCAACTCTAACAGGGAAACTTGCTACTGATTGAACATAGACTGTTTCTGCTGCTCCCTGATAAAAGAAAAATGTTTCTGCTGATACCTGTTCAGAAACATTTGCACATAACAATGCGATTAATCGAAAGAAAATCATGTGATTAATCGCGATTAAAAATTTTAATCGTTGCCCAGCACTACAAATAACAAATAATACACACTAATAATAATAAGAAAACATGAGGATGATTTCCAGGAGGTGGTGATGTTTTGTACTAATCATCATAATATATTATTTAAGAAGTTAATAAAATTCCTTCTGCTGCTTGATTATTTGTAGTATGAATGGCTCCTGCCGCTGCCATTGCATGCATCACTTTCTGTGTTTCCTCATGAAAGAGATATACTACTGAGATATACACTATGAACAGAATAGAGTTTGAATCTGAAAAATGTCACCAATTATTCATTTAGAAAGTGATTGCTATCACCTGGAACATTGTTGTTGCCGTTTGGTCGTACGAGCAGATTTTTGACAAGTGGAGTAAATATTGACGCGGTAGCTGCAGTAGCCTGAGTGTGACAGACACACACAGACCAGCAGAGTGTCAGCAGTGACGCTCAGGAGCAGATGTCTGCTGTAATATACAGACCAGACAGCAGAATGAGGACAACCCATCTGTTACTGTTAGCGTCAGTCTTCTGTCAGGAGTCCTCTCACACTGTCCTTCAGGACTCTTATTCCTCCTTTTCTTCTTCACGTTGCCTGTTTCTTGTGTTTGATTTTGTTCTTGGCCAATTTAGTGTGGGTTCATATATTCTTTTAGTATTCAATCACATCAGTACAATCATTTTTTATTATCACATAATTGAGTAAAATATCTATAAAATATTTCATTATATCTTTTCACTGAGTAATGAGTGTATAGCTTGTTAAACAGTGTAAATTTGCTGTCCCCTCAAAATTACACATCACACAGCCATTAATGTCTAAACCGCTGGCAACAAAAGTGAGTACACCCCTGAGTGAAAATGTCCAAATTTGGCCCAATTAGCCATTTTCCCTCCCCGGTGTCATGTGAATCGTTAGTGTTACAGGGCCTCAGGTGTGTTAAATTTGGTGTTATCGCTCTCACACTCCAGCATACTGGTCACTGGAAGTTCAACATGGCACCTCATGGCAAAGAACTCTCTGAGGATCTGACAAAAGAATTGTTGCTCTACCTAAAGATGGCCGAGGCTACAAGAAGATTGGCAAGACCCTGAAACTGAGCTGCAGCACGGTGGCCACGACCATACAGTGATTCAACAGGACAGGTTCCACTATAGCTTCTCCTGCGTGCTTTGAAAGGGAGGGGTGAGCAATGAATGATGGTGCATTCATGTGGTGTTGGAATAATAAAAAAGATATAAAAAAGTGTACATGGGACATAAAGAAGTATACAGAACTTTTATTCTTGCAAAATCAGTATTGTGTGTATATATATTGCAAACATGTAATTTGTAATATGCTTATAACGGTTAGTTTGCTGTCCATGTAGAGTGAACTAGATGTCTGGGTGTTTATATGCTTTGATAATGAAAATCCAACACATCTTAGTAGGAGCATCCATGTTGATTCCATATTTTGACTAAAGAGCACATGAACACACAGTGAAGTCAGAAGAATGACTTCATAACTCGGGACATGGGGCCATGTGAATGCACTGTGAGCCACAGGTTGCAATTCACAATCCTCACCGCTAGATGTCACTAAAACTTACATACTGAAACTTTAAATAGTATTTGACAAAAGACAATTTAAGGTATTTTAATAAAAGTTTTTTTAGTAAAGATTTACTTACATCACCAGATGGACATGTAAAATGTAGAAGAAACTCAAACATTGTTTTAATAGAAAAAGAAAAAGACAGTACTGACCACACTTCACAGGCAACACGCTTACCATTTTAAATGGTTACATTCACCCAGTGACTTTGAATTGCACTTCTATAAAGTTGGGCCACTTGCAAGAGACAGATTAAAAAGAAGAGTGGCTCAAAATCAATACAGAAGAGGCAGAGATACCGTGGCTTTTAGTCCCAGGCGTGGGCCAAGCTCCAAAAACACTTGATCCTTCAATTCCCATAAAGCAACTCAATAGCATCTTTCATTAGACCCACCCTACCTGATAAACACCAATGTCTTTCAAACTCCCTGCACCCAGTTTGTAATGTAAAGAGTCCTGTCTCTAAGCTCATGCCATGATTATTCTAATGACAACAGAAGATATTACACTACTGTTTTCACCGGCTGACTGAACTGATCTCGAGTCAAACTAAAAAGAAAATACAGCTGTTATGTGCTGGATTTTCCTTCACATTGTTTCGGATCAGGTTGCTGTGGTATCTCTGAAGATACTGTTTGTGTGAGCAGTGCAACATCATGATCCTCTTTGAACTGCAGACTGAGTATGTGTGAGTAGCAGCTCTCAGCCTGTGGGTGAAGCTACTCGAGCCCACGCAGCTCTCCCACTTACAGCAGAGGACGGCAAGCATCAGCAGGGAAACGCTACACCAGAATGAAGGCTGACATAACAGTGGAAGTTACAGGACAAAGAGTCGTGTAGTGCAGCCTGCTGTGCAGCTTTTAATTCCTCTCCATGTTCTATGTGTGTTAACGTATAAACACATTTATACCTGAGAGATGCACAGTCATTTGTTCCTGGAACGAAATATCATAGAAGATTTTTGCTCTCTTGGATGCAGGTGAATCAGAAGTTCAAGCCATTAGTGTTTGTATTTTTTGAGAGTAACCTTAATTTAATGTAACAGTATGTTTTACAACATATTACCATAAATAGTGTTTTCCATGTATGGTCTTTTCTATATAATGTGGTCTACTATATTATTATTATCTTACATGTACTAATTTGTTAAAATCTTTTGCAAACTCTAAATGCAAATAAAGGCTGAAATAACTATAGTAACCTTCAGCTTTCATACTTTCTAAGGTAGGCTACCAGTATTTTGAACAAGAGTTTTTTGCAAAATATAGCCAAGTTGAGTTCAGTGATTGAAGCAAATAAACTCCTGGGCTATGACATTGGTATTTTCAAAAATTACATATGTTTTGTCAAAAAAAACATTTTATTTTGTAATATCTGGCTTAACATTCACCATATAGCTCTGGAGGGTAAGTGATGGTTTTGGCAAGGACTTTAAACCTATGATGTTTTTAATATTACTTTGTTATATGGCCAGAGACTAGACCAACCAGAGATTTCCTCAACCATTTTCACACAACCTGTCCGGGGGTTTGGAAGTTCTGTGTCTGTAGATTTTATCATAACCTGAGTGAGTCAGGCGGGATTATGTCCTCTGTGGATGGTGAGTCACTTACTTATTTTACTGTCTTGGTGAAATGCCTTGGCAGAGTCTAAAATTACCACCTGCCAGGCACCTAATGCTGGGAAACGTAATGGGTCACTCAAACAGGCCAGTAACTTAATTGTTCCTGAAGTTTCAAAATCTCTTGTAATTTCAAGTTCTATAGGTTTATGAAACACCATTTGACAATGTGTATTTGGTATATTTCCCTAAAACAAATTTGTACTTATTTTATTTACATACCTTTAGAGGTGAACAAACAGTTGTTATTTTGAATGTTAGGAGCTAATTCTACGCAGACTACATTATTGTGATAACTAGTAATTTATAATACTTTCAAAATTGGCAATATTCTATTAAAATCTACTAGCAATATTTAATAGCTATGCGATGGATATCAGTCTGTTGGTCGGTGGGTCGACCAGCACTTTCAGTCAGACTAAAATAACTCAACAACTACTAAATAGATTGCCATGCCATTTTTTATACAGGCTTTTATTGTCCCCAGAGGATGAATCATAATTACTTTTGTGATCTTCTGACTTTTCATTTAGCACTATTATCAGGTCATGACCACATACCTGCAAAACTAATGACATTCCCATCAGTCTCAGTCATACTTTGTGTTTTGTGGTAATTTGCAAAAGTTAACTGTTTAATATGAGCATATTAGCATGCCGACAATAGTATTTATTTCAAAGCACCGCTGTGCTTATGTACACGCTCACAGAGTTGTAATTAAGTAAGTAAGGATTATTTGTATAGCACCTTCACAGATAAAAATCACAAAGTGCTTCACAGTAAAATGTAATACAATACAACAGTAAAATACAATGTATAAGAAAATTTTAAATACAGATGGAAAACATAGAATTTTTTAAAAAGAGCAGCAGAACAGCGCAGCTATTTATTAAATAAAAATGTAACTTTATTAGCAGCCAAAATGATACATTACTTGAATGTTTGGTAGTTTTTTTGTCTTTGCTTGGTTTGCTCTTCTTTCTCCCTCTAACAGACACACATATAAACAGGGGCTGTAATAGACGAATTTCAATTGGATGGGGGAAGGATTTCACTGTGGGGGAGGAAGAAAGGAAGGAGCAGGTGTCCATAAGGAATGGCGGTGTGTGTGTGTGTGTGTGTGTGTGTGTGTGTTTGTGTGTGTGTCTCAAATGGTGCTCAGAACAGGATGAGGTACAAAAGGGGGGCAGAAATATGTAAAATACAGGACAGAGCGTGAGAGAAGGGGGAAGGGGAGTGTGAGGTAATTTATGAGGCATTTTAATACAACAAGGTCTAATCCCCTCACACACACACACACACACACACACACACACACACACACACACGCACACACACCTCCTAACCCAGTTCCACAGTGCCTGCACAATTATCCCAACACAAGATTCAGTGTTTTTGAATGTCATTTGTTGATGTGATGAAACAGAGAAAAGGGACCCAGACTCTGGATTTATGCCTCCTTATATATATATATATGAGATTATGATATTACATTTCAGTAGGGCTGCAATGAAGGATTATTTTCATTATTGATGAATCTACCAACTATTTTCTCCATGAATCTTTCAGTCTTTAGAATCAACAGTCCAAAAGCCCAAAATATTGGCTTTATTATTTAAGAAGAATAAGAGAAGAAATATTCACATTCGAGAAGACACATTTGTGCTTGAAAAATTGCTTATTTACTTAAAAATTCTCTTGCTAGTTCTTCGATGTTGCCTACCCCAGCTTTAACTGATCTGTTTATTAAAACTATAAAATACTGTAAAACGTTTTTTACATGTAAATACATGTTCATTGTTACACCTTCTAAATGTGATGATCACTACATTAATTGATAGTGAAATTGATAATTAGCTGGTAATGGTATCGATTCCATCCCTGTGTTTGCAACAGATGGTGTCGTTGTTCCCTCTCTGTTACACCCTCCATTGTTGTTTATTTATTTTTGTTGTTTGTGTAATATTTTGGTCTTTGATTGTAAAGTCTGCTCATTGGAATATAAACAGTTGTGGACACCACAGCTGAAGAAAGACGTATATTAAAGACATAATTTTGGATTTTGGAGTATCTTTTGGTAGAAACCTGCATAGTGATGTGGAAAAGGGATTTAAATGAAACCAAGATATGCTTAAAGAGTCTGACTTTATGTTAATACTCCCTAGGTGCTGTGTAGAGACCTATATTGCTTCACTGTTTAAGGCGCTAGTTATCTTACTCATTGACCATATTCTCATAACAGGTTGTGTTTAATATAGCCTGGTGCTTATGGTGTGACATTTAGTAGCTCAAGTGTCTTTTGTTTTCAGTATTTACCTGAAGTCTTATTTTTGGACATGCCTGTGACTCTGCTCTACATGTTCAACTGTTAACAAATTATACATGATCTAAATGTCGTTATCGCTGTTATTAAAACCCGTCTTATTAAAACACGAAAAGTCTCACTTCTGTCTCATCACTCCCTCTTTCTCCTTCCTCCCGTCCATCCAGGAGGGCCAGCAGCTGATCCAGGAGAAGCCAGAGCTCAGCCCGGTGGTTCGGAAGAAGTTGGAGCAGATCAGGGAGTGCTGGCAGGATCTGGAGAGCACCACCCAGGCTAAAGCCCGCCAGCTCTTTGAGGCCAACAAGGCTGACCTGCTGGTGCAGAGCTACGAAAGCCTGGACCAGAGACTGGGCCAGCTGGAGGGTCAACTGGTTTATGTGGACCAGGCACAGGACCTCACCACTGTCAACAAGCAGCTGAAAAAACTACAGGTACGTGGGACCTGTAGTTAGGACTACTTTTTGACCTATCCATTCATTCTAGAGACCTAGAAACCTAAAACTAGTCATTATTTGATAAGAATTATAGGACTACAAGTTTTTATACCCCGCGACCCGACCCCAGATAAGCAGATGAAGATGGATGGAAGTTTTTATACGTGTTTAGAATAAGAACAGTTATGTATGCCATAATTTTGTTAGCTCTAGGCTACAGATGTCATTACAAAGATATTTTCTCCAAGATAAATATTCCTATTTGAACGTACAGTGATACCAAATGAAGTTTCCCCCTTGCTTCTTTTTTTAAACATGTATCTATTTTGGGGAGGATTCGACATGTCAATTAAATGGCACTACTTCTCTAGCTGTTTTTTGGTTGTAGGCCTTTTTATCAGTCTAACCAGCAGCTAAAGCGGTAACAGGTGTTTTTATTTCCTTTAATGAATTACTGAAGCATTACCCTGGCACACACTCAGTCTGTGGTCTTCTGTAGTGCTCAAAACATCATGTATAGTTATTATAATTATACATTTTCTAGGGTACATTGAGAAAATGCTCTACAGGGTGACCTGATTCTGTAGCTCTCCTCTTCTTTACTCTACATGTTGAACCGTCTCAGAATGACTCGTTGTTATCGCCACACAGTGACGGCCTCATCTCATTAATATTTGAACAAAACATCATGTTTGGAAATGACTAACAACAACATTTCCTACGATAGGCCTGAAATGCTTTCTGTTAATTTTTTCATCTCATTTCAGCAAAGTCAGGCTCTTTTACTTTCACGCCAACATCAGTTTTTTATTTGTGTTATTTGAAACATCATAAACAATCAGCATTCCTGCCAACCCGGTGAGCTTTCATAAGAGTTTCATCCCAAGATCATTTTACAAATACTGATGATTGGAAATTATTGATTAGTATTTTTCGAATACTGATGCCAACTAAACAGATTTTGGTGTTCTTTGATAAGCTAATTATTTTTGTTGTTGTTTTGTTATTTAACTATAGGACATGCTAATTTAATTTATGAACATATTAGCATTGAATCGTCTTAAAGGTGGTGTATGCGATTCTGGAGATATCCAACAACATGACTAATACCATGATACAGAGTGAACAATGACACAGCTAATAAAGTTACTAACGTTAGCTAAGTTGTGGGTTAGCATGCTGTCGTTACAATTGCTGCTGAGAAGCTAACATGAAGCTAATGTGCAGAGAAGCAAGACGGCCCATGAGCCAGCACATTAGCTCCAAAAAGCGATACTCACAGCTTACCTGCCACTATAGCTAACACAATAGTCTGGCAAACTAGAAAGTAAACTGAATATTCATGGGCAAGTCATTTAACGTTACCTGACAAACTAATCATGGTGGGCACGGCTGAAATAGTGTGGTGGGGTAGGGTGCTGGCCACTTTGTTTGTTTCCCATTTACAGAGCCAGGGCTGAGTAGCCTACAAACACGGGAATTTCTTTCAGCGCACACGTAGACATTTAGCGGAAAGTGAGGAGATATTCGCTGAATTTGACAAAAACACATCGCATACTCCTCCTATAAGTGTACTATATTAATTAAATACTAAACTCTGAGCAGGTGGTTTGTACGTTATTCTGTTAGATTCATTGAAAACATCACTGCCCTCTGAACAGTGTTTCAATCAGGAAAAAAAAGGAATACATTTTACATTTTTGTCATCGGTTTGTGAGCGATGTGGATGAATGTGAGGCATTGTAAAGTGCTTTGTGCCGTTGAAAAGCGTTGTCCATTTACCATTTACCAACATCAACATAAAATCAAAACATTACCTTAGAGCTTCCTATTGACCCCAACTGTTACTACCAGGTCCAGGACTTTATTCTGGAGTTTAAAGTCTTTTCAGGAGAGAAGAAGAGCATGAACGTTTTTTTTCAAAAGGCGTTGGCTCAAGCAGTAAAAATCTTTTTTATTATTACATCACGTGTCTGGCTATTTGATCGTTTCTAACACATGGAGAATCATTAAACTCTCCTGATCATCAAAGCAAACAATGAGAAACTACATTGAAAATTAATAAATAACTGCAGTGAGAAATATTAAAATTCTGTCATTCATGATGCTAATGGCAGATTAACGTCTGCAGAACTCAATTTGTCCATTTCAGTTGATTTTCTTTTGAATTTTCAGTGCAGCGTTTTCTTTTTGATTGCAACAACCAACCTTTCAATAGAGGCTACAACTATGCTGACAGTGATTTTGCCATACACAAGTACAGTACAGTAACACAACAACTTGACTTGATTATGCCCTTAACCTGACCAATAACATAAAAATCCATATCCATTAGGTTTAATTTCATGGTTGTAAACATATTGCAAAAAGGTCCTTTTCTCTGTACATCTGATATTGGGATGTAACTCTTCACTTGCCCTCCAACAGCGATGGTTTGGAAGAGTCTTTAAAAACGAGCAAACAGCAGGCAGACGTGACCTGGGCTGACACACAGATTCATCCTTTCATTACTTCATCATTTCACCCGACATGTGTCACTCTCCTCTCCCACAGCAATCTGCTCACAGCTTCCTTTAACAGGCCGCCATTACACTGCTTTACCACATCATCCTAACTCCAAACCAAACTCCACTACTCAGCATCCATCCTGGCAAGGGGTACAGTAAACTTCACTACACTTCATATCTATCAGTTCTTCTTTCGCTGTTCTTTCGGGTTATTTTCACCAATTTTTTTGTCCATCCACTAAATTATTAACTGAAGAAAGGAGCTATTTCAGTAATGATTAGAAAATTCTTAAAACTTCATTGACACAGAGATTGCAAGTATTATTATTAATTTTATTATTATTATTTGCTTTAATGCTTTAATTTCAGGCATTACAACAAATTATAACTGAATTCTTATTGTGATCATCTTTTTGGATAGGCCACAGGATGTGGCTGCAGTTTTTGCACTGTTTTTCTTACAATTTTTTAAAAACTGTATACTGTTAATTGTATTGTACAATAATAATTGTCTTTGCTATACAATAATATTCTTATCTGAAAGGATTATCTTTTTTAGCTATTTCTGATTTCTAACTTTAAATTAAAAGTTATTTTAAATCTATGTCAGAAATTAAACCAATAAAAATATTATTTAACGTGTGAATTCACTCTCGCCTGAGAGTCAAAACGACGACAAACTACACATTTTTGCATTTCTGTCACATTCCTCACGTCCCACTCATCCCACTCATCCCATCTTTGTCTTGTCTCCCATGACAACATGTTTCTTATACCTCCACCCAATTAATTCTTTCTTCCTCCTACATCCATCCCTTTCTCCTAATCAACACATCCTCTTTTCCTCCGTCCATTTTATTAAACTTCCACTCTACTCCCCTTCTCCTCCACCATCCTCCTCCTCCTCCTCCACCTCCCACTCAGACTATGGAGACCCAGATGGAGGAGTGGTATAAGGAGGTGGGGCAGCTCCAGGTGCAGGTGGCCTCCATCCCGCAGCAGACGCAGATCAAAGAGACGGTTGCTGGGCGTCAAGCCGTCGTGGAGGCCAGGATGGTGCGTCTGATTGAGCCGCTGAAGGAGAGACGACGCATCCTGCTGGCGGCCAAGGAAGTTCACCAAGTCGGACGAGACCTGGAGGATGAGATTGTGAGTTTGACGGTTGTCTGCCAACACTGACATACTTAATACTTAAAAAGATATTTATTAACTTGCATTCATTTCCCGGAGACACTACATACCTTACCCCAACACTTACCCTTACCTTATATTTAAAACAATCCAACAATGTAATGATTTACATTGCGGGGACATGCATTTTGTTCCCAAGAGGAAGATAAGTCCCCACAGTGTGACTGGGCAAACAGATTAATTTGTAGTGTACACATACACACTCAATCACAGTAAACTGGCTGTCTTCATGTTACAGCCTGGACGCCTAATGAATTTATTATTGACACTCATGTTTTCATGTCTTTATTTGCAGACTTTGCAAATGTATTTGAAAAATGAAAACCTTAAATGTTTTGAGAAATTATTGTTCAACCCAGTTGTAGTCCAAAATCTTTAAAAGGTTTTTAAGATATCTCTACAACTAAACTAGATTCCATTATTAATGAGATTTTGCTGGATATTTCTGTATTTACAAATTCTCTGTTAATATTTTCACTTCACTTTCATGTATATTGTTATCAAAACGATTATGATGCTGCACACACACATCAGAAACTTGAGGTGAGATGCACACCCACAAACTCAGAGTAAATATATTCAAATGCTGTGTTTCTCTCATATTGTCGTGGTTGTAGTTGTGGATCCAGGAGCGCCTCCCGATGGCCATGTCTCAGGAGCACGGCTCCAGTCTGCAGGCAGTCCAGCAGCTCATGAAGAAGAACCAGGTAAGAAAAGTACAAAATAAATAGTGACTTTAACCGCAGGTGTAACCTCTGGCTCACCGTTGATACATTGTCACCACCCTAATTTCAAGTCAAGTCATAGAAATATGGACAGATAATAGGAGAGAGATAAACATGATGTATAAACCCCTAATTTATCTCCCTGTCCTGTATACATACCTACCTTATAATGTATTGTACTTATTTTTTTCCTGTAATCCAATAATTAATTATTTGAATCTTATTAACATTGTACTGCTTTAAATAGCATTGAAAAGATCTAAACAGCCACCTTCCATTTCTTGTTATTGCCCACTGCCTCTGCTCCAGACACTTCAGAGGGAGCTACAAGGCCACAGGAGCAGGATCGAGGACGTGCTGGAGAGGGCGGGAATCATCGCTTCCATACGTAGCCCAGAGGCCGACTGTGCCAGGGCGGGACATGACCAGCTGGCCCAGCTGTGGGCTCTGCTCTGGGCCGAGACCGAGAGGAGGCAGCTGGTCCTGGACGCCATGTACCAGGCCCAGCAGTACTACTTTGACACGGCAGAGGTGGAAGCCTGGCTGAGCGAGCAAGAGCTGCACATGATGAATGAGGAGAAGGGGAAGGTGTGTGTGCGAGTGGCATTTCAATAAAAACAACAAATAAATCTGTTTCAGAATAACTGCATGTAGCATTTATCATCAGGGAATCATTTACCCTTAAAATTATAATTTTGACTAACATTATATATTAACATTATAACTAATAGCTAATCATAAGGTGACTCTTTCGTCTTTACACAGACTTATACATAGAGCCAGAATTAAACATTTGTGCTGTGTGTGTATTATTTATTTCCATGTGTGTGTCGTTTCCTCCTTCGTCCAACCAGGACGAGCCGAGCACACTGCAGCTGCTGAAGAAACACTTGGTCCTGGAACAGACCATCGAGGACTACGCAGAGACCATCGGCCTGCTGTCACAGCAGTGTCGACAGCTGCTGGAGATGGGGCATCCAGACTGGTGAGCATGTAAACACACAAACTCAGACACGCGCACAGTCTAACTGAGATTTTCTGTCACCTCAAAATAAATAACAAGAATGGTTGTAATTTTATGCATTATGACCACAATAGAAAGTATTTGAGTTCAGCAAAAGTTAACCATATAAAATACATTGTAGTCTTTAACACTCTGAAATTTTAATGTTTAAAGATTTAACTGTATCACAGTCGTTGAATTAAAACGTATGCTTTTTTGCACGTAGCATGTATTGGTCAGGAGTTATTTGACTGGCAAAGACAATATTTTTAATGAACGTATTAAAATTAGCTCTCATGACTGCAAGCAGCTTATCTTGTTTTTTTTCTTGCCATTTGCATCTTGTAAGTGCATTTATGCCAATTTCAAGTTTTGAAAATGAAAGACGATGATGAAAAAATGTGTCAAGGCATAACTGTTTTCTCCTTTACATCTTGCAGTCTAGCCACAGAAAGTTTCTGCTAATAACTGCTGCAGTACCTCTCCATTTCTATACTTGCCCTGACACAGTATCTTCCCCCTTTCCCACAGCGAGCAGATCAGTAAGCGTCAGTCGCAGATCGACCGTCTGTACGTGTCTCTGAAGGACCTCGTGGAGGAGAGAAAAAGCCGTCTGGAGCAGCAGTACTGGCTCTACCAGTTAAACAGGGAGGTGGACGAGCTGGAGCAGTGGATTGCTCAGAGGGAGGTGGTCGCCAGCTCGCCCGAACTGGGTCAAGACTTTGAGCATGTCACTGTAAGTGTGTCGACAGATGGTGTACGGTGGTTTAAGAAACATGTTTTATTAGTCATGTGTTGAAATCAGAAACAACACTGGTCTCGTTTGATTGCTTGTTACATCAAGTTACAACTGTTAATTGGACAGTGACATGACGGTGTCAAATCATTTGTCCTCTTTTCCATTCTTTTTATATTTCCTTTCCCGTCTTACCTCCACTCCTGTCACACCTCCAGGTCCTGCAGGAGAAGTTTACAGAGTTTGCATCAGAGACGGGCAGTGTGGGTCAGGAAAGAGTGACGGCGGTCAACCAGATGGTGGACGAGCTCATTGACTATGGTCACTCAGAGGCCGCCACCATCGCTGAATGGAAGGATGGGGTGAATGAGGCCTGGGCCGACCTGCTGGAGCTCATGGAGACCCGGGCGCAGATGCTCGCCGCCTCACACCAGCTTCACAAGTTTTTCTCTGACTGCAGAGAGGTACACAGCTGAGACACAAGACAATACATAGCTATGATGTAGTGTGTTATGCAATTATAGGTTTTATTGATTCTTGAGGGGAAATTCAGTGAAACAGAACATTCAGTGATGTTCAATTCATTATTTTCTGGTTTTTATAGATTAGTACTGCAGTATATTTTTTAAGCAGATTGATTTAGACTGATTTCGCCCACATATAATGTCTTCATGCATCTAAAGTTTTTGTGTTTTCTGGTGCATGAAGACACTGTTCACCACAGTTTACTATAACCAAGGCCAACATTGTGGTGAGAACAGCTCAAAAACCTGAAAAAAGAAAATGTAAATTAGCTGCACCAGCGTCCTTCAAAGCAAGAAAACCATTCAGTGTTATTCAGAAGGTATTTTTAGTGGATGGAGAATTTGCCCTAATTCTATGATGCAATATCACAAGAAACTGTTAGTGTAAAAGCACTGTAGTTATGAAAAGTATTCTGGAGTTTATTTTTATGGTTTAGAAATATTTTATAAACCCAAGACTTCTGAGCATTCCTTAACCTACAGAGCACACTTTTAAAATGCAGATGTCTCATACTTCTGTGATGTATGTTCTTTTTTTCAGGTTTTGGCCCAGATTGAGGACAAACATCGAAGGCTGCCGGAGGTTCGGGCTCGGCAGGGAAGCACTGCCAACACCACTACCCTGCAGAGACTCCTGCACAGCTTTGAACAGGACATACAGCTGCTGGTCACACAAGTAAAGCAACATGCACATGAACACACAGCATGTATTTATAAGTACTTGCTTCAGTGGTCACTTGCCTCACATTTTTCCTCACACAAATTCTGTTTATTTTCTTCTAAAGGTTATTGTTACATGTATGGTTGTTATCATTATTTTCTTTTAAACTGTAAATTGAAACAATTTTAAAAAAGTTTAATTGAATATATATTCATAGTAAAAACTTATTTATTTGTTATTTTTAGTTATTTGGCAAGTCTGAATCTTGGCAAAACGACCGTCTTACTCTGCATTTAATTTTGCTTCATCTAGTCTCTGTCATGCACCTGGGGAACAGAAACAGTGATATATTTTACTGAAGAACAATGCAAAATCACAGCTGCTCTGCCTCATCTCCAGTGACAGAGCCCGTACTATATGGCCCTGACTAAACACAGCTGTCAGAGCAGCTGTGTTTAGTCAGGGCCATATAGTACGGGCTCTTTGTGCGTCACCTGGACAACAAACAATTTCTCCATTTCCATTTTTTGATTTGTGTTTGTTCCTTGTTCAGCTTTCATTTTTCTGATATCTGTTCTCCCACTCTGCCAGGTGCGTCAGCTGCAGGAGAGTGCGGCCCAGCTGAGGACGGTGTACGCCGGCGAAAAGGCCGAAGCCATTGCATGCCGCGAGCACGAAGTGATGCAGTACTGGAAAGAGCTGCTGACGTCCTGCGAGGAGTGTCGAGTACAGATTACCACTGAGACAGACAAGCTGAGGTTCTTTGGCATGGTCCGAGATCAGATCATGTGGATGGACTCGATCATCTGTCAGATAGGGACAGGAGAGAAGCCCAGGTATCTATACCACAGGAGCAGGAACACAGAATATGAGTTAACTTTTTTTAATCAAGGTGGTATAAAAGTATGTAAAACTATTCTGACCAGAGAGAGTGGCGTTCTAGTTACAGCATACTGTGTGTTTTATACCAAATAGGATTTGACCTTTTAACCAGTGTAAGTTACAGAGTAAAGAAAATGTGTGCTAGGAAAGAAGAAACAGTAGGACCTAAATATTGTACATAAGAATACCAGCAAAGAATAACTGGCATTTTGATAACCCTTTGTAATTTGTGATCTGAGCCAATAATTAGCCAACTATCAGCTCACAGCATCAACAGCAATATTTACCACAGTTTAGCAGTTACTCATCTCTGTTTTCAAATCTAAAATTTACAAAAAATAACACACTGCTTCTATGTTCTAAATAGATCTTAAACAGAACAGGTATTTGTGCTGCTGTGATATTTAACTCATGAACAGCACTATAGAGCTAAATTCCTGCCAAAACAAACATGTGTTACAAATGTCCTAAGATTCACTAACACAGTGTGGTTTGCAAATACAAAACACCGCTAACAAACCTATGCATTTTGTTTTGTCAATACAAAATGGTTCTGAAACAAATAAGCATCTCTTACAAGTACAAAAAACAATATATCCTACAAATAAAAACCTGTGACTTTTGGCACAATCTTTCTACCGTGATTGTGCTGAAGATTTTCTCACAAATGTTGCACTCCACAACAGCAGGTCACGTTATATGTCCACTGTGGACAAGAGGCTGGCAACAACCACAAACTCACCTTTTTGTTTAATTTAGCTTAGTCTCGGATAGCTAGACAATACTTTAATATGGTATAGTTGGGGTGAGACCATAAGGTATAGTGTGCTATCCACACGTTTTAAAAACTAAACAAATGTTGGTGTTTGTGTAGTGGTGAGCAAAGTGTCTGTGTGCTCTGTGGTTCCCGCAGAGATGTGTCCTCAGTAGAGGTGCTGATGAATTATCACCAAAGTCTGAAGAGTGAAGTGGAGGCTCGCAGCCGGAGCACCCTGGAGTGTATCGAGATGGGCAAAACCCTGCTGGCTGCTAGAAACCCAGCAGCTGAAGAGGTGAGATCAGGAGATCTGATAAGGAAACTGAAGCAGTGATAGCAGCAATAATAATTATATAAATTCAGCTGCACTAAAATGCCTCTACAAATCTAAAATAAAGCCTTGTAACAAAAAGTGGAATGGCTTGGCTTCAAAGACTTCACATCCTGACGAAAACCAACAAATCAGGATTAACACAAGGCCTTTCAATTCATGGAAAAGTCCTCAAATCTGATTTTCAAAAGAGTATGGGGACCTAAATTAACTAGCAAAATATGCATTTTCGACTACACATGCAGTGATTTTGTGTATGAAACTGAAGAGGTTTTTCACTTTTAGCAAACAAATTAGCAAGCTTACATAAGGGCATCTTTTTGTGTTTCCATTTTAAGAAAGACAGTTTTAGCACAAATTCTGACTCAGACCATAGTCACGCTATGATTCTGATTTAGCTAGAAGAACAGCACCGATATTTTGATTTTGATTCTCAGATCAAGGAGAAGCTGGACAAGGTGGTTGCTAAGCAACATGAGCTTTCTGAGAAGTGGGACAAGCACTGGGATTTCCTACAGCAATGTAAGTACACACACAGGCCAACAATCTTTCAAAAATATAGACAGATGTACACAGAGATACACATATAAAGTATGAATACACATACAATGTTCAAGGAGGAGAAAATAAGATTTTTTTATTTGCTTTTGAATATTGTTTTTGTTTCTTCTCCCCTTAGTGTTGGAGGTTCACCAGTTTGCCCAGGAGGCGGTAGTGGCGGAAGCTTGGCTGACCGCTCAGGAGCCGTTCATCAACAGTAAGGAGCTGGGTGGCAGTGTAGACGAGGTGGAGCAGCTGATTCGTCGACATGAAGCCTTCCGCAAAGCCGCTGCCACCTGGGAAGAGCGATTCAGTTCACTGCGACGACTCACCACGGTAAGATCTGCGTCACCATTATCATTATTATGTAAATACACAATCTGGCCAAATTAAGAGACATTTTTCTAAGTTGTAAGTTTCATAAACTTGTCTGCTAAAAGCTTTTCAGTATTTAGAAATATTTTTATATACAATATTCAATATTATTCAAGCCCCAAGCGACTTTGTCTCAAAGTTTGATTTGAAAGCGGATTCTGTTTTCTTTCTGCAGGTAGAAAAGTTGAAAGCAGAGCAAAGCAAACTACCCCCGACTCCTCTGCTGGGTCGTAAAGTCTTCCTGGACCCCCAAGATGCCTTACCCAGTCCGTCCATCCTCCCCCGCCTCCCTATCTCCCCCGTCACAAGACAGACCATCTATGAACAGAACGAAGCCAGCTCTCCTCCCTCACCCTCACCCGCCACGCCTACACCCTCTCCTTCATCTGTGGCTTGTCGGCTGGGGTCGACAGTTGCTAACTACACCCCTGTGATGAACGGCTCCAGCTACCGGCACACCCTGGAGGCACGGCGCACTGGGGTAGTGGGTGTGGCCGCTGGACTGGGGCAGCCCGCACCTGCCTCGATTGCCTCAGTTGCCACGGCTGCCATGTTAGTCTCAGCCAACCAGGCGCGGGAGAGCGCCAGCGCCGCGAAAGACCAAGCAACAAAGGCAATGAGTCACCTCCAGCCACCGCAGGCAGCTAGGACCCTGGAGGTGAAATCCTCCCCGTATCTACGGCAACCCAAAATCAAACACTTGGATGATGCAGTGACTCCGCTGCTCGTGGCCAGCCGGCTGGAGAAAGCGAGGGAGAGGGGGAGGGAGATGATGATGGGAGAGATAGGGACAGAGAGAGCGGAGGTGGCTGTGATGGCCGAGGTGGTGCTCCAGGAGCCGGGCCGGGAGCGTCTGCACAGTGAGCCCACCAGAGGGCCTCGGGGGTCCAGGACTGACCCGTTGGGTCAGGCTGAGCCTCAGGTCCAGACCCACACTTTGCACAGGGACCACAGGATAGAACGGCAGCTGTCCAGCGAGCAGCTGATCCAGGCACGCAGGGACGAGCTGCCTCAGGAGGTGTGGAGAGAACATGCCGAGAGGCGGGACAAACGGACGCTGGAGAGACAAACGTCCAGCGAGCAGGAGGGCCATGGGAGCCACGGGGGCCACGGGGGCCACGAGGGCCGGCGGAGAGAGAGGGACCGACACCGAGCAGAAAGACAAGAATCCAGTGAGCATGACACCGGAAAGGAGCACTCAGACAGACGCTCAGGAGGAGGGTGAGACTTTGAGTGTACTGAGGTGCCTTTTAGGTTGTATTGTCTGTCTTGTCTTGTGTGTTATGTAGAAAATGTAGTGATTGTGTCATTTTTATATGTGTACACCAGGAGCAGGTTATACAGCACACTGGAAGTTTACTTAAATATTTTTAATACATTTTTGGGAGTTGGAATTTAGTTTATATTTCTGCTGAGCACTATAATGATCATTTTCCAGGAAAGAAATGCGAAACAATTATGATATATGATGAATCATGATGATGATGATATTTTGACCTAAAACATTTTTTCTACAGAGAAAAGAGGTCCACCATGGCAGAAATTGTAGAGCAGCTGCAAGAAAGAGAAGCAGCACAGGTTTGGAGATTTGTGTGTGGTGCATTTCATCCAAATACAAGACTTACAGAGATTATTACTTTGAAACCCTGAACCAAATTCTTACTGACTCCATCACCCCTCCTCAGGCCCGTGGTGAGGTGCCCCGCCTGCCTAATGGGGTACCAGAAAAGTCTTCCCGTCCCGACCGGCCTCGAGCTCGAGACAGACCCAAACCACGGCGCCGACCACGACCCAAAGAGCCAGGAGAGACGACGCGGCGGTCCAGGTCTGCTCCGGCCCAGAGCAGCCCGGCAGTCCCCCAGCCGCCAACACATACCGCACACCATGAGGGCTTCCTTTTCCGCAAGCTGGACATCGAGAGCCTGAAGAAGAGCACCAATAGGTGGGTGTTCAGGGTCATAATGATCATAGCAGTGGATGAGCAGATGATAGAAGTTGGGGAGAAGGAGGATGGACATTGGTGTCATGAGTATCAGACTTTAGGAAATTTGCATGGTCAAATAGTACTTGGAAGTAATGTTTGCAGTTTAATTATGAGATGGGTGCGATTTACCACAAAAGAGCAATTAACATATTGTGAAGTAAGTTATTTTTCATATAAGATGATCCCAACTGGACTTCTGCCTGTTGCTAAATCTAAACGTTCTGCTCTTTTCTCTCAATTGTTGCAAATCCCATCCTTCAAGAAAGTATTTTCAAATACTATTTGACTCATGTTGAATGCAGCACACGTCGTAGCTCCGCTGTCTGTTTCTCGTGACATCTCCGCCCCGCCATTTACTTATTCAACAATGATGACAGGGGCATGACTCTAGCATGCTAAGCTAACAAGCTCACCCACCACGCTGACACTGTGTCTGACATGTTGAACAGATGCATGACTGTCACCGACGTAGATGACACACGATGCCTCATTGGTTGCCCCGGCGAGTGGTTCAACATCATATAGGCAATGCTCAGCTAAGCTTTGGATTTTCTCAGTAGACGAACTGTATGTCTTAAGAAGCATGCATACATTAAGGTTTGCACATGTTTAGATTCAAGGGATGTAATGACATTTTAATTTTTACCTATTTTGTTTACTAAATAACACATAAGAAAAAGTTCGCGGTAAGCGGAAATAAGGGTTCTTTTGTCAGCCTCTGTCATCTTACTGTTTCCTGAAATTGACAGAAATACACAGAAAGTCACATTATTAAGATTGCAATTCAATGGACAAGGTTAGCAGTGGAGAATATCACTATTTATTGTTTAGCTTCGTCTTCGCTCTCTTACCAGTTAAAAATATAGTGTTGTTCGCTTCCAAAATGTAGTAAGAGCTGTTTGAAAACAGAAATCACAGTGCTTGACAGTTGATAATTTAAGAATTATGTTATCAATCCATCATAATCTATTATGATACCTTAAAATATACTATAAACTATATATACTATAATACTATAATACATTGCTACAATTAGATTATTCAGTGGCACTGCTAGTTTGTTAGCTGGTTTCATCCACAATTAAGAAATTGCAGCTATACAATGGCAGAAATCTAAACATGAGAGTATGTCATTGATAGAGGTACCAGGACACGCTTCAGACACTGCATTATTCTCATATCAGGCTGGAGCTTCTGAATATTTGATGTATGTCATCTCTGATCATCAGGATCAGAATATGAAGACAACAGTTACATGAATTAAAACAACAACCTGCAGAAATCTTACCGCATGTGAAAAACATCTTGCATGATGCTTACATATGCCTCCTGATCTAACACGAGCCCACAGAATAAAGCAAAACAGAAATGGTTGGCTGGCTAGTAGACTGAGTGGCTGGCAGATGAATGCTGTGGGCGTGGAGGTTGATGGTGCTGTTGATGGCGTACACTGCCTTGTGTCCAGTCACTTAGTCTATACACACACACACACACACTACCTGGCCTCCACAGATGACCGCCCTGCTTCCTCCAGAGAGACACCAACGGCAAAATCTCTCTCTGCACTGCCCTCTAGTGGCTGGGCTGACCACGCACAGCTAAAAGCTCATCCCCTTCCAGCTATGGATGAGTCCCACTCACGTGGCCACTCAAGGCAATGGATGAATGTCTCATATGTACATGCCCTGTTATGTACATGGCAAGGTAAAGCATAATCCTGAATGGCTTAAATCTGGACAAGTGTGAATCTCCAAGCTCCTCATTTGGCTTATTGTATGCTCTCTTTTTGTTTAACATTCAGCTTTGATTGGAGGTGAAGATCTTTAGGGTGGGCCCACAGGCCTTTTCCTTCAGTCAATACTGAGAAATAGAGGATACAGCTGTGGGGGAGGATTGAGATTCAACCTGTCTCTGTTACATGACGAGGCACAGAGTATGTTTATGTGCACATTAATATTCTGATATTATTCAGGATAACCAAGTGTTCCTTATTATAGGAAATGGTGCATATGAATGGTGTGCACTCTTATATTACCCTGATGAACTGAATAAAAAACTAACTGCATATTGTGGATAATAATAGGTTTAAAATCTGTCAACTTAGAGCTGTCATTATTCAGTTTCTAATTGAGAGTTTCTTTCACCAGTCTTTCTGAAAAGCAGAAACCTGTTACTGGTGTTCTCTGTCCATATTAATATATACTACTGTAAAGGACAGTAAAACCTGGATAACATAGATAAAAAAGTATTATTTTGTTTGAATTCAGCAGCTGCAGCTCCTACTAGATATATGGTGCACACTGTGCAAGAACAACATCTCAGTTTGTTGCATTTTCTAGATGGGTCTAATAAAATTGTGGTCGCAGTCTGTGTCAGACTGTGTGATATCCATTTTGAGGCGTGTCAGATGGTGCGATGAAAGCCCGGTGAATCCTATTGCTACGATGTCAAATGAAAAAACAAACCCAGATGCAAGTCAGGTCACCATCTGCTCTTGTGTCTTGAAAACGTAAGAAAAAAAATAAACACGCTTTGACCACACAGCCAGAACTCCTATGCATCAAAAAGAGGAGTTTGTGAGAAAGAGGGCAAGCGCAGTCTTGCTTCAGTCAGTTGTAGCAGCAGTATGAAGTTGCCTCACGGGGAAATCTGGGACAATCTTCTCTTATTGACTTATTGTTAACCAAAACCAAAAATTTGTTTTTGTAGACTTCTATCACTTTTGTAATGTATTATAATATATTGTAATTCTCTTGCAGTACTTGTTGAAGCAGTGTTATGACAATATTGGGCACTAATTAAACAGAACCTGCTCAGGGACTATGGATGAAAATCTGCTTTTTAGCTAACTGTATGGTTCATTTACATTTAAGTCTAACCGCAATGTTGTATAATGTGCATTGTCCCTGGTAAATAAATAAATAAACAAAAATAAAAGGGCCTTTAGACAGCACTTCTTGTTGTGGAATACCTGAAAAATATTCGTTGACAAAAAACTAAATTCTTGACTCTAGGTCAACTTGCTGTGTGTTCCAACATAAGATGAGATTTTAAACTTCTTCTTTAAGATAAAATAAAGATTCTCTGTGTATGGTTAGGAAATTCCTGACATTGGTGTCTCTGATTATTGTTTTTTCATTTACATCTTCTTCTTTTCCACGGCCAAGACGTAATTTTTTCTTAAGCTCAAAACGTCTTTGCAGTGTAACCATAATGGATGGTACTGCTAATATTAGTAGAGTAGACACCTTATCACATGCACTGTTAGTGTTCTCCTGTCTGAGATCAGATTGTCTTCACAGACGTATTTCGGGATATTAAGCTGCACACAGACACATTGCTCTGAATAACACCTATATATTGGATGTAAGCTATTAATTGGAATGCTGTGTGCATGTAAACACGCTCACAGAGGGAAAAGAAGCATGACTAGGAGTTTGTCGTATAAGCTGTGTTGTTGCCAAAATGCCATTTAACCAAACTCTCCCTCTTTTCTCCTCTCTTCCTCGGTGCTACTGGCTGCTCCTCTCGTCTCCTCCAAGGTAAGTCATATATGAGCCCCACACACAGAGACACACAAACTGTACGTAGCCTCCCTCCCCATCCCTCCATCCCAACCTCCTCCGTCCGTCCGTCCGTCTGTCCGTCCTTTCGTCTGTGTTTGTTCAGCAGTGTGTTTCCTCCTCCCTTCTTGGCGCCGGTCCATCCCGCCTACCTACCTGTCTGCTCTGGTCAGGTGAGTGGGGTGTTAGCTTAGCGAGAGCGACTCTGCAGCTCTTCCTGACTCCTCCCATCTCCCCCCCTACCCAACCACCACCTCCCCACCTTCCCCCGTACTCCTCCCCTCCACTTCCTCTCCTCCTCCACTCTCCCTCCCCTCAAACCTCCCGCCTTCCCACACCACAGCAGGTCATGGGTCAACCTGTACTGCGTGCTGAACAAAGGGGAGATGGGTTTCTACAAGGACGCCAAGAACACCACCACGCCCTACAACAACGAGCCGCTGCTCAACCTCTCCCACTGCCACTGCGACGTCACCAACGGCTACAAGAAGAAGAAGAACGTCTTCACGCTCAAGTAAGGAGCTGTTTTCATTCTCGTACTTACTGGTTTTTTTTGTACTTTTTAGGCACAGTAATGTTTTTGCAGAACTGAGTTAATTATTAAACTCATCACAGATTTTGTCATCAGTTTTCCCAGACACACCATCTTTTGTGACAGCATAATATGGCACCAGATTCAATCAGTGTGATCACTCGCCACAACAAATCCATGTGGAGCATTCACATCTAGCTCAACTTTGATCTTTGACTCATGAGAACTAGTCTTGACTGAGTTGACCTTTGGAAAGGGCAGTCACAGTTCACTATCATTTAGCTAATCCTATTTCCTACAGTGCTAAATGTGCGTTTTTTACAGTTGGCAAATTAGCGCATAAGCTAATAATGTAGTTCAGGAAGTAACTACACAAGGACAGTTAATAGTGTACCAAAGTCATCAGTCACAGGAAAATATTTAAATGTCAGTTTTAGTTATTATTTTAATACACTTTTGTACTCAATAACAATGCTAAATTTCTGGTTCTCAGTTTGATATTGTTCAGTAAAACATTTCAAGTTGTTGTGTAAAGAGGCACTCCAATGACATTATTCATCACATTTAGTTTACTAGTCACGAGGAGTACTTCTCAGCCTCTCAACACAGTAAAATAATCACTTCAGTTGTTCTGGAGGGTCCTTTTACAGAGGCTAAAAAAAAACTAATGGTTATATAACGGATATCTCAAATTGGCCTTGGTGACTACAAATGATTAATGGAAAGCCTTCCACACAAACATGAGGTGTGGAGTTTAAAGACATTCACCAGGCACAGAGGCTGTAATGAAAGATATATTGAGCTGCATTATGGGAAATGTTTTTGCCGCTTGACCCATACCTTAGTTCCGTACATTTGATCCTGACCAAGGTTTTTGTCTGGTTTATGTTACCACTGACTTGGTACAAACCAAACCAAGACGAGTTAACATGAAGTCATACAGACTGACTTTGATTGGGCAGTTTTGGTGATGTCATCCTGCTTGAGTAGTGCCAGAGACGTTTATGAGTCGTGGTGGTGGGCCTTTACAAAGTCTACTGCAACTAGGCCTAAGCTCTCTACCACCCAACCTTGTTCTCCTTCTGTGTTTGTCTGCCTGTTGATTGGTATATACACTGACCAAAATATAAACGCAACACTTTTGAAACGCCTTTGGAGACGGCTTATGAGCATTCAGTTCACGGGCAACAGCTCTGGTGGTCATTCCTTCTGTCAGCATGCCAATTGCATGCTCCTTCAAAACTTGCGACATCTGTGGCATTGTGCTGTGTGATGGAACTGCACATTTTCGAGTGGCCTTTTATTGTGGCCAGCCTAAGGCACACTTATAATAATAATAATAATCCTTATTTGTAGAGCACTTTTCAAAAACAAGTTACAAAGTGCTTTAACAAGTGTAAAGAATAATACAAAAAAACAAGATAAGAGCATGAAAAATTAATATAAAATTAGTAAAATTGTGCAATACCAATGCTGTCTGATCAGCATTTTGATATACCACACCTGTGAGGTGGATGGATTATCTCGGCAAAGTGCTCACTAACAGATTAACAGACAATATTTGAGAGAAATAGGCCTTTTGTGTGCATAGAGAAAGTCTTAGATCTTTGAGTTCAGCTCATGATGAATGGGGGCCCCCCAGTCAGAGATGCCCCAGATATACTAGTAATCAAAAGGTTAAAAACACAATAAAGCCCAAAGGCTTGTTGTGGAAGTGTAAGGATCGACTGCACCAGTTTAATTTGTGATGTCTGACATGAATTAATTCTGAACTCAGGACTTTTTACCAATTATGCAGAATCATCTGCATAGAAAATGATGGCATCAGCAGCCAGATTTCATATCATGAAAAAATAACAATAAAGCAATGGGCCTAAAACACTTCCCTGCGGGACCCCACATTCCAGGAGCCTGGGTCCACATCCACCAGATGTTTCCTACCTCCTACAGGCTAATCTATTTTATGGCTAAGTTTTTAAATCCCAAAGCTCTTAACCTGGTTAGTATAATGGCATGATCTACAGTAACGAATGCCTTTTGGAGGTCTAACATGACCATTGCCAAGCACTTTCTTCTATCTAATCTTTCAAAACACATTGGACTCTAGTAGAGAACGAGATCTGGTACACATTTTTATACCAAATACATTGACTAGACACTGATGGACAGCAGTGGTTATATTAAAAATGTTTTGATCAAAATTATTGCTCGGATATTGGTACTGGAATTCTATGCCTTTGCATAGTAGTGTCCCTTTAATCAATCACAAATAGCATTTGAGTCACGTTTTACATTTACAAATGTTTTTTAAGTTATCCACCAAACATGTTTTGCGGTGCACTGTTTGTAAGTTCTGTCCTTCTTTTTGCAGAACGAAGGACGGCAGCGAGTTTTTGTTTCATGCAAAAGATGAGGTGAGACATTCCTGTGTTTCTAATTACATCTCCAAAAAGCTGAAGTAGTGGTTTTGTTTTATAGGGATACCTAAAGTTATGAGACCCATTTCAGTGGCATACAGGTACATAAACAGTAAATGTCTGTGATCCCCCTCTCCCCTTGCAGGACGACCTCAAAGCTTGGGTGACCAACATCACCGCCAGTATTTCAGAGCACGAGGAGATTGCCAAATGGGGTCAGCCCCAACCAACTACCTCATCCACCGACGAGGGCACACGGCGTGATGGCAGTAAGGCGGACAACAGGTCGGAGCGAGGTGGCGAGCGCTCGGACCGGGCCGAGCGGATTGAGCGGGCAGAAAAAGAAAGGGAGAAAGAGAGAGAGAAGGAGAGGGAGAGAGGGGAACGGTCGGAGAGGTCAGATCGGGCCGGAAAGTCGGAAACGAAGCGCTCAGAAAAGTCGAGTAAGAAAAAGTGAGCCGGGTGACGGATTGGTTTGAAGCATATGAACTCCGGATAGGAGGTGGGGCCGTAGACTGGTAGTGAACGTCCCCCTCCGTCTCTCCGCCTCCAACACTGTCAACAAATCGGTTGTGTTTGGATGGACACACAGGACAGAAGGATTGACCCAGGCTCACTCATAGGACGGACAGGACGGATTTGGAGCAGGAGACATCTTTCTCTCTCTCTCTCTCTCTTATCTTCTGTGTCTCTGTGAGAACACACAGAGTCACTGATGCCTCGCTGATGCCCCCCCCCCCCCCCCCCCCCACCCGGTGGCTGTTTAAGAGAACTTCTTCAGAGAGAGTTTCGTGCTGCTGAACCCCTGGCAGCATTAACGCAAGAGAGAGACGGGACGCGCATCATGTTAACTCAAAGGCTGTTACTGACTGCTGGTAGTGCGATAAAACGTAGCTCATTCTGGTCCATGTTTGTTTTTTCTATGAGATGTATCTGTATGTATTTCTTGTCTGTCAGTCCTATCTACTGTAGGCCTATCTATCTGTGTGTCTGTAAGTTGAGACATCCTACACTATGTCTTATTACTCCTCGGAAATCGAAAGTGTCCAAAATCCAAAATGTTTTACAGAAGTTCAAATTTAGAGAAACCTTTTTGTTAACTGTTTTCCCCACTTTGGCCGATCCGTCTTGAGGTCTGGTCGTGAGAAAATGGGGAATTGAAACTGGTTTTACTTTGATACCAAACAGCACTAAACCACATTCATCCAAACGCACCGTGGATGAATCAGCGCTGATAAACAGCTACAGTACTGTGCTGATTCTGGGAAGGTGGAAAGATGATGATGATGATTTAAGATAAGAGAAGAGTAGATGGCGGACCAGGGCGATGGTCTTCAAAACAATCAGGAATGCAAGGGGAAAACAGAGAATTTTAATCATTGCTCAGAAGAAATACATCATAGAAACACATCCATGTTAAGGATAGCCAAATCTTGACCTTAGGAAAGATCACAACAACACACAAAATTAGCTTGAAATTTTCTTACAGTTAATGTTGAAATCTGCACAGGAAGAGCAAACAGAACCGCTTCTCTTCGTTTATGTATCATTTATTTAGGATTAAAGACTTTCTCTAGTGAACATTTCAGCAAGACAGAGGGATCACCAGGTGTTCAACATAAAGACTACAGTCTAAGTCTAATTTATTTTTACAAAACAAACGTGTGTACAGTTCTTGGATCAGTGATCAGAAAGTAATTTTAAAAAATAGACTTATTCTGATAGATTCTGGTTCCCTGGGGCCTCATTCGTTAAAATGTTGTCTAAATTAACTTTAAGTAATGTTTAAGATGAAACAGCAAATAAATATAGCTTTCATATTTTGGGTAACTGTTGAGGTTTTATGTTTTGATAGAAAATTGGTGTAATCTGCTCTTTTTATCATCAGGATCAGTTTTCCATAAATTACATGTTTGACTTTGGTCATAAGCACAAAATCTGCACCTGGCATGATTTTAACGAATGAGGCCCTCGGGCTGAAAATAGGCCTCATCTACTCTTTTATTCTCTTATAACATCAAAATACTCTTTTGATATTATCTTTGATTTATTCACACAAATCTGTTGCATCCTTTTTTTTATACAAAAATATCTGTGTGTGTGTGTGTGTGTGTGTGTGTGTGTGTGTGTGTGTGTGTGTGTGCGTGTGTGCGTGTGTGTGTGCGCTGCTGCTGCTGCTCTCCGCTCCCAGGGTCTCCATAGCTCTCAGGTTATTTATGTTAGTGTGTGCTTACCGTGTGCTTCACGTGTTAATATGTTTGTCCCCTCAGACGCCACCTCAGTCTTCCAGACACGTCCGATCCACAACACACACACACACACACACGCACACACAGAGAAGATTATAACTCAGCAGGTTTAAAATGTCAAAGGTTAGAAACACGTTCCAGAGTGAGAAAGGTCATTAAACTGTCCTGATCAACATCCCATCAGTGTAGAATTAGACAGGAATGGATAAATGACTTGACACACCGTCGAGAGCCAAGATATCAGACTGACCAAATATTCAGAAAAAAGGGGTTAACTGTCTGTAAGTTGTGAGATTGCATGTTTTGCCTGGAGAGAAATCACTTGTCAAAAGAAGCTTGTCTTTGCAGCCCTCTGTCACGGCATCCTCACATCCGTTTATGTTAAATCTCCTCTAAACTCACCACAAAGCCATAAACGACAGGGAAACATGGACAAAAAAAGGAAAGGTCTAATAATCTTGCAAACGCAGCTGGAGTATTTTGGGAAGTAAAGTTACTTTCCTGACCTGGTAGGAACGTCCTGGTCAGATTAACATTTAAAATCCTTTTCTAAATCCTTTCAAATGGGAATGCTGTTTCAATATCACTGCTACTGTATGAAAACAGTTATTTCAGTTCTGGTGTTTTTAATTCTTTCGGTTAAAGTCCAGCTGAAGTTGCTGCTACAGCGACATATCTGTTGTGTAAATAACATGTCCCAGGTTCTCCTTTCAGAAAAAGATCCGAAACCAAAAGACAGAAATGTTTATTTTTTGGTCTCATGATGGTGCCCTCTATTTTTGCATCAATTCGTCTCCGCCTCCGTAAGCCAGTCAAATTGTTGTTTTGTTGTTACGTCACTGTTATATCATAGGCAGACAGTCACACTGACCAACTGCAAGAGAGCAATCTGCTACACAACAAAAAAACTTTTTCCAAGTCAGTAAGTTGTTTTTTCCCAACAGCCACAAGGGTCAACAATGAGCCTTCCACACTCAAAAACAAACATCAGCAGGTGACACAAAGCTAACATTTACCCTTTATCAGACGTGTTTTCAAACGAGAAAAAGACTTAAAGGATGAAGAGTTACTGGTTGGTTTAGTAAATGTACATTTGGTTAACTTCCTCACCTCCGTTATTGTGCAGAGCACAGCATCTTACCTGAGCTGCCGGTGCCCGAGCTAAACCTGCCAGCATCTGTCAATCAAACGAACACACGCCCCCCCCCCCCAACTGCTGAAACAAAAAGCAGCATTTCTTTCCCCAAATACCTTTGACACTAAATTATAATGTAAAAATACTGACATTATTTTTGTTTGCAAGAAGGGATTAATTAATGTGATTTCAGTTGGACTTTAAAAGTTTACATCTTCCTCTTTGTGCAGGTAATTTCCACGGCTGTAGAGCTCAAGAATCCCACACAGAATTAGTTTTATTTTTTCAGAAGCGTATTTTTGCCAGGTTTATAATTTTCTCAGTTTTTTAAAAGTGTAATATTGAGATTTTATTACATCTGGCGGTTCCTGATTTTCTTTAGGTTGTACCTTATTCAGGATTATAAATTCTGTCCTGACCTGTTGGTCTGGTTTGTGTTTATCATAAAACATGTCTTGAGATCTGTAACTTTCTTTAATCTTGTTTTATTTCAACACACTTTATGCATCTTAATTAGGTGTGAATGCCAGATCAATGCAATCATTTACATGCATGTTGGACACAACAAACAAAGTGAGAGTTAAAAGAGGTGAATTTTGAATGAGCAAATCTTCCATGTGGAAAGTGACACAGTACAGTCCTCTGCTGTCGCATTATGAATCTTAACAGCAGAATAAACTGACACACTTTGTAGATACACACAAGACAAAGCATGCGGGGTACAGCTAACTCGTTAACGGATAACATTACACAATGTAATGTTATTTGAACCATTTTACACTGTTGACAGCAGAAACAATCAGATGTGTGAAAGTCAGCATGGTTAACGTCATGACAGACAACAATCGTACAACAATCTGAACATGAATGGTTTGGGTGAGCTCGTGGGTACCCTGCCTGTCTGTGTGTGTCTGTGCTGTTCTGTTCACATCAACCTCAGTCTGTCGGCCGAGATGAAATGACGAATAAAATACCTTTTGGTTTATCATTAATGTATTTATAGTCTGTGTTTTTTGTTCTCACCGGAAAACAAATGTTTGTTGTTGAAAATGCGCCAGATGGATGCAGATCAGTTTTTTCTCCTGCTCTCTGGAAATTACCTTTTTTTTAAACAGCATGTAGATCATAAGATCATAAAAAATATACATTAAAGCAGAAATAAGAAAATTCAATTAGTTGTTGGCAGTTAGACTGAAGGTGAAATCTTTACTTTAGCAGAGGGAATAATTTACAAGGATTGTAGGGAGGCACACGCGACCCTGTACGCAGGATAAGTGGTTGACGATGGATGGATGGATGGATGGATGTAGGGAGGCTTGATGATGATGTCCATGGTAGCAATGAACTTAGACTCCATGCAACTTTTTCTTTGCATTGGGGATGTTGGCCTGTTGCAGAGTTGAGGCTGGATGGTCAGTGGTGTTGAGGAGAGGGACGTCAGATCCAGAAAAGTTAAGAGTAATCACGTTAGGTAGAAGAAAGTTTTGATTCAAGGCCATTTCAAGATCAGTTGTTGTGATATAAACTTTTTGTTTGTCACTCTCATCACATTTGGTGCAAAGTGAGCCACAGTTTACCTCAACTGGAAGGACGCCCACCCCATGTACGAGGCCCGGGTTCAAATCTGACCTGAGGTCCTTTGCTGTGTGTCACACCCCCATCTCTCTCTCTCCCTCGTTTCCTACTTGTATCCACTGTCCTGTCTATGGGTGAAAAAAATCTGCAATATCTATGATAGTCAAATCAAGCCATTTTTTTAAGATTTGCTTTGTTTTTCTTTGTTTTACAGCATTATAAACTTTATATCTTTGGGTTTTGCACTGTTGGACAGACAAAACAAGACAATAGAAGACGTCACATTGAGCTGCATGAAGTTGTGCTGACTTGATGATTTATGGACCAAATTATTTATCGGTGAAACGAGAAATCTCATCATTCACCAATCAAAATGACTGCTGCTTGTTGCAGCACATAATCAACCTCGATCTAGTACACACACAGTTTTGACGTTTTTGCCGAGTTATGTCACTGACAGAGAATGAGAGGAAGATTATGTGGACAGGTGGATCTTTAATTTGACGGTTGAAATCCATAAATGCACCTTTTTTCTTACAAAATGATCCTGTGTACTAACAAATTATTTTAACATCAGTTTCCTGTGAAGCCGTTTTACAAAACATTATCACTGTTTAATTATAATATCCACTATTTGGTTTATGGGTGTTGTATGTTCTCCAGTTACTGAATATTTTGGAGTCTATGCATTTTTGTTTCTGGATGTGGAAGAGAATAATTCATGAACACAAAACGTGATGAAACTGCACAAGACTTCTTTAGCACAAAGAAAGCACAGTTGTTTTTAAATCCAGTTACATTTACACTCATAATAGTTTCTGTTTATCTCTTCCCATTTAAAGCTGTCCTTAAGGATCATATCGGTCCACAGCTTTACAATTAGTGAGGTACTCAATATCTGTTAGGTTTGCAAACATCATTAGTGTAATTTAAAACATCACGATTAGTTAGACACTTTAATTTGATTATTTTATGCAGTTGGTATTTTTTGTCTAATTTTAGCAACTACAAAGACCAAATAGGGTCAGAAAATCTTGGCAAAGAATTTCTGGCATTCTTTACTTTTTTAGAGCTCCAGATCAGTGGGCTTTGCCACATTAGGACGATTCAAGCCAATCACACGCAGTAAGTTCTGACATCAACTTTCATTTTTCTGCAGGAAAACACACCTGCCCCTCAGGTGCTCCCTGCAGATTCAAACAAACGGAATCAAAGTTTTTCAAAGTTGTGACGACAGCCAGAGAGAATCCAGTGTTGACATGTGAATACTGAATATTTGCTACCATTGTTTCTCTCCTCCCAGGAACCCAGAGTACCGCTGACTATCTGCCCTCAGTCTGTCTGTCTCTGTGTGCAATCTGTGTGCAATCTAATTATGAACAAATGTATTTGCTCAGACATTTTTTTGTAAAAACACACTAAACGTGATGACACTGAGAAAAAAAACTTTTTAACTTAGTGAGAAGTTTAAGTGAGATTGTTGCTCCTCCTCCACACAAACACATCAAAACAAAAAGGATGCATGAAGGACATAGTCTGTATCATAGTACTGCTGTACATGTCTTGTAGTCCCATCCCTCCACTATGCAATCACTGTAAGTTACTGGGACAACACAAACTGGCAACAATGTTGCAACCAATGAATCAACCAATAATGTATGAAATTATCAGAACCAACTGTGAATCATTCGCTCTGTACAGTTGTTTATTTGCCTTGATAAATATAAATTGTGATATTGAAATAAATGTTGTGTGTCTTTTTGTGAAGCAGATAGTTTGGCTAAGTGAACAAAGTGAGGTTTGGTAGCAACAAAAGGTGTCTTCTTTTACGATAAAGTGAATTCTACAAAAGATGTCAGTATACTCCTTAAAAATAAGTAGACATTTGAGTTTATAGATGTCTTATACACCATAGGTAGACTGGAAGCTGATGATGCATATTAAGTTATTGAATTATTCTGACCAGTGCTTTAAAGGATACTGGGAGCACAAGGAAGTAAAACTGACCGAGTTAAGTTAGGAAAGATTGTGCAATGGATCTGTGTTAAACCTCAAATCCTGGGTTTATTTTTGATTGCATTTTCATAGCTTGTAGTGTGAAGCAGTATAAGAAAAGGTCGTTTTAAGAATTTTAACCAAGGTAATTGAGGTTTTTGTCAAAAACTACACCAGACACAAATTACTTTTCAGAGTATTTTTTATTATTACAGTAACCATCAGAAATAAAATGTGTTTTTTAAGTTAAAAAAATTTACTCTAGAAAATCTAGAAAATGTATTTCATATTTTTTAAGGGTTTTTACAGTTTCTTATTAATTTTAGTGGGGTCTTTTCCATGGGAAATATAAAACATATACTGTTACATTGTATGAAATATAGGGATGAGAGGATGAGGCTAAATCAAAAGATAAGTCAAGCAGGAAGGAAATGGAACCTGAAAGTTTATTAGGAACAACACGAGATGAGGTAAAGGACACACAGAACGCTACTGTGCAATATCTGAATATTTTTGTTTTTGTTGTTATGATGATGACATAAAGTAGTTCCATCAAACAAAATTCATGCTACACACTCCAGTGCAGTAGATGGCGGTATGCACCTTTAAAAGTAGAAGTAGAAAAAGTGGGTTGTTTGGATTTGGTTTAATATCCTTTTTATATACAGTCTATGGTTAATATAGGCAAATGTGGTATTTTGCTTTTATAAAAGTCAAAATAAAGAAAATAAATAGTTTATAATAATTGTTTATTTGTAATGGTAAAATTCCACATTCATAAATGAAAATCAGCAGTAAAAAACTAACTTTGTACTTTTTCTCCATGAGGTTGTGCATCATGTCAATTTAATTTTGAAATCCAACAACAAAAGAGCTGTGAAAACACACACTGAAAACTTTTAATGTCTTTATGTAACATAGGTTACCTTTGGCAAAGCTTTAGTTTTTATTATTTATGTCTCATATATTTGTAGCCTATACTGTTTTGTAAACACTCACTGGCCACTTTATTAGGTACACCTTGCTAGTGCTGGGTTGGACCCCCTTTTACCTTCAGAACTGCCTTAATTCTTCGTGGCATACTTTCAACAAGGTGTTCGAAACATTCCTCAGAGACTTTGGTCCATATTGACATGATAGCATCACGCAGTTGCTGCAGAGTTGTTGGCTGCACATCCATAAACGGAATCTCCCGTTCCCATCCCAAAGGTACTCTATTTGATTGAGATCTGGTGACTGTGGACTGGAGTACAGTGTCTATGAAGATTCTCAGTCATCCAGGTCATAGTTATCCAACGAGGGTTAAAATGAAGGGCAACTGGACTTGGTTGAAGCTACTGGAAGACGTTTCGTCCCTCATCCAAAGGACTTCTTCAGTTCTGACTGACTGGCAGGGAAACTCAGCTATTTAACCTCAGTGGGGTCGTTATCTCGGGTCATCGATACCGCTGGTTCGTTAGTGTTCCTTGGTGTTGTGACGACAGTCGTTACAGTCGTTGAGACTACCTGTGGCCAAGACTGAATGACCATCGTTGGTATCTTCACCTGAGGCCAATAGGTTACGTTTGTTGAGTTTCCTGGGAAGTGATGAAAGGACAGCATTGTAAGTGGGGGATAAGTGGTGGCGTAGACCCCCTCCCCTGTTCAATGACGGCTTCTCCACCCTGGTGTAGATGCTTCCTTGACACCTCTTTCAAACCATCCATCTTCTCTGTCTAAAATGTGCACCTGGTGGTCCTCAAACGAGTGTCCTCTGTCCTTCAGATGTAAGTAGACTGCAGAGTCTTGACCTGAGGAGTTGGCCCTTCTGTGTTGAGCCATGCGTTTGTGTAGTGGTTGTTTAGTCTCCCCAATATACAGGTCTGTGCATTCCTCACTGCATTGGACCGCATACACTAGATTGCTTTTCTTGTGTTTGGGTGTGCGGTCTTTGGGGTGGACCAGCATCCGTCTTAGTGTGTTCTTGGGTTTAAAAAACACAGGGATGTTATGTTTGTTAAAAATCCTCCTGAGTTTCTCTAATACTCCAGACACGTATGGAATCACAATGTTGTTGCGTTTGACCTTCTTTTCCTCCCCTGTAGTTTTGTTCTTCTTGAATCTTGTGGCTGTTTTCACAAAGGTCCATTTAGGGTATCCACAGGCTGTAAGTGCCCCCTTCAGGTGGTTCTGTTCCTTCTCTCTGGCTTGGGCGCTTGTTGGTATGTTTTCCGTTCTGTGGTGCAGTGTTCTCATGACCCCTAGCTTGTGCTCCAGTGGGTGGTGTGAATCGAAGAGTAGGTATTGGTCTGTGTGTGTGGGTTTTCTGTAAACACCAATCTGCAGGCTCCTGTCCTCTTCAATGTGTACAGCGCAGTCCAGGAAGGCCAAACTGTTGTTGTGAACATCTTCTTGTGTGAACCTGATGTTACTGTCCACAGAGTTGATGTGTTCTGTGAAGGCTTGCAGTTCCTGGCTTTTGATTTTGACCCAGGTGTCGTACTGACACCACTGAGGTTAAATAGCTGAGTTTCCCTGCCAGTCAGTCAGAACTGAAGAAGTCCTTTGGATAAGGGACGAAACGTCTTCCAGTATCTTCAACCAAGTCCAGTTGCCCTTCATTTTAACCCTCGTTGGATAACTGGAGTACAGTGTTTACATTATGTTCAAGAAACCAGTTTGAGATAATTTGAGCTTTGAGTTGCTGTCATGTGATTGGCTGATTGGCTATTTGTGTTGACAAGCAATTGAACAGGTATACCTAAAAAAAAAAAAAAAGAAAAGTGGCCGGTGAGTGTATATATTCCGTTTAAACTGAATTCCTCTCTTTGTAAATTAAAATTTTGGAGCTTTTATTTTGACATGTAGACGTGACACCGGATGCGGATACGCAACACGGATGCTTTTAAGGAACGCACAGGCCGCCATGTAGGACAGCGAGCGTTACTTTCATACGGAAGAAAGACAGTTGCTCTGTTCAAAGTCCAGCTGACTCTGATTTAAGTTACAATTTTGGTTTAAACAATGAGCCACGAACTGGCAGAGAAAGCGGGCTGAGTAATTAAACTGACGAAGAAAAATGGAGGCGAGGTTCGGCACCGAAGTGGCGTCGATCGTGGAAGTCGCCATCCAGGCGACCGTGTCTGTTTTCAGGGATGTCTTGGCGACAGAGGCGCCAAACACGGCGTGGGAAGAGGCGAAGCTCGGTGAAGTCCAGGAGATAGAGAAGTGTCTGGTGGTTCAGATCCACAAAGTGTTCGCCGAGTTCTCCTCGGAGCTGTTCGAGGAGAACGAGGCTCTGCGGGCCAAAGTGGAGCAGCTGGAGGACGTGCTGCAGAGGAAAGCCGGGCAGCTGGAGCAGGAGCTGGAGGCCAGAGTGGGTCAGCTGGGCAGAGAGATGGAGCAGCTGGAGAAGGAGCTGAAGAGCATCAGTGAAGGCAGCAACAAGACACAGGGAGGCCCGACCCACGGCTCACTGATGGGTGAGAGGCAGGCATCGATCAACCCGATCGATCGATCAGTCTGATGATCACAGGAGTCAGTTAGGTTGAGTTTAAAAACATTTAAAAACTGTGAGCTGGGAGGAAATGTTAGGGTTCAACAAAGTCATGAAGGTTGTGCGTGCAGACTATAGTAAACAACAAATCCATTAGCAATTAACGTGCCACTTGTTGATCAATTGATTGGTCTACTATCTGTTGGAAAATAGTGTTGCTCAATATCTTAAGAGACAATTAAGTACAATTTATTTATTTTCTCCATGTCCCAGGTTATTAGTTTCTACATAATAGCTGCAACGATTAAGAATAATCTTACTTGTCAACGATTAAATTAATCGCCAACTATTTTAATAATTCATTAATGATTTTGAGTAATTATTTTTAAAGAGAAATGATCTGATACCAGCTTCATAAATGTGATCTTTTGGTTACTTTACTCTTCCATGACCGTAAACTGAGTATTTCGTTGGTGGACAAATTTGAGGATTTTATCTTGGGCTTTGCGAAACACTGACCGTCATTATCCATCATTTTCTGACATTATATAGACCAAACAACTAATTGATTAATTAAAAAAATAATCAACAGTGAGAATAATTGTTAGATGCTGCCTTATTCCACTTAGATAAATTCTAGATATCCTGAGCCAGATGGTGAAAACTAATTTATGAAGTGAGGTTGACATTAGTCTCTCTGTGTCTTTGACTCCACACAGGAGCACCAGTGTTGTCGGTCTCCACCAGTCCTGCTGCGAAGGAATCTACCTCGAACCCTCCTCTGGTTTCAGCAGGAAGCTCTGAAGCTTTTCCCAGCTCCACCGCCGTATCTGCTACTGTCCCTCAACCTGCAGTAGCCCCGATGTTGTTTGTTGGCAGAGTCAGCGGCCCTCCCACCGTGCTGTTGGTTTCCAGCCAAGTTGTCACCCAGCCCCCCACGCCATCGACGGCTGTCTCCGAAACGATGGAAACAACACAGTGCATCCTTTCACCAGCAGCCTCGCCGGGGTCAACACCTCAAGACGTCCCCAGTCCAGACTCCAGCACTGTCAGTGGTGTCGACTATGCACAGGAAAAGGTTGTGTTTCTGTGCTGCTTTTGATTCAACTCTGTAAATCTAGATTTGTTTGGAAGCAAAAATGTGTTAAGAAGCTCCAACCTGAACTATTTTTCTCTGCTGTTTTTTATTTATTTACTTACTTCAGGAGATACTGAATTTGGACATGTCATATTGTCTGTATACATATCAGTGGTGTTTATTTCCACACAGGTGGAGATACAGTGTGTAATTTAAAGGCAAAACAGGCTTTTGTTTTATGACTTTAAACAACAGACTGAGCCATAGCATGTACCCTGTAGTGTTCCTAGTGTTGTGTTTCTTTTTAAATAGAAAGTGTAATGCTAAGGACACCTTTCACTGTCGGTTGCATGCAACAAGCTTTCTAATATTCAACTCAAATTATTTCCTTTTGCATCATAGAAATCTGTCGAAGAGGCACCTTTAAGGAGAACGAGGAGGATGAGGAGACCAACTTATAAAACTGAAGAAGGTATGATTAGACTTGTTGCTTCTTACAGGATGTGAACATAACAAAGTTTGGAAAGGAACTTGAATAAATAGAGGATACAGAAAGTAACTATTGAAGGTACATTTTTAAATAATGGCACGTTTTGTAAATTCTTTATCTCCTTTTACAGTTTCCACTGACAACAGCACCGAAGAGAAAAAGATCAAGCCAGGTGGAGTGCAGGGAAGACGTCTGAAAAGGACAGAGTTGCGGACAGTGAAGCAGTTCTCCTGTGAGCTTTGTGATGTCAGTTTTCATTGGAAAAGTGATTTGAAGAAGCACATGAAGGTCCACAATAAGCCTTTTCCTTGTGAGCAGTGTGGCAGAAGTTTCCTTGAAAAGAAGTCTCTGGAAAATCACCTTTTGCGTCACGAGGCAAGTAAAGCACCCTTGCCCTTCCCATGTCCTCGGTGTAAAAGATCGTACCGAAAAGAACTGTCGCTTCAAAATCACCTCAAGCGTCACCAGCTGTTGAAACCACCAAAGCCGTTTACCTGCGATCAGTGTGGGAAGACATTCAGAATCCAGCAGTCTCTGGAAAACCACCTGTTACGCCACGAGAAGTGGAAGCAAATGTTGAAGTGCCAGCATTGCGACAAGACTTTCAAGACGTCTGTCCATTTGAAATGTCACATGGCCGTACACTCGGAAGAAAGACCGTTTAGCTGTGCAACATGTGGGAAGGAATTCAAGAGTAAAGACACCCTTCGCTTTCATCAGATGGTTCACACGAATACCAAAAAATACAAATGCACAATGTGCGACGAGACTTTCAAGTATGCTCACTCCCTGACTGTGCATAAGAGGAAACACACGGGCATCACGCCGTTCATATGCACTGTGTGCAACAGGTCGTACAGGACCGGCACTGCTCTGAAGAGACACAGTGTCGTCCACACTGGGGAGAAACCGTTCACATGTCACATATGTGGAGCGAGGTTCAGCCTGAACAACAACCTCAAGAGGCACCTTCGCATTCACACAGGAGAGAAGCCGTTCAACTGCCAAGAGTGTGGAAAGAGTTTCTCAGACAACAACAAGCTGAAGTCCCACATGCTCATCCACGGTGCCAGAAAACCTTTCATGTGTGATCTGTGCGGGAAGACCTTCCTCTTCAACTGCAGGCTGCTGATACACCAGAGGTACGTGCATGCTGACAGGAACGAGGAAACAGACGGCTCACAAAGATTTTTACAGACTAGAAGGCAAAACAAGTCTGAAAAACCGTTCAGTTGCAAAATATGTCTGAAAGGCTTCAGCGCCGCAGGTTCCCTCAAACTTCATGAAAGAGGCCACAGTGAGCACAAGGAGTTCAACTGCAACATATGTGGGAAGTCTTTCCATAACAAATACTCTTACAGCTATCATCAAAGAAGCCACACGGGGGAGAAGCCTTTTGTTTGTGATGTGTGCGGGAAGAGATTCTTCCATGCCGGTAGTCTGAAGCAGCACGAGCGGATTCACACTGGTGAAAAACCGTACAAGTGCGACCAGTGCGGCAAGGCCTTCAGAACGGACGGAAACTTCTACAGACACTTGCGGATCCACAGTGGTGATAAGCAGTTTGAATGTTTGTACTGTCACAAGAAGTTCCATCAGTCAAATCAGCTGAAGTCCCACATGCAGGTCCACACCGGGCAGAAGCTCTACTCGTGTCAGCAGTGTGGCCGGGGCTTCTCCGATTCAAGGCAGCTCAAGAAGCACAGCTGTGACGGCTCATAGGTGATGCACGTTGTACGCCAGAAAGCCCAAATAGCCCTGTTTGTTTGTGTTAAGGGAAACAAAAATTATCTTGTGTCTGGCTCTGTGGTTAAAAAAATAAAAATAAAACAAACATTGCAATGCTGGACAAGAGTGACACTGATAAAAAATAATCGGTTTATGAGACCTGGAACAGCAAATAAGGTCAGTTATTGCGATCATTAAGTACAAACGATTTGCTCGTGGCAAAGAGATGCTTGTCTTCTGATAGCTTTTCTTTTGGCTGTCAACTAAGGAGTTTCAACTCTTGAGGGCTCTGATAACTCACTTGTAATTCCTCTTGAAATGCTAGAGTTGAGGTGGGTTGATCAAAAGCAATGAACATATTAATAGTAACAATAGTCGCAGGTCTAATCTCATTCTGAGTATTCACAGTAGAGGTTAGCAGCATTGTTTGTGGCATTTAGAGTATGTTTTTTCTTTTTGTTTCAATAACCTCTGCTTTTAAAAACATTGGAAACACAGATACTACTGTTTTAGCTTTATAAAACATTGAGGCCATTTAAACATGGCAAAGCGGAGTTGAGGTAAGATACCTCTAAATGTTTTTTAAGATAACAAAATGCAGCAACGGTGCCTGCTTCATGTTTTCAAGGTATAAATTAGGACTAAAAATAACTCCGTTCACCAGCTGAGTTAATATTAAAGTGAAGATTGCTGTCATTTTTGAATAGCATTTCTTTTTGTTGTTGTTGTTGTTATTTTGAAAGATTTATTTTACCATTTTGTATTAATTTATGTTTTGTGAATTCCTAATAACCCGATATAATGTAAATTAACACGTAATTCTTTTCAAACATAAAAACATTTCATTGCAAAATTACTGTGTTTTATCTGCATTATGTGTTTTCGTTCGTTATTGGGATTAAAGGATATTTGCAATCGAAGCAACTGAGCTGCGTGTTTTATTTTGAAATATTTTTTTTTTTTTAACCTGTTATACTTCCATTTCCGGAATTAGTGGCGCTAACTGCGCTGTTGTTTCTCTGCGATGTTGTTGGTCAGCTGTTAACTTTCAAGGTAAAATGACAGAGAATTTAGTGTTTTATTCAGAAACCAAATCCATCATGGAGACCGCCATTAAGACCGCCATTGATGTTATCGGAAATCCAAATGAAGATAATTCCACCAAACAAAATGAAAGGCGTAAGGTGAGTCAGCGGTTTGTATTTCGGACGCACTGTTCGTGCACGCGGACACGGTCAGTTACAGCGGGTCAGAAACAGTAGCGGGAGGAGATGGAGCCCGAGAGACGAAACAAAGATGGCGGGCTGTCATCACAAAAGAGCAACTAGCTAAAAGTTCTGGGGAACCTGAGACGTTGGCATATAAATATTAAGATTCTTGCTCTTATTAGGGTCTTTTTCATTATTGTTTTGTACTAATGGCGTCTGGTAAACCGCGCGTTAGTAATTAAATGTTAATATAAAATAAAATCTAACCTGCAAGTCAGTACAATTCGGGGTTTTTTTGTACTTTAATTTACTTGAGTTAACGTTAACTATTTTCATTTAGTGCTCGAGGTGACGTTAGCTACCTTCTACTAAAGTATTTTACTTATGTTACATGTATCTGTAATCATCGTTTTCCATTTAAAAAAAAAAAAAGAGAAATTTAAAATATAAAATACAAATTATTTGTTAAGATTAAATAAGATGTTACACTACAGAGAAATTTTGTGGTGAGGTCTAATTAAATTATATTTTACAAAAAAGTTATGTAATCAAAAAAAAGAAAAGGTAAACATAAATTGTGATGCAGAACTTGTACGTCAATCATCTCTCAGTCCTTCAGATTAGACTTGTGGTCCTTTTGGAAGAGCCCAACCATTGGATTAAACTAGCCTACTGTAAATAAAGAAGTTAAAACTAACTTCACACAAGTACTTTTTTTCCTAATGATACTTCCAGCAAGTATAGGAATACAGATTGTGTATGAGCTGCTGGTACTAACAGGAGATACACGTCAACGGTAAATACATCTAACATCAAACCTACTGAAGCCTAATAGATATTTTAAAACTTACTGTACTGCTTTATTTTAATCCTCACAGCCAGATTTTGACAGTATTGTGGAAATGTTGGCACGGGAGGCAACGAGAAAGATCAACGCTGTCTTCTCCCAGCTGTCCTCAACGCTGCTCAACGACAACAAGACTCTGAAGACCGAAGTGGGACGGCTGGAGAGCGAGCTGAAGACTGTGACCGGAAACTTTGAAAATGCCAGAATGTGGAGAGAAAACGTCCTGAACGGCTGCCCGGTCCTGTTCGAGCAGAGCGGGTTGATCTTTACCTTGAAGCCGTTTGGAAAGTTAATAAGAAAAACAGATAAATTATCAGAGGGAGAAGCATCGCCTGCTGCTGGGATGCAGGATGGACATGATGCTGGTAAGTTTACATTAAAGCAAAAAACTCACCACAACGTATGAAAGGGTAACTGCAGTATTTTAAACCTGGACCTTATTTTAAATTAGTCCAGTCTGACAGCATTGTGGAAAGAATCCCGACAGAGGAGTAAGATCCTTTTTTTTTTAACTAGAAACAGTCACTGTATCGCTCTTGTCAAAGCCACCAGACTCCCTTGACAAAAATAGTAATTTTTAGATCATTTATTCATTTAGCTGACGCTTTTATTCAGAGCGACTTACAATTGCTATATATGTCGCAGAGGTCGCACGCCACTGGAGCAACTTGGCGATAAGTGTCTTGCTCATGGAGACATTGGGGAATTAAACCCGGATCTTTCACACCAAAGACATACGTCTTATCTACTGCACCACCACCCCCTCCGTGGTCTACTGCTGCCTCAAAACATAATATATAACACAAATATATATCAACAACAGTAAAAACACTCTCCCCATAAAATCCAGTAGGTTATTTGAACTCATCAGTGGTTTTCCATAAATATTTCTTTCATAAGAAACACATGATAACAACAGTGGTTACTATCTTACCTTTATTGCCATTTAGAAAGAGTGTTTTTATTTATATTCTCTGAAATTTTATGATTTCACATCACCAGAAAATATTATTTCCATGTAGTTTGGACGATATGGCCAAAAATATTATCACGATAAAATGAATCGTGATATCTTTTGATATCAATAATTATCACGATAAGTATCAAATCGTTATTTCTTTCGAGTTTAAAGGCTAATTTTTGCTCCTGAGTGAAAGTTGATTTATTAATTTGTATTTTATTTGTTAATTGTGGTTTAAACTTTTCTTTATGATCAACGCTTGATGCCAAACAGTGGATCACTTCACAAACCTGAGGTAGAACATTCAAAACAGTTATGATAAAATCTTTGTCAACAAATATGCAGATGCAATATTCAGCCCTTTTTCCTCAACAAAATAAACATCTTTAAAAAAAAATTAAGTCCTAATTCGTGCGTGATTCATTTGAATAAAATCAAGCATTTATTGAATATTTATTGAACATTTGTTTTATTGTTATTGAAAAAAATGATAATGTGATATTTATTGTTATTGTGTTGTTGTCCAGCCCCATGTAGGTTTGGAGGAAAGTTTGATCCGGACAGAGTTTCTCATCATTATGGGACAGAACACTTATAGTATTTTTAGTTTGACTACAGCAATATCTAATGTGTCGTTGTTTCTTCTTTATTATTAATTTGTTGTTTAGATGGTGGAGAGGAAACAAAGGAGGGGAACTCTGAAGCAAAGTTGTCAACAGCCGGTAGACAAGGTGAGATTTAGTAATCCAGATTAATATAAAATTCCAGTTTTTACGTGTGTGTTTCTCTAAATGTTACTCTTGCTTTTATCTTCTCCACTCCTGTCTAGACACCGCGGACGATTGTACAACAACAAACACGGCAAAATCCAAAAACACTGGCAGCCAAAGCACGCAGGAAGCAGGAGTCAGGAGGAAAGGGAAGGTTTTTGTGTGCGACGTCTGCAACAAGAGCTTCAACCGGCAGTTTCATCTGATGAAGCACATGAACACTCACAAAGAACAGAGGCCTTTCGCCTGCGACCAGTGCCCGAGAAAATTCAGGAATGCGTCGACTTTTGAGCTCCACCTGCTGCGGCACGAGGAGAGAAAGTTTGCTACCTTCGCGTGCGAGCTCTGCGAGAAGACGTTTAAAACAAAAATGCGCCTGAAGGCTCACCAGCTTGTACACACAGACACGAGGCCGTTCATCTGCTCCACCTGTGGGAAGGGCTTCAAAACTCAACGCAACCTCAAGGCTCATCAGGTCGTACACACTGCTGAAAAGCCGCACAAGTGCTCAGAGTGCGGGGAGAGTTTCAGGTACGCGTTCACGCTGCAGTGCCATAAAAGCATTCACAGTGGTGAACATCCTTACAAATGCACGGTGTGTGGCAAAGCTTTTGTAAAGAGGAAATCGCTAAGGACGCACCAGTCGGTCCACAGAGGGAAGATGTTTACATGTGAGACGTGCGGAGCTGGGTTCACCCTCCAGCACAACCTGAACAGACACATTCGTATCCACACGGGTGTAACACCGTTCAAATGTGAGGTCTGCGGGAAGAGTTTCATTCAGGACAACAAGCTGAAAGCACACATGCTTCTTCACGGTGCCTCAAAGTCGTTCATGTGTGACCTGTGTGGAAAGACTTTTCTTTACAACTGCCAGCTTCAGAAACACCAGAAAGTAACTCACGATGAGACACACGGGCAGGTAATCAGAAGGCGAACTCGAGAGCGAGGTAACCGCAGAGTTATCTACCGACGGGACCGAACGACAGTAGATGTGACGCCGTTCAGCTGCAAGACCTGCCGCAAGAGCTTTGACACAGAGAGTATGCTTAAAAGACACGAGCTCATTCACACAGGTCCGATGCAATACAGCTGCGACACCTGTGGGAAGTCCTTTTTCTACAAAGCTACGTACGAATACCATCAACGGATCCACTCGGGAGAACGGCCGTTCGGGTGTGACGTATGTGGGAAGAGGTTCATCATCCTGCAGTCTCTAAAGTCCCACAAACTGCAGCACTCGGGGGAGAAACCGTATATATGCGAGCTGTGCGGCAAGGCCTTCAGGATCTACACCAACTACCTCAGGCACTCACGGATCCACACGGGGGAGAAGCCCTACGAGTGTGAAGTTTGCGGGATGAGGTTCAGGCAGCTTGGACACGTGAAGTTTCACATGCAGGTCCACACGGGAGAGAGACCCTATTCCTGCAGCAGCTGCGGACTCGGGTTTTCAGACTCAAGGCTGTTCAAGAGACACAACTGTTCTGAGAAATACCAGAAAATGTTAGGAAGCGCACTTGCTACTTCCTGAAACTGAGCACCCGGTGGTGAGAATAACTGGTAGGAGACTCACCTGTGGTTTATCTTAAATTGATATTTCTGTCAGGACAAAACACACCGGATATGTAAAAGAAATACATAACAGCTGCACAGAGCTTTAACTAGAACTAAGACATGAACTGATGTAGAGCTAAAACTAAACCACCAGCTACACATCCAGTAACACAAATTGTGAGCTGAATTACGCACGAAAATTCCTTGCAAAAATGTATTTTGATAATTATGAGAGTTTTAATTAAACTCTGGCCACAGGCTTGAAATGTGTAATTGTAAACTGTCCTCAACTAAAGATATAAAAAAAGATTCTGTTTAAATAAAGGTTTATTTAAATCATCTATATCATATATATTCAGTTTTGCTCCAGCATTGGTGTATGTATATATATATACACATACATACATACATACATACACACACACACACACACACACACACACACACACACACACACACACACACAGCTCAAAAAAAATAAAGGGAACACTAAAATAACACATCCTAGATCTGAATGAATGAAATAGTCTCATTAAATACTCCTTTCTTTACATAGTTGAATGTGCTGACAACAAAATCACACAAAAATGACCCATGGAAATCAAATTTATAATAATTTTATCAACCCATGGAGGTCTGGATTTGGAGTCACACTCAAAATCAAAGTGGAAAACTGCACTACAGGCCGATCCAACTTTAATGTAATGTCCTTAAAACAAGTCTAAATTAGGCTCAGTAGCGTGTGTGGCCTCCATGTGCCTGTATGACCTCCCTACAACGCCTGGGCTCCTGATGAGGTGGCGGATGGTCTCCTGAGGGATCTCCTCCCAGACCTGGACTAAAGCATCCGCCAACTCCTGGACAATCTGTGGTGCAACGTGGCGTTTGTGGATGGAGCAAGACATGATGTCCCAGATGTGCTCAATTGGATTCAGGTCTGGGGAACAGGCGGGCCGGTCCATAGCATCAATGCCTTCCTCTGGCAGGAACTGCTGCTGACACACTCCAGCCACATGAGGTCTTGTCTTGCATTAGGAGGAACCCACGGCCAACCGCACCAGCATGTGGTCTCACAAGGGGTCTGAGGATCTCATCTCGGTACCTAATGGCAGTCAGGCTACCTCTAGCGAGCACATGGAGGGCTGTGCCCCCCCCCCCAAAGAAATGCCACCCCACACCATTACTGACCCACCGCCAAACCGGTCATGCTGGAGGATGTTGCAGGCAGCAGAACGTTCTCCACGGCGTCTCCAGACTCTTTCACGTCTGTCACATGTGCTCAGTGTGAACCTGCTTTCATCTGTGAAGAGCACAGGGCGCCAGTGGCGAATTTGCCAATCTTGGTGTTCTCTGGCAAATGCCAAACGTCCTGCACGGTGTTGGGCTGTAAGCACAACCCCCACCTGTGGACGTCGGGCCCTCGTACCACCCTCATGGAGTCTGTTTCTGACCGTTTGAGCAGACACATGCACATTTGTGGCCTGCTGGAGGTCATTTTGCAGGGCTCTGGCAGTGCTCCTCCTGCTCCTCCTTGCACAAAGGCGGAGGTAGCGGTCCTGCTGCTGGGTTGTTGCCCTCCTACGGCCTCCTCCACGTCTCCTGATGTACTGGCCTGTCTCCTGGTAGCGCCTCCTCGCTCTGGACACTACGCTGACAGACACAGCAAACCTTCTTGCCACAGCTCGTATTGATGTGCCATCCTGGATGAGCTGCACTACCTGAGCCACTTGTGTGGGTTGTAGACTCCGTCTCATGCTACCACTAGAGTGAAAGCACCGCCAGCATTCAAAAGTGACCAAAACATCTGCCAGGAAGCATAGGAACTGAGAAGTGGTCTGTGGTCACCACCTGCGGAACCTCTCCTTTATTGGGGGTGTCTTGCTAATTGTCTATAATTTCTACCTGTTCATTTCATCGTCATTCTCTTCGATTCAGAGATTTTTCTTTTCAAGTATATTTTCTATGTAAATGAACATGAAATTTATTTTGAAAGGAAATTACACTTTACAAACAATCCAGAGGCATCCTGTAAAATGCAACACACATTATTAAACAAGTGTTATCATGCCTGACTTGAGCTTTTGTGTTGTCATAGTTCCCAACTGTGACCACAGGAGGACAGCAAAAGACCTGTATTTCTGAATGCACCGCCAGAGTCATGTCTGAAACAATTAACTTCAGATTTCTGAAATACATTAATTAAAAACAGGATATTTTTAAACATTAAAAATGTTTGTATATATTGCAGGGCTGTTTGTTTGCATTATATTGCTCAGGGCTTCGTAGTCTTTAATAAGAAAGACCACATACTTACTACACTATTAACATTTTTACGAATACTTCTATTATGACTAAGTGATGCCTTGATGTAGTTCATGAGTTTGACCACCAGAGGGCTGTAAACACCTACGATACTACATGCCTACAACTGGCCTGATCTCAATAGCAAAAAGTTATTATTTAAAAACTTTACTAATATAGTTTAGCAATTACTGGTGGCCATATTGTTATTTGTTATAATCACACGTAATCGAACTATATTGATTGTACTGACATGTTGTTGGCCCCAGTTAGTGTGGCAGCTCCGTACTTTGGCCGCTAGAGGGCAGTGACGCATCAAACCGTGAACCTCACCAGCGTCAAGGCAGACACACTTATCGTACTAACACATCCGGTTAAAAATTTAAAAAATAAAACTTTGGAAAGGGCATACTTGCATGCAATTTTTATATACTGCTGCTGTGTCGTTAAGATGCAGGAATCCGCGGTCACACTAACAAAGACTGCCTCCTAGTTCCATTACCTTCATCTGAAAAACTGAATAAATAGGACCGTTGAAATAATGTGTGCTTTTATTTTGAAGAACATAAACTGGGAAGAGGAAGATCCGTGTTGCTACGAGTATTTATTCACCGCAACGACAATATTGTAGCACCAAAAAGCTCTTTATTTCATTATTAAATTACAGATCTGAAACAGCGTTTATAGTAGACATATATAACTTGTCAGAATGTCAGATCTGGAGGCGCAGGTGGGCGCCGTTTTGGAAATAATGGTCAACGCGACTGTTGCAGAAATGACCAAACTTATCGGCGGCTGCGATTCAACACATGCAGAAGAGTCTTCATGCGTGACTGAAAGCACACCTGGGTCCGCGGACGGAAAGGTAGGTTTGCTGAAAGCTGTTGTCTCGGTGTGTTCCTAAAAAATATAAATAAACAAACATCCTCCTCTGTTGATGCTCCCTCCTAAACAACCAGCTGATCATAGAAATAGAAGAGCTAGCTGGCTGCTTTAGTTAGTTTTTAAAGAGTACACTCAAAGAACCACTCACTGCCGGGCTGCCACGCTGCGAGGAGCGCATATTGAGGTTAAATTAAACATAAATGTGTAAGTCTGGTTGATCAAGGCAGCACAACGGCAGAGAAGAATCCATCTTTGATCGCCATTTTGAGAAGGACCGCAGGCCCGGGCCTATCTATCTGCTGTATGTCTACAGACGTTTCACCCAACGTGAAGGATTCACCTGCAGCTGCAGGATCAATTAATCAGTGGTCATTTCACAGAACATACACACACATACATTCAATCAAGATCTGTAGGTACAAGTACACTTTTTGAGCAACTTGTACTTGAGTATTTCCATTGTATGCTACTTTATATTTCACTACATGTATTTGAGACTTTAGTTACTTTTCTGGGTATTTAAAACATAATCAACTGATACATGATGACATATAATGTATTATTAAAGGATATAAAGTAATTAACCTTAATACTTTTGCATAAGTAATGGATCTGAATTGTGTAATATATTGTTGGCCTATTCCCCACAGAGACGATTAGTGCGATTGTTGTAACAAAGCACTCTCATTCATCATCTAACATCTAACTTTTTAAACAGGCTATGTAATGTATTGTCTTAAAATTGTGTATAAAATACAAGCGTGTAAATTGGCAAAACCTGCAGAGATTCTATTTACAATCATATGAAAGCGTGCAACTCTTTGTTTACATTTGTTAAGTTGTAAGTAGAAGAGCTTTAGTATGTTTTTATTAAACTGATAAAACTATTACAAATAAATGTACTTTTTACCATCAATGACACAAAATAAAAATACTAGTAAGAAGACAGGAACAACATAATCACAATATTTAAGTATCACTCTCCATGATTTTCTGAAATGACAACTTCATATTTCACCCTTTGCTACGAGACTAAATACTGTAAGTATTGATTTATTGTGTTTTCTGCCTCTGATGTCAGGTGATCCAGTTCCGTGTCTTCATGACGTCTCTGGCTCGAGAAGCTGTGGAGAAGATCTGCCAGCTTTTCCACGAATGCTCTTCTCTGCTGCGGTTAGAAGTACGTCATATCACTGTTTTGTGTATGAGGGCCTGTTGCAGTGGGAACATCGATCAAATCAAAAATTATGTCGTTTTATCATGATCTTATTACAACGTGTTTCCTGATGCTGAAGTTAGTTTCTAATTTATATTTGTCACAAATCTGTTTTCACATTTAGTCTCACTATTCAGCTCTTCTCTGCATTCGGTACTGTTAAATAATCAATCAATCCTTGCTCTATAATATAAAAATTTCCAGTCCCTCAGATTGCTTATTTCTTACGACCAATAGTCCAAAAGCCAAATTTGTCAAAGAAATGTCAATTCTGACATTTAAGTAAAGTCGTTTTTAGATTAATCTATTATCAAATAGGCTGACTAATCTGTTTTAATCATCTGATTGTTTAAGCATTAGATGTTCCACAGTGTTTTCCAATGCCCATGCAAGTGTTGATCCTGAATTTTGCAAATACCAAGAATAAATAGTGTGATGCACAAACACGCGAGAAGAACCAGTTGAAACTAAGATGTCTACTAAGTGTTTCAACATTTCTGGTTAGAGATGATTCAGCTTCCTTGAGAAAGTTTACCATAAAAACAAAAAATCGCAACAGTTCAAAATATTATGAACATTAAACGCGTAGCCACCGCTGCACAAACAACATCTCTGATGTTTCACAAGTTTATATCACCTCAGTGGAAAACCATATCATGATTTCTATTTTAAAGCTTAAAGTTTGTCTTTGCTCCGTAGGCTAAACAGGGTTTTGCAGAGCTCGAGGACCTGAGGAGAAGGCTGGAGGTGGCAGAGAAGGAGCTGAAGCTGGTGCTGGAGGGCAGTGGAAGCCAGAAGGAGGCAGAGGAGCTGACGGAGGGAGGCAGCTCACTGAAGGAAGGCAGGAGGGCTCCGGCTAAAGCAGCACAAGGAGAGACAGTCCAGAGCCAACGCTCAGGGAGGAAGAGTCGCAGAGGTGAAGAGTTCACTTCACTGTGCTGCTTCTCTTCATCAAACATCGAGTGGGGAATTTGTTGTGTTGCTTATAAGTAGCGTTTGTACATGTTGGCGATATTAAGGAAGGGAAACTGCTGAGCAAAGTGCTTTTACTCTAGAATGGCACTTAGTACAAATTTGTGGTACCTCTACTGTATTTGAGTATTCATGCTACTTACTTTTTATTAGTTGCTAGTAGTGAATTCAGATAATTAACATAAAATATAAATCAACTAATGCATTTTTCTGTTAGTAGGATATAAAGTAATTATAATTAGCTCCACCTTTACCAGCTGCAACATTTAAGTTAATACATCACTAATTACAATATATATCATTTTGAAATGGCCCATTCGGCATAATGAGTACATTTTACTTTTGGTACTTTAAGGAAGTGTGATTCTTGTACTTTTATAGTTTTACTTAAATAAAATTTTCAATGTAGTATTTGTAAGTTTTCCTACCTTTTTACTTAAGTAAAATATATGAGTTCTTCTACCACTGTACAAATGTGAGCAACAGTAAGTATAAATCTTAAACTTAAATTATTTAAAGACAATGTGAATCAACAGGCCTGTAGATTGTACTGCTCACTCATTTAGATCATTTTTCTTTGGTTCCACCGACATTAACAGCCGTAAGTCATTGACGATAGGAATGTTAGGAAGCAGTTTGTCCTCCTTCTAACGCTGTATTGACGTGAGAGCGGTTTGCCGTTGAAGAGTAGTGTGCTGTGTCACCACTGTCTCCATTGTACTTAATCTGGTGAATCTTTTTTCATTTTTACAGTCGTGGCTAGTGGTGATGGCAGAGTGAAGCGATCACCAATAATTCACCTGTGGAAAGGCAGAACATATGAGGTAAAATCCTGTCTTGTACACCCAAATGCGACACCTCCACTCTTTGTTGAACGCTTACCGTAAGATTTCCGAACCACAATGAGGTCCAACGCTGATGTTTGGTGATCAGGTCTGGCTCACAGTCAATGTTGCAGTTCATCCCAAAGGTGTTGGATGAGGTTGAAGTCAGGACTCCGTGCAGGCCAGTCAAGTTCTTCCATACCAAACTGGGAAAAAACATTTCTTTATTTAGCTGGCTTTGCGCACGAGGGCATTGAATGAATCATATTGAATCAAAGCTGAAAGCACACTATTGTCTATTGTATGTTTTATCATTGAGGTTTCTACTAATTGGAATTAAGAGGCCTGGACTGAACCATGAAAAACACACAAAAGTACACAAAAATATGTGGACAGGGGGCCCACATCTTTGTATTTTTACACCCAGACATTATGCATTTGTGTTATGACTCTAAAATCTGTCAATATTCTGTCTTCCTCTCAGGACAGCGTCCAGCCTGTGATTATAAAGGAGGAAGGATTGGAGGCGTTGGCTGACCAGGCGTCCTCTGATTCCGGTCAGTACAGAGATGACCCGGGCCAGGATGATGGCGATGACCCAGACTACCAGGTTGATTTCATGGATCCCTCATTCATTTTTTTTTGTTTCTTGTCTGTTTATCTGTTGGTTGTACTACTTTTTATTGCTTTTTGCCTGTTTGTGTACCCCTTTTATAATGTAAATAATTGAACATGCATACAGGGTCTACAAGTCTTTTCATAATAAGAATGGTGTCTTAAATTACCTTTGCATGAATGTGAGTGTGACAGTTTGTGTTAAGCCTTCTGGCTAGTGTATCATGGGATCAGCATCAGTCCACCAAGGCCACTGGCCAAAATCAAGAAAAAGAAATTTATACACTATTTGTAAAATGTTTCTGTCAGTTGGAGCCAGAAGATCCAGATGACGGGGACCCAGGATACGCCACCAGACCTAAACGCGTTGTAAAGCCCAAGTCTCATCGAGGTCGAGCGAAGAAGGAGAGTCAGAACCAGCAGCCCCTGAGCTGCAAACACTGCAGGAAAACCTTCACCAAGCTGCTGCAGCTCAAAGCCCACCAGGCAGTACACGGGGCAAACGCAGAGAAGCCCTTCCACTGCTCTCAGTGTGACAGGGGCTTTTCATTCCAGCGAAGCCTCAATGCGCACATGCTGCTTCATACAGGTGAGTTTTCAGCTTTAAGCTACATTTCTAACTAAATCTGTTATAATACAGTACGAGAGGCTAAAGGACTCTACAAGAAGCTGACATACTATGGCCTTAAAGTTGTTTTGTTGAACTATGTTGTAAAGAAACATCCATATAATTATAGGAAACATATTTATATACCTAGCATACACAACTGTATTGATTATGCCATATTCTTACAATACAATACAGGTGAGAGACCACACACCTGTGATGTTTGTGGGAAGGGTTTCACCCTGAAGCAGCTCCTGAGGAACCACCAGCGTCTCCACGCTGAGGTCCGGCCGTTTCGCTGTGAAGAGTGCGGTAAGAGCTTCTACCGAGCCCACGGACTGAAAATGCATCAGATGGTCCACACGGGAGAGCGGGCTTATAACTGCCAGTACTGCAACAAAAGCTTCACAATACAAGGAAACCTACAGCGACACCTGCGCATACACACAGGGGAAAAGCCTTTCAGGTGCGACACCTGTGGCAAGAGCTTCAACCAGGCCGACACTCTGAAAGGCCATCAGCGGATACACACTGGTGAGCGTCCCTTCAGCTGTGAGACCTGTGGAAAATGTTTCATCCAGAAGAGTGCCCTGAAGATGCACCAGAAGACCTCTCACTCAGGGGAGAACCCGCTGGCATGCGTAGCATGCGGCACTACGGTGGCCTGTGTGGACTCTCTTCGTAAACACCTCCAGACGCATGCGGCGAGTATTCCGTGTACGTGCGTGCTCTGCGGCCGGAGGCTCAGCTCCATCACCGACCTGCGCTCACACCAGCAGCACCACACGGTGGACAGGCCTCACAGCTGCGAGCTCTGCGGGAAGAGCTTCAAGTCGTCCAGTTACCTGAAGATTCACCTGAAGACGCACAGCGGCGAGAGGCCCTTCTCCTGCGACATCTGCGGTCGCATGTTTACACAGCACAGCAGTCTTAAATCACATCAGGTAGGTTTGCATTGATTTTTGTTTTTGTAATGGACAGATTCAGCAAAAGTAAAGTGAAAAATACCCCCATCCCTGTCATTTGACATAAAAACAAAAACATGTTGCTTGTTTGTATCAACATCCATGTTTGAACAGCTCAAAAAAAGGTTAGTGAGTTGTTAGTAATTAGTAAAAACCACGTCTGTAACAACAGATACTTGCTACCTGATGCTGAGATGAAGAAGTATTAGCAATTTATTATAAAACCTCAAATATAATTACTTTGGTTATGCATTTGTCAAAGGGAAGCTTAACAACACTCATTATTAAACTCCACAGTGACGACACAGAACACTTCCTGTCGACATTTAACTTCCTGGCTGAATAAATTACACAATAAAAACACACATTGACCATTTTGGTAAAGTTTTTTTATGTCAAACTCAGTTGCACCCGACCTCACCTTTTGTAGGCTGTAATATTCTCTTGTCTAATATCTGAATGACTTGTCTTGTCTCCTTGATTCCTCTCTTATTTCGGTTCCTGAAGCTCTGCGGTGTGAAACTCTTATTTTTACTGTTTGGTGACATTTTTATGAATTAAAGTTTCACTCAAACAGGGATGGCCGCGCACCTCCTCATAAATAGGTGGCATTCATCAGACTGAAACAACTGGCCAAATTTGGTATAAATCACTTAAGACAGTTTGGATCCGACTTAGAGCACTTGTGTGATCGAAACTCTCAAATAAAAAGGAAGAGAGGTTTAGGATGAGAATATGAAAATGTTCTTGCATGAGGCTCAATACGGTGTAAATCTTTATACAAGACTTTTAAAATTCTAAATCCTCCATCTGAAAATGATTCAAGTTTTCTTTAACCTTCCTCTCCAAAGGTTGTCCACACAGGAGAGAAACCGTTCAGCTGCGACACATGTGGGAAAAGTTTCAGCAACACGGGCAACCTGAACAGACACCAGCGAATCCACACTGGGGAGAAGCCGTTCAGCTGCGACACGTGCGGACGCAGCTTCAACCAGGGCAACAGCCTGAAAGCCCACCAACAGATACACACCGGGGAGAAACAGTTCATGTGCGACAAGTGTGGGAAGAGTTTCTCCTACCTGAGGAACCTGAAGGACCACAAGTGTTTCTACGTCTGAAGCTAAACTGTGAGGACTCACCTGCCCTGGTGCAAGAGTGGATGGGAGAAGCTTCCCTGTAGCTGTTGAAGAATAAAGGAAGAGTTTGCGGTGAACGTGGGTTTTGGTGATTTATAAAGTTGGGTGAAGACATCCTCAAGGAAGGATAGGGGGATAGATGCAGCGTGGAGTTCAGAAGAGTGAACAGATAAATTAACAATCTTTGGTTGAAGTGGAAAAGGTGGAGATACTGTGTACACTATCATGTCATATCTGACTCTATTATCCAGACAGACTCTCAGTGAGTGAAACCGGTAAAGCAGCTTGAATAAGGTACTCTTAAAACGGCACTTTAGGGAGTGCGTGTAAGAAAGAACTGCTGGTAAATGACAAACAGTCACAACTAAGGAGAGCAATCAAAGGTATTTGGTGAGTTTTAAAAGGAACATGTCACCCTATATTAAACACAGACATGGACACAGGAAAGACAAAATGCAGCATGCATCTGTGGGAATAACTGAAAATGTGCATTGCAGGAGTATCATGGTATCACTGGAGGGACTCGCATCTACCCAGAACCTTTAAGTTCTTTATCTGGGTGCATTTGTAAGCAGAGTTTGCTGGCAGATGTCCAGAAAAGTCCAGATGAAAGTTTTTGAAGCTTACAGTCAGCTTATTAACTTTTTTCACCTTGTTATACAGAAGTACTGGTATAAAATCAACCCATAATACTCTTGCAGCTGAGTATTACAACAAAAAGCCAACCGAGTTAGAGCTAGAAGTGTGTGAACAGACTTCTCATTAAAGATCAGATGTGTAGGCTTCAAAAAAAAAATACTTAAACTGTCCGTTTAAATGAAATGTTTTGACACAGTGATCAGTGTGGCAAATAGATTTAAATGTTTACAAGCCATTTTCATTATTTTCCATGTTTTACCAAAGGTGGCACCTTTTTATATACAGTCTATAGGTGGCACATAAAATATTACCAGCAGCCACAAGTGAAATTTAGCAGCTGAAATTTAGGCAGCTGTTAAATTAAATTCCTGATCTAAGACTATAAAAGTGTGAATGACACTGGAATGAGCTTTTTTCCGGATTGTTAAACAACAAAACAACAACAAACAAAAGTTGTAAGACTGATATTTAACCAACTTGAAGAGTGCTTTTCCTGTATTATTTCCAAACATTGTTTAAGATAAATAAACATATGACATTACAACAATGAATTTTTGGAAATGAAGATGTCTTGTGTGCTTTTACAATACAACAATACTAAAACTGTTATTTTATAATAATGTTTTGTCTGTGACTTCTCTTGCGAGTGTTTATTTGTTATATCTTAACTTTGTGAGTGAGTCAAACCGATAAACATTGAAAATTAAACAGTATGAGGTTTTTATTGTTTTGACTTTCAAATGCACACACAAAAACATTCAACAATTTAATATTTATGAACGCGAACGCATACTCAGCTCTCGCAGCGTTAAAAGTAAGACCATTAACTCTTTTTATCATCAAGATGCATAACAAGGAACTGATATAAATCGCTAGAATAGAGTAATTTTATGGTGAGTCAGTTGAACCACTTATTCGTGCTATCAAAGCATTGATCCCTTATCCCCAGATTTTATGGTCAAGTAAATTATCAGGGATCCAAGCAGCTAAGCTTCTTTTTCTCCGCTAACAGTGTTCATGCAGCAAAAAACGCCTGACGAAATCTCACCAGGCAGGTGGCCTCATGGTGGCGTTACAATAAGCAACTTTAAATATTTCCAATTAACAATTTAAAAATTTAAAAACCTATTTTGGCCAATCGACCCAAAACTTTGGCAGGATCATCTACGGACATCTGCGGAAGAATTAGTTTTTTTTCCATACATTTTATGTCTGTATATACAATTTTACTAAATTGGCTTAAGCAAATGTAACCAAACTTGGAGCGTCTGTTCGGATGCTAGGTCCGAACATCGCTGAGCAGTCCTGAGATATTCTTCCACTAGGGGGCACTACACTTGCAAAAAGTTTATATTCATTTTAGACGATCCGTGGTCACTACTCAGTTGATGCATAAAATTTGGTGATGATTTCTTAAAGTGGGCGTGGCCTATTACAACAAATGTCAATTTCAACTAAGAAAATCAACTGTACGTCCTAGAGTGCTGAAACTTTTCAGCACATTCACTGATATGTGACAAATGTTTGCCTCACTGCAACCTACATAATATGCTAAATTAATTAACATCTATATCTCCACAAGTCTTCATTCAAACGCGACCAAAATCAACACAGACATTCTCTACATGGCCGATATCAAGTATTTCAGAGGTACTTGTACAGTATGCATATAACATTTTCTTTTTTGCTCAGTGTTTGATTAAACGGCACCAAAATAATTGACAACAGACCCAAAAACCAGCAGAATGGTGTGTGATTTCTTTCAGATTTTATCACCAACATTTTGACTGTTTTAAGAGTTTGAAGATTAAACTGATAATAAAAAAATCAGTCTAAGACGTGTAGTTTCATTACCTCAAGTATGTCTTCCAATTCTCACCAGTGGCTCAATCAGTAAGTCATCTACTCTAGAGGTCCAAAGCATGGGTATTGTATCTGTATGGTGTTTGCAATTAATCATGGAGTCAAAGTTTTCCTGTTCTACTTGCATCCTGGGAAAATGTCTTATTATTTTTCTTTCCTTAGAAAGTGTTTGTGCAGCAAAAACCTTAAATCTTGGAAACACAACAATTGGCTGGTGGGGTGCAAATTTCACCCACTACTCAGACACATATAATCACACTCAATGACCTCAAGGTGAAATTTATAGAATTATTCTGATTTACACATTTTTTAATGTATCTATAGAAAAGCTTACAGTGTACTGAGACTGGGGTGCAAATACATAAAAGCCAAGCACAGACTTGCAAAGCGAGGAGAGGACAAAACCACTACAAAGGGATGTCACAGTGGGTTGATGGCTAAGACAGATATGATGAGCAGATTCAGCATTTCTAGAGGAAATGAAGACGATGAGCCAGATGCAGCACTTGTAACGCAATGATCTTGTAACAACAAAGCTGCCTGCGAGAGCGGCTTATCTTCAGTAAAAGGTGAGGAAAAAGAATTGGAGTTTGGCAAAGAGGAGAAGCAGATGGGCTGGTCTCTGAGTTTGTCTCTGTGCATGTTGACCCAGCTGCAGATGTAGAGAATATGTGCACAGGTGCAGTTCCATAAATTACCTGACAGGTAGACAGCACTAAGGTTTTTTAAAGGCTCCAAAGTCTTATTCTCCAGTGCTCTGAGTTGATTGGACTTCAAACTCAATTTCTGGAGGTTTTTAAGTCCTTGAAACACATCAGGCTGCAGGTGATCCAGCTTGTTTCCATCCAAGTTAAGTTCTGTTAGCTTCGACAGTCGGGCAAAGAGCTGAGGGTGTAAACTATCCAGGCTGTTGTTTTTTAGCAGAAGCCTGTGGAGGTTGTGGAGGAGATGGAAGGTGTTGAGAGGGATGTCGTGGAGCTGATTAAAGCTCAACTTGAGCTCTTCAAGGCGGATCAACCCCACAAAGACATCAGGAGACAGCTCTGAGATACAGTTGTTGTCCAGCTCCAGTGTTGTAAGATTTTTTAGATTCATGAACAGGCTTGTGGGGAGGTTAAATATTTGGTTTTCATCTAGTTTTAAATCTATTAAACCGATAAGGTCTCTGAACTGGTACGGGTGGAGAGAGGAGAGTTTGTTGCAAGAGAGACTCAGCGAATTAAGTCTCACCAAGCCATGGAAGACTGAGGGATGTAGAGACTTGATGTGGTTGTCATCGAGGTGTATCTCCTTGATGTTGCTCATCTTGTGGAAAAGGCCTTTGGGGAGGTGCCTCAGAGCGTTGTGCTCCAAGTACAGGTTCTGCAGTGACTTGAGCTTGTTGAATAGAGAAGGGTGGAGCTTCTGTATGCAGTTGTTTGTCAGATGTAGGTCGTTAAGTTTGGACAGTGAATCAAATACACCAGCTTGTATGTCAGAGATCTGATTGCTCTCCAGCTGCAGGTCTTCCAGGTTGTTCAAGTTACTGAATACTTCAAGAGGAAGAGATGTCAGTCTGTTCCTGTACAGATCAAGTAACTCAAGGCTGATCAGGTCGTTGAAGACTTTTGCGGGAAGAGAATCTATGAGGTTGTGATTGAGATCCAGATCCCTCAGCATGGTCAGACCTCTCAGGGATCCTTCAGACAGAGTGGTCAGCTTGTTGTTGCTCAAATCTAGACGAACTAACTGGCTCAGAGAGGAGAAGCAATCCTCTTGAAGGCTGATGAGACTGTTCATCTGTAGATGCAGATTCTCAAGGTGGGTTACATCCCTCAGTGCCTCAGCTGGAACAGTGGTCAGCATGTTGCCACTCAGATCGAGGTGTTTTAGACTCGTCGCTCCTCTGAAGCTGGCCTCGTCCAAACTTGTGATTCTGTTTCTGGACAGAACAAGTTTCTCCAACACAGTTGAGTTCTTGAACACACCTTGCTCTATCTTAGTTATTTTATTATGGCTAAAGTGGAGTTCAGTGAGGTTGAAGGCTCCTTCCAATCCACCGACCTGTAACATTTGAATCTGGTTAAAGTTCACATTCAGCGTCTTCAGATTAGCTAACCCACGGAGGAATCCGATTGGTAGATATTTGATCTGGTTCTCACTCAGGTCCAGTAAGAGGAGAGCAGGGCAGTTTAGGAACTGACCAGGGTGTAGAAACTTCAGGCCATTGTCTCGTAGGAAGAGCTTAGACAGCTTCGTCATATTGGGCCAAATTGGGTAGAGGGAGACATTCAGCTGATTCTTAGTCACGTCCAGGACCTACAGAATATCCAGGAAGGAGAGAAGACTTGTTCTTCTTAGAAATATCAATATCAACATACTACTGTAAGGTAATACAACATCTTTAAGTGTCTTGGAAGCCTATGTTTTAAAAGAGATTAGCCTACGGGACAGCAATTTGGTTTTGAAAAGCAGAATTTCAACAATTGATAGTGGAATTCTGTTATGGTCCTTTTTGTTTTGCTAAGCTAGCATGCTGCTTTCTGCACAAATACGAAATCGTGTTATCTTCTAATCTTACTCTCTGCAAGAAAGCATATATTGTTTTAGATCACTTAAGGGCAGAAATCTCTAAACACAAGCTAACGGACACAGAGACAAAGTGGCATCTATGTGTCTAACGTACACTTTAACCCGGGACTCTCCTGCTGTGGTCTATTGGTTTGGGGAGTCACTAAACAATATGCCACTGTGATGCATCCTTTTCAAAAGCATCACACAAAGCAGTTTTCAGGCTGCTGTATGTGTCGTACCTGCAGCTTCTCCAGCCCACGCCTGGGTATTTCCTGTATCTTGTTGTATGAGATGTAGAGCTTTTCTGTGGCATCCGGCAGGTCAGGGATCTGGTCCAGTCCTTTCTTCGAACATATACTTATGGTCAGGTTGCAGAGACATTGGCAGGCTGGGGGGCAGAGGTCAGTCGCCCACACCAAGACGCTCAGGGAGGACAGAGTTAAGGCTGCCAGCATGGTCGGCCCCAGCTGAAAACACAAGTAGAGCAAGGGGGAATTGAAACAGTACAATATTGTTCCATTGCAAAGTGTTTTATACAGCCAAAAAATTATACATTTTTGTCACTGTATTCGTAAGTTTGCTTTGGTTTTGGAGAATCAAATAATTATATTATTTTTTTCTGCAGAATTCAGTTTATAATATATTTACATTAAAGATATTCATTTCCTTGTCCCCATCGTAATTTGCTGATTTGTGAAGGCCTCAATTTAGATAGAGAAAAGGAGAAATTAACTTTATATTGCCAGAAGAAATGCAAACATTTTAGAATACATTTATTGGTGATAATAAATAGTATTTTTGTATTGTACTATTTATCATTTGCAACACTTTCGAAGACACTGGTTATTTATAAAACAAATTGTATAAATTGTTGCTTTGATAAACGTTTGTAATTGCATTAGAACCAACACTTACCACTGATGAGAAGTTGGGATTTGTTGCAGACTGTCTTTATACTCAGATGTAGACGCTGCTTTGTGAGATTTATATGTTGCAGAGGAAGGTGTGGTTAAGAACGACAAAGGCAAAGCTTGGTCAGGCTGGCAGAAGCATCTCAGACCTGCACATCACAGTTTCTGTCATGCACAAAAACAGGGGCAAAAAAACTCCCCACTGCACACTAGCACACCACAACTTTCGGTTAATCTTTTTCTCGACTATAAGAAATGAGCGGATGATATAGATTCTCCACCTATTTCCACCTATCCAAATTGAAATTGTTTAATCTGATTTAGAAGTAGCTAAACCACTACTACTATTTACAACCTGCCTATCCACTGTGTTCAGCTACTCCCTCACTACAAGGGGCCCCCAGCTACCGGTCAACAAAATCACCACTTTTTGCGGTCCTGGCTCCACAATGATGGAACAAGCTCATAATCACCATCAGGACAGCAGAAACTCTACACATCTTCCATCGCAGATTGAAAACTTCCGACTGCACCATGGCACAGTTTTTCTTTATCTCTTATTGTTTGAAAATATGGCACTTCAGCATTCCTCATGCAGTTGATGTACTTGCATGATTCTTGCTATTTTTGGATTGTACATGGTTAAATGCACTCTATGTAAGGATTTTAGAAATACTGAGATCATGAGTCCTAGTCACCCAAGGGGGTTCGAGGGCATAAGATAAGTCACAAACAGGGCCAATTATGAAATTACTCTGCGAGAGAGGAGCACAAGACAGACTATTTCAAGTTTTGCCCTAAATTACGTGTTCTAAGACTCATTATTTCATCCAAACAATATGCCATTACCAAAACCTTACACGACAGGAGTGTATTAAATAGTTACACCAAAAATTTACTCTTGCAGGCAAGGACAGAAATAATCAAGGTTATGTTTGGTGGTTGCTACACCCACCAAACATGGAGTTTGAATACAAGGTAAGAAAGAGGTGATGGAACATTTATGGATATGGAAAATTACAATTTGATCCAAACGTATTCCTTTGCAAAACAAAACATGTTTCACAGGTTCTAGGAAGTCATAAAACTGTTGAAGAGACAAATACTGTATGCCTAATATGCCTTTAAATGACATCATATATATGTACATTTTATTACCTTTAAAATCCTTCAGCATGAACCTCGTGCTCAGAACTTGCTGTTTCTGTTCCTGTGTGTAACTATTAGTTATTTTGTTTTTTCAGGTGGAATACGGTCTACAGCTAATTGAAAAAAAATAATTAAAACTGTTGTCCCCCAAACTGATGTGTTCATAATAACAAGAAAACACACAATATGCAAAGTTAGAACAGGAGTTAGAGGAGTAAAACAGCATCATGCAAAACAGGATGTGTAATGACATGAAAACATAAAATAACGTTATATTACAGAAGACCGAGGTAAAAACCAAAAACAGACGCAATCTGACAAACATAACAAAAGGCCAAGCAAATGAGAGCAAACAAGGAAGGCATGCAGTGACATCTTAGATGGCAGATCTGGTTGCTTTAACCCTAAAACCCCTTTTCACACTCGCAGTTATACTCCCCAAGACCTGTAAATAGACTTTGATGTGTAAAATAAGCACACTTCTCCTAGAACTAACTTAGCAATGGAACATAACTTGGGTATGATGATTTCTTTTCTTACTGAAGTGACTTCTCTAAATGAAATGCATACAAAGTTGCTTATAACACTATACATGTTTACTTAATTTAGAACCAAACTGCATCTTTCACTGGAAATTTAATGTGCCCAAAAACCTCCTTTGCACAGTAGAATCCCTTTTAACTTCCTATTGAGTTGCCCCAGAAAGTTTCCATAATCAATTGATTTTGGGTTCGATATTAACCCACAGCTGTCCCATTAGAGGATTTCACTCTCCCAGTGGGGTGGTGTTTCCCTCAGGCCCATCAGTAGGTGGTGCTGGGTGCAGGAATTCGATTTGGGTTCACAGATTGTAACTTGTAGTAACATACGGTTCAGGCTGATGATTTAATGTCTGTAAAGTGCATTTATTATATTTAAGACATGAAAGGCATTGAGACAAGATTTAAGAAACACATGGCGATGTAAAGAGATAATATAAAAAGGCACAAATAGGATTAAAAATTAGGTAAATTAGAATAATACAGATTAAAAAGTAACAAAAAGTATCACCAAGGAGTGGTTGACAGACATAACATGAGATCCTAGAAGAGGAAACGGTAACCTAAAGAGCAGTAAACAATGTTTATAAGCAAACAGACAGAAATGTTTTCAGGATATTCAGATACACCAGGTACTGTAAATCATTTTGTAAACAGACATTTATGGTCATCAAGACAAAACACAGCAAGAGAATCAGGTTTCTTGAGTTTGTAATTTTCATCACCTCCTCCTGATGTTCTCTACAGACCTACCCTCTGTTCCTGACGAATATTTACTCTTATAGGCACACGCACATTTAGTGGTAAACTTCTTTTTGGTAAACTTTAATCGGACAGATGAATCAACCCTGACTGGACGGTTCTTGTGGTCGGTCTCAGATGTTCTTGAGCTCGTTGCTGGTAAGTATGGCGACAGTGAGGGTTCCAGGGAGGTCATTGTCACGGCGGTCGCCCTTGTCCCTCAGGTGGAGCGTCTGCTGGAAATTGCCTTGCTCAACTGGCAACGTCACCTGACCCATGAAGGTATCTTTCAACACGTTGTGGTTGTAGATCTGAGAGACGCAGCGAGAGAGAAATTCACTGCTTGAATGTGACAACACAAATCCACACAATTTTCTATCAGCCTCACTTGACTACCAACACACACACACACACACACACACACACACACACACACAAACCTCGATGCTGATTGGCTGGTTAGCTTTCTTCCTGTAGAAGAGCCCCTTGGTGTCGAAGACGGGGCTGCATGTGTTTTTATGCACCGGAGAGCGAACTTTCTCTCCTTCGCAACGAATTATCACGTAGGGGTCCGACACTGGAGACACACACACACACAGTCAATGTTTCTATAAGTTCAAAGGACATTGCATTAACTTACGTTAATTCCTTACCCTAACCATAACCAATACTTGCCTAAACATAACCCAAACCTTAAACCAAGTCCTCACCCTAAAATGTAATGTAAATGATTATGGGAACATTTTGTTCCCATAAGGTAATTATGTCCCTACAATGTCACTGTGTAAACAGATTTATCAAATCCCTACAACATTATTAATACCTAGACCCTTCTTCTAGCTAACATATTAAATATAGCAGAGGTTAAAATAGGCTGCGGCATGTTTACGCGACTGTAAAATTAAGATCTGGAAAAATGCAGGCACAGTTGGACATCATTTCTTTTTAAACAAATTAACTCATTACACACAATGGTCGAAGAAGATGTTGATTATAGTGCCAAGTATTTTTAATACCTGCAGTGTTAGATGAAAACAGGCTTTGTAGCTGCCTGCTGTCAGGACTGTTTCACATTCAGACTGTGTCTAACTAACATTACAAACATCTACTAGCATTACAAAGCAGCTGCTGCCATCTACTGGCAAAAAACAACATAGTGCCAGAGCTTCTTCAGCTGACAGCAAGTAAGTTTTAAAAGTGACACAAATAATGTTAGTAATTACCACGAAAGTAAAAGGTGTGGGTTAACAGAACATTTAACAATAAGATGTACAGAGTGCCACAGAAACGCCGTAAAACCCTGCATACTATAATGCAAAAGAAAACACTTTTTGCAAGTATGAAGCTTATAAAGTTAAATTTAATTAAACTCTGTGGTAATTTTGAGTCAGTAATCTGGTATGTATGTGGTAAATATCCTGTGAAGTGTTGTTGTTGATGACGACTCATGAAGAAAATTAAATCTACCTCCATCCGAGTCTTGTCCTGCGAGTCCACTAGCTTTCAGTATGTGAACCTGAGTGACCAGAGAGGGATAACCACATAACCCGGACCAGCATGTCTGTGGAGGCTCATCTAGAATCAACTCCCTACAGGACAGACAGAGACAGGAACAGGGCTTTAACTTAAACCTGCTGCAGACCAGGAACAGTATTCACAAAACATCCTATGTCTAAAAGTAGCTATTTAGTGGACAAGATAAAATTAAATAATCAGCAACTGCAATAAATACATAATGAAGGTGATTTCATGACCATACGTAGATTATCCTGAGAAATTAGTGCTATATGTAGAATTATAATATCAAAATATGATTATTTGTTTTGTCAGCTGGTAAAAAATACCATGCTGAAGGTATCTGATGCCAGATACTTAACAATGTGATTTTTTTCTTTCAAAATGTTTATATGTTTTCATTTTCCTTTTTATTCAGATTTATCAATTTAAGCTTTTACATTCCAGCTTTTATATTTTCAATTTCAAGATTTTAAACATCACTTTTTTCCCCCCAATAATGCCGCTGAACAACAAACCCTGAAACTGTCACACGGAAACAACCGAAGCTCAGTTCAAACTAAAACAAGCTCAGCGTGTCCCTACTTGCAGTCGGAGGGCACGTCGGTGAAGACGCGGAGCAGGAAGTCTCCCTCCAGGCCAGGGTCAAAGGTTGTGGGTATGATGACGTAACGGCCCTCTGTCATCTCGATTCGTGTGAACACAGACCTTGAGTTGATGTAGATGCTCCCACCAACCTTCTGCTGGGTGACATGCATCCGGTAGATCCTGTTTAACTCCACCTGAACACAGAGAGACAACAGCAGTTTTCACACCGTTTATTTACAGGCTTTCAGCAAAACCTCTCCCTCTCCAACCCCCACAGCTCTGGAATCTGTTGACACTGACTATAACAGCTGAAGACTTCACATTATTTAGCCTATCTATTGTATTGAGACTGGCAGGCACATGTCGAGGAAGTGGCCTGATATCTGATTGGCCACACTAGTTGCCACCCACCATTATCCCAAACTTTGATTGGCTATGTGTTCAGTCAGAGGCATGACCTTAGTTCAAACCAAGTGTTTGACGAGTAAACCAGACTTTCCTTTATTTTCCTTTATTCAGTCTTAAACTGGAAAGGCAACAATACGAGAAGCAAGTAGCCTGACCCGAATAAGAAATGGAGTTGTATATTTTGAATGTTTTCTTGTAGTCTACTTTTGGGAGGAACAGTACACATGTTATGTTTATTGTTATTTATTAATTTTTGCTTATCTTTTCAGTAAAAATATATTATTATAATGTTTGTAATTTAAGTAGATGTGTGTGGTGGAGACAGAAATGGTATATATAAAAAAATATCTATCAATACATACATACATACACAGCTAAAATTTATGTCATCTAATACAACAGCCCTGCAATAAATGCCACCTTTATAAAGGATATAATCGTCCGTTAACTGTTACGCCTGAAGGACTTTTTTAATAACCACACACACACACACACACACTAAGCTGACCCTGTGTATGTCGAAGCCAATAGCCAGGTTTTCTCCACGTCCCTCTCTTAGTGTGGCTCTGCGGTCTTTCTGCTGCAGACAGATCAGTACCTCGTCCTCTGGCTTCTTCACGTCAAACACGTACTGCAACACAGAGAAAACTAATTCACACATTTTATTAGAGCTCATTCTTTCTTCCACACCTGAGCTGTCACTTTGCCACATCGGAGAAATTATGAATAAATGAGAGAAAATAACACCTGTGGGTTCTGGAGGAAGGACTGCTTGTTGTTGGTGCAGCCCCCGGCTCGGTTGAGAAGAGGGTTGTCATTGCGGCGCCAGGAGCCCCGTAACACGGCCTCCTCCCAGGTCTTATGGAAACTCAGGTAGGATGTGTTGATGAGACGACACAGGATGAGGTCTGTGAAGTTAGTGATAAAGTCATCAAATGTCATCCTGCAGGAAGACAGAAAAAGACGGGTGAATAAGTAGAAATTGTGGTTTATTTACAATCAGTAACATGTTGTATGATCAGAGACATTTATCATGAAAGAGGAGGAATGTGGAAAATATTTAAACAACAAGAAAGAAGTGTACATTCAGTAGGGTGTTTAGAAATTACATCGCATAAACAAATAAACCCTTGTGAGATGCAGATTTAACGCATGTCAATATAACATAATTACTGTAGGTTTATGACGTTAGGCGTGCTGTGTCAGTCAACAGGCAGCACCACTGCACTAAAACTCACCAGAACTCTCCATCATCTTGGACAGTGACACCGATCTTTTCCCTCTCACTTTTACTGACCTTCTTCCACTCTTCAGAGCTGCAAACAGTCAGAAAAAGGACATTTATCTTCTAATAATAAAATGTGGATGTAGTGGAAAATGTGGTTATTGTAGGTTTTCTCAACAGATTTTTAAAAATTTCAAAATCTTCAAATCACACTAGTATGTTCTTTGGTTCAAATTAATCTAAAACAAGTTTCAAAGGTTGTTTTACAATAAATTTTCACACGGTAATATCGCAGACAAGGTGTAAAACCTTTCAATAAACCTTAACCTTAAGAGTTTTTGTTTGCTTGTACCCTTAATTTAAGTAAAAACATAAAGAATGTGGTGGATAGTCACTAAATTAATCTGCTCAAGTACAATTTTGAGGTACTTTACTTGAGTGTTTAACCATATGTCAGAAAACAATGTTGTACTTATTATTCCCCTATGTTCAGTCGACAGCAATAGATACTAGTTAATTTACATATTTTCACTTAAAAGATATGAAGATGAAACCAGTGGTTCTGAACCTTTTTGGCAAACAAACTAACTGTATACAAAGTTCACCTCAGGCAGCTACAGCCATAAAATGCTGCTTAAATAATCTAATCCATCACAGGAGACAGTTTACTGCAGAATAATTACTTTTACTTTTCTTTCTTCAAGCAAAATTGCTGATAAAACTTCAAGTAAGATTTTGAATGAAGGTAATCATGTATTTTTCAGTTGTTGTACAGGTTCTTTTACTTAGGTAAAGGATCTAAATACTTCTTCGGCCACTGCCTGTATCAAACGGCTTCAACACTGAACAACTTCAGGATTTGCGTGATTTCAAACCTTACTTATGCACCTCTATGGCTAATAGAGCCTGAGTCAGAGTCTGAGAATGACTCCTTGATGTATTTCTTTAATTAATCCTTTCCCCCCTCCCTGTACACCACACCTCTTTTTGCTCACCTGTCACTCCAGGGCCCGTTCCACTCTCTCTCTCCCCAAGGGTTTCTCATGCGGATCATGGTGAGTTTCTCTGACCTGAAAAAGGCCAGCAGGCCTTCGCCCAGCCTCACCCTGCGGACGTCCGTCACCGCGTAGGCATGGCCCTTCACCAGGCCACAGTCTAGCCTGGCCTCCATGTCCGCTGCGGTGGTTGCCTGCAACGACACGGCAAGTGGCAGCACTGATTCAGTCATTCCTAAATGAATTAATTTAATCATTCAGTCGCTGCGTGGGTTTGTGTTTGCCTTCTCCTCACCCGGATCGAGCAGCTGATGAGGCCCCCTCTGTTGTGGACTTTCAACACTCTCTCGAAAAGCTCGTTGCGTTTCTCTTCATCTTCTTTGAACCCATTCTCCATCAAGTCCACTGGCTCCGACACGCCCCCGGTGAAATCCACAAGAGCGTCAGCCGTGTTGCCCCCATCGAGTGCCTCGTAGCATCCACACATTCTAGAAACACACACAAGCAGGGCATAAAATGAGCATTTAATCACGGCTATATTCTGATGTTGATTCTTATTAGTTTGCTCTCTGGGAGTTTAAGTGTACGACAAGAATGTGCTGTGTCCCCCTCTGACAGCATAACATCACTGCCTGTTTGAATCCCATATAAGCTGTAAGAAGTGGGAAGAGTGAGGAACCGGTATGGCGAACCTTTACACCTTTACAAAAGTCACACGTTACATCCACCTGCCTACCTCCATTTAAAACCTAATGCCACTGATGTGATTTATTACATATGTGCTTTAAGTCCCCATATATAGCACTTATAAGATATATACAAGCATGTAATGGTTTATTACACACTATAATGCTCCTGTAATCAGATATAAGTGTTTTATTAATGTATGTATTTAACAATTATAAGTTTTTGATTGATGATCTTGTACAACCGTTCAATGTACATCTTCTGTTTCACAGAAGTAATAGGCAGGGTTTTATATAATATTGTGCTTTTTAATAACAATTTCATAACTTTAAACTAGAGCTTAACAAGTTTTTGCTTTTATATTGAAAATGGGATTTGAACACAGAGAGTCATACATAGTGGAAGAGCTTACTTGGCATAGGCCTTCTCCACCAACGCACTCCAGAACTCGTTGCTGTCATTGGAGTGGCAGTACACAAGCTCTCCGTTCACTGTGGGCAGCTGGTCATCTATCACCACGTCCACCCATTCACCAAACCGCCAGAAATGGAAGTGGAAGATCCCGGCGTAGGACTCTGGTTTGTTGTCATCCCACTCCTGGTCCTTCCAGTCAGGAATCACCTGGGAAATACAGAAAGAACACACAAGCTTGGTCGTCATCTTGTCAAAGCTAAGTTTTCCTTCAAAATATAATGTGAGATTTGATCTTTGACCTCTTTGTATAAAAGGCACCTCGCATCACAAAATATGACTGACGAGGATGTTGTGGACAAGGATACATGTTACAATGTTTAGCGGACTCGAAATTGAAAGTTTAATATCTCACTTGGACGGGGGTGTGCTGTAGACTTCTTTCAAGCATCCAAAGATAAACTGGAATAGACAACCAATACCAGAACAGCCGAGAAGGCAAATGACCACTTAGTAACGATTTTTGTCCCCTAATGATACGTTTTGGCCAACAAACTAATAGCTAACCTTACAGGCAAAAGTGGTACTCCCACAGGCTGGGGTGATGTTTGACTAATGCTGTAAGACTGACAGAGAGTTAAGAGAAATTGTGTGAATATTAAGCCTCATTTGAAGCCAGCTAAATAGTGAGAGTAGCAGGTTGGATGCATTTTGTGTAGCGTGTTGCTGCGGTATGTTTATTTATTTGATAAGACATTTCCTGATGATATAATTACCTGTGAAAAACAAACAGAAAATTGCAGGAATTAATTTGCATGGCAACATTGTGTAACTTTGCTTAGCATCATCACATCATGGTGCCGGCATCAGACGATGACATGCAAATATAATATGGTAAATTATAGGGACTACCGGCGTGGCTCCGCGAGCAGAAGAACTCTGCTGTCTCTGTAAATCAAGCATGCAGTGAGGGATTTATTGCTTTAATTAACTACATTTACTTGCAAAACCGACTGGACAGCCACACAAAAAGAATTTTCCCATTAAAATTAGAAGCAAAAGCATCGACCAACAACGCTTTATTCCAGATTCTTTAAAAGACCATTTGTAAATAATCAGAAATAAAATAAACTAAAGAACTATACGTATATGTCCATTTGTTAGTTCCTAAAAAGTTGAAAATTAGGTTATCCACATGTTTCCCTTTAATTAACCTTCCGCATCTATAATTAACATGAGCGACTGAGGATTAAACTTTTTTAACAAGGGAATAACATCCACCCATATCCTGAGTTAAGATCCCTACTGACGACACACACACGCCCCGTAACAATCCTCAGTGAAGTGAGTGATATAAATAAATAACTGATCCATTGAGCCAAGACCAGTCGAGCTCCCAGAAGCCCTCAGGAAACTCCCAGAGTTCCCTCTTGTACGTCATCAGCACCTCCTGTTGCCTAGCACCCTCACACATCACCCACCTGCTTGACGCCTTTGAATTTTTTTTTAAAAACGCTTAAGAGTATTTTAATTTGATATTAACACATTACAAACTTGATCCATAGCATCCCGAGATAAATTATGCTACTAGAGGAGATGACATGTGCCAGGTTTTTGTTTAGTTTTTTCAATAAAAGTTTTGAGTTTAAGCCTCTGGAGAGATGTCACGTATCAGGGTTGAATACACAAGAAGACAACTAATTATTGTGACTGATGCCCCCCACGCATTGATCTCATCTACCAATGCTCTCCCCTACCCTCTCTCTATGTGGCATGCCAATCAATGCATCCTAACCAAACTACCCTGTGGGCAGGAGGGAGGAGAAACTGCAACACTGTGATGGAAATAGTTGGAAAGGGGAGGGGAGACAGAGACGACAAACGAGCCTATGAGAAAATATATAAATATATTTATTTATAGAGAGAGAGGGGGAAAGAGAGAGAAATCAGAAACTCTACCATAGCTTTATCTATCACAGCATTCATCCAGGCAGGCAGGTATTGGCGTCTCCTTAATCCAGGATTATAACCTTCAAGTCGGACATGGATAACGCTAAGGATCCCTCCAACACCCTGGTGCTGACATTTAAAGAAGACACTGCACTGACGGAGGTGAGGTTCTCACTTTGATATGACTTCTCACCTGCAGCTACATGATCTGTTATCACAATATGTGTGCTTTTGTTTTTAATTTAAGAAAATATGATTGGATGTACAAACATTATTCCTAATTTGCACATTGTAGGGTTGTTGCTAATATCACTAATATTGAATGTGGCAGTTTTGGCAGCTGATGAAATGTTAAACATATATTGGTATCTGTAAGAAATACTTATATAGTCCTTTATATACACAGAGAAAAGTTTGTAACAAAACATAGGTGGAATCTAGTATGTTAAAATACATTTTATTTTTATTGTTGGCCAGCTTTTTGATTTTTTTGAAGTTGCATGTTTTTCAACGTCATTTATCAACATAAGTTACCTATGTACGTATATTTAAACTTTTCTCCCTTGTTTATAACATCTGTTGTTAGGGTTTTCTATAGTGTGCCTGGTGCTTTGAATGTCCCTGGTGTGATAATCAATAGGTCTACTCATCAGAAGAGTTAAAACACATTAGTACTAGCCTGGCACTCTGCCTTAAAAACTATTTTCTTTCCGTCTGATGTAACCGACCGTCTGGCAGCCACAGTGGAGGTCAATAGCTCCTGGGCTTTTGTGACCGTTGTTTAAATGAAAATGCACCTTTGCTGTGTTGACAGCTTAAGTGTGGTTTGGAGCTACAACAATTAGTCCACTAATTGATTAGTGAGTCAAAATAAAATTAATCAGCAATTATTTTGATAATTGATAATCGTTTAAGGCACTTTTCTGCCTTATATCATAATAAAGGGAATATCTTTTTTTTATTTTATTTTGTATTTTTTAGACAAAACAATTAAATGATTACTCAAGAGAAAAATCATCAGATTAAAATCAATAATGAAAATAACACTGGCAGTTTGCCTGTGTAAAAGTTTCAATCACTTCCTGCTCCCATGCTGTTTCAGATTATACACATCTTTCTTTGGTTTCCACAAAGAAAAAGCTAAATACGGTGTCTTAGGATTTCTTCATTTTTTCTATATCACATTTTAGGTTTCATATGAATTTGGAAAATTGTTGTTTGACAGCAACCAACACACAATGCCCCACAACGATTAATTAGAATTAGAATCAGAAACACCTATATTGGCAAGTAGTTTTTACACGTACAAAGAATTTGCTTTGGTGACTTGGAGCCACACATAAAACAATAATGATAATTATCGCAATTTTCATAACAATAACAATATAAGCTATGTTCAATAAACGTTTGATTTAATTCATTTGAATCACAAACAAATTAGCACTTTAGCACAATGAAAAAAATATTAATTAAATTAAAATTAAAATATTAAAAAAATACTTAATTTTACTAATGCATATTTGTTGAAAAAATACTATTTTTATCATAATTTTTTTGAATATTCTACCTCAGATTTGTTAAGTGATCCACTGTTTGGCACGCGTTTGTCATTTTTTGACCATAAAAAAAATTGGTTTCACTCAGGAGCAAAAATGATCCTTTAAACTTGACAGAAATAATGATTTGACATTTATCACAATAATTATTAATATTGAATGATGGATGAAATTTTTTTAATCATGATAACATTTTGGCCATTTCGCCCAGGCCTGGCCAGACATAAACATTTTTAAAAATAAATATAAAATAAACAAGATGTACAAGTTAAGTTATAAAATGGAATGGACTATGTGCAATGTGGTAATTATTTACATGTGCAGTTCTGTCGGAATCATGGTTTTAGAAATACTAGCCAATTTATTAAAACATCATGTTGAGATCCTGATGCTGACGACGAGAGGAAGCACAAGAAAAACCTGAAGTAGAATCGGGACAGGTTTCTGAAAGTCATGTGCCTGAACTGAACACTATTCTGTTAAAAATTTACACTAAATCTGTGTAAATACCTAAAAATAGTAGATGTGCTTCCAATTTCAGGCAGACAGAGCTTCTAAAAACATGTTTCTTGGTTTGACATTTGTCAGTCTGAATACTTGCTAGCAGATTTAGATTAAACTTGTGTTGATATTTAGAAAAATGTATTTTCAGCTTAAATCAGTACCCAGTTCGGGGCCTCCTGTTCTTGGTCTTGTTTGTAAGCAGTTGGACCAAAACTACAGAATAAAAAGTTGGCGGGATGGATAAAAAACTAACGCAGCTCAAAGCTTTCTGTGTGTTCTCCTATTTCCTCTGCAGATGATGCGTCGTCGTGTGTCGTCTTTGCAGCGGTCAGGGCAGAAGCGTCAGGATGGCGAACGTCTGCTTCTTCCCCATGAGTCCGTGTATCGGCTGGACTTCCCCACCCAGGAGCTGAACTTCTCCCGCTGGTACTTCTCCCTCATCGCCTACGGTCGTGTCACCATTACCGGTATTTCCCAGCACTGGACCCCGGACCTCACCAACCTGATGACCCGTCAGCTACTGGAGCCGATCGGAACGTTTTGGCGAAACGCTGGCGACCCAGAGGATTCGCCACTCAAATGGCTGGAGGCGGACATGCAGGAGTTCGGCGAAAGGATTGCGGAGCTGGCCGGGGTCAGGAAGGTTATGTACTTCCTGTTTGCTTTCAAGGATGGGGCGGAGGCAGCAAATCTTAGTTGCTCGGTGGAGTTTACAACAGACAAATGACGCTTCACTTTTTGCCAGTAGAGTCCTGTTAGATTACTGGAGAATCACTGCAATATTTTGTTCAATGCTTGACCTTTGAAAAACATCACACTAGAGCTGAATGACGAGTCTCACTGATTATTCTGTAATTGTACAGTAACAAGATTGTTTTTCCACCTCTTTATTAATTTGCTATAGCAGCCATGTCAAAATTTAATAACTTAAGCTTTAAATAAAATGTATAAAGAGTGACTTGTTCTTTGAGTTGTTACTGTCTTTGCTGTTGTTGTTGTATTGTGTTTCTGAAGAATGTTACTGCTCACAGTATAGACCGATACATGCAAAACAAGTAGCAGTGAATGGAATATCAAATATTCACACTGGATGACTGCCGGCCTGACACAAAACAAAGATCAATGGAGTGCCATCTATTAAAAATCGACTGAAAGCTGTGTGTGTGTTCTCACTGGTGCTGATTATTATTGGTGTTACTGGACAGATGAAGAGGCGAGGGAGTAAGGAGGGAGGAAAGTCAGGTTTATAAATAAACCCCCAAATTTAGAAATCTGTCTCAAAAGGGTTTTATGATTTATACCATCGATTTAGGAGGAGAGAATGTATTTGCAGGCGTTCTTTGGGAAATAAATTGATCCATATTTTGAGAATGATTCTCTCATCTCTTGCTTTACAGTAAACACAGTTACTCAGTTATCACGTGCATGAGAAGATTATAAAAAGTGAAAGAGGATGAGAGAGACAAACAGAGAGAAAAAGATCAGTGAGGCGGGAAGAAGAGAAATGATTTACCAGAACAAAACAGTTTTTACTTTTGTATTCTTCTTTGATTGTTTCTGATTTAAAGTCGCATCAGTAAAAAATAAAAAAATAAAATGAGGGGGCACTGGTTAGATTGCAAGAGAAGACAAATTAAATCCTATGTTTTACGTTTATACAATCATCTGTCACATGGAAATCAAGTTAATTTTAATTTCATCGCGTTGCAGTGTGATTGTTGGGAAAGAATAAACAATGCCCCTTTGAGCTTAAACTGGGCACAAATACAAGCGCCATAACGCCCAGCAACACAAAATAAGTAAGCTGAGGATGAACTTTAGTAACACTGACATGAGTACCTCTCACTACCCTCAAAAGGAGTAGAGAGATTAAACAGCCTGTGGAGCAGAGAAGTTACAGAACATGAAAACACCCAAATATTAAAACAGTATGCTTCGCCTCAAATATCTGTGCAATGTGACAACAACTACAGGAACTACTAACATGTGATTGCATTATTACCATCCAGCTCATTCTGTTTTTAGATAAAAAACTTAAAATAAATCAGCTGTGATAATCTTCTTGAGAAGTATTTGATTCACCAGTAAAAGCGGACTTTGCTTGCAATAAAACTGTCCCGACAGATTTAATGACACTTTGGTCTTTTGTCGACGGACGCTATTTTCCAAAATGTCACTATATTCGGCTTAGTAGTCAATTGCTGTTAGATCCTGACCGACCACATCACTGCGTCGTGTGACATAAATAACTGCTGACAGTCAATGTTTGGATGGCACATGCATTGATTATCATAAAATGCTGCATTTCTCTTTCTGTCTTTCAGCATTTCATGGTTACGCCTAAAATTTCCGCTCATAAGTTACAATCATTTCTATTTTGTTTACAGTCAAAACCTCCACCTTACTGGAGCCAAATACTGGCAGTAATATGCTGTTATCTCTCCTGCAATTTATTTTACACTAAAAATTGCATTTTTATTGTGGGTTAGAGAACCAGAACTGCTTCAGCAGAGAAGGAAAGGACATATTTGCAGGTTTTGTTGACATTTAATAAAATAAATTAATTAAAAACAACAACAAAACAATTAGCATTTGTGGTTGAAAGCATGGGATATAAGCCAGTATGTGGAGTTTGAGTTAAGTTTTTGTCAAATTTGGGTTGCAGGAACAAATTTGGAAAATAAAACAAATAAACTGTGGATGATTTTTAATCCAAATGAGATATTATATATTTTAATTAATTATAAGCTTTACATAATGAGTTAGACCCGCCCAATTTTTGCACTTTATAAAATAGAGAGGGTTTGAACACTTATTTTTAGCACAACAAAGAAAATGATCCATGATTTACAATATAAGTTGTTTATACATGTGCATGTTAACATTACTAAATAAGTGAACTACAGTAAGTGTTACTTATATGTAAACAATAGCAATCCTAAGAATTATAACTAAGAAATATCTCTATACATGGCATATATAAAAAATGCTTTGTTTTATTATTTTGTCCACACGTTTTGTATAGATGTTTTTTTAAACTACTGTATTTAACTTATTTTGTCCTTCAGGGTGGTGACTTTGGAATAACACAATGTCTTCAAGTGTTTTAGAACCTGTGTTTGTTATTTGGACCACTGATGGGTGTCAAGACAACTGGCTGCTCCTCTGACGCAATGATACCTTAAAACAGACTTTAGTTTCCCTTCAGCTGATGGAAAACTGAGAGCTGCAGAGGACCTCAGAGACAGGAGGAATGAGGTAACCAACAGTGGAAAAACACACAATGCACAAGTGCACATACACACACACACACACACACATGCACAACCATGACTCTAATAATGCACCCTTATCAAGTTTATAATATGTACATCTAACAGGCTGGAAGAGCTACAGGCCAGAATGGCTCACATGTTTATCTGCCCAACAAAAAGATAGTGAAAAAGGACTGAACATACTATTTACCCTTTTGGATTATATGCTGTAACACAAGTGTGTTGTCTGGCCACTGCTTATTTCAGATTAAACTGAAAGATAAGTGGTCTTTAAATAGTTTATTGGAGATAAATGTATGAAGTTATATATGATTAATACTTTGTTGAATATTCAATTCCAACAGAGAAAATCTATTAGTACATGCAGCGGTTTCATTTCTGAATATCGGGGTTGTTAATGAAGGTTAATGGTGCCACCTTATGGATGAAAGATGAAAGCAGCAGCATCCAGCTCAAAAATTAACCAGATGAATCTCTGCAAATACCTTTAGTTTGTGAGGAAATCATTTTAATTCAGATCTTTGTTTCAAGTCTCTTTGTTAAGAAGCTGTGAAACAAATACAATAGTGTGATAATAATAATTTCACAGTGAATCATGCTAATGATTAATGAGACAGACATCTGACTTGCATCATTGTTTAGAGTTTAAATTCCTAATTACAACACAAACACATACACAACAGTAGAGCTGGGGGATATGGACCAAAAAGTCATATCCCGGTACTGTTAGGCAGAATTCCGGTATAAAATATATAAATCGGTATTTTCTGGTAGGCTCAGGGTCTGTTTTCACAGCCATATTTTTACTATTTGTAGTAATTTAGCTTGTATCTTATTTCACCATTTTAATTATACTTGATTTTCCATCTTAAGTGTCACTCATTTATTGAATCTGCCCCCTTCAGTTCTCGTCACACTCACATACCACCTAACATTGTCTGCTGCAAACACGTCAGCGTGATCCGCTTCTTTCCATCTCTCCCTGTATGTCTGATCCGGTGGCTTTCTCCATCAGTTGTAGGCTACATTGTTTAAAGAATTTCTTCCACCCGCAGGGGCAGAGCATGTTGAGGAGGCGTGTTGACGACATCGCAAAACAAAATAAAACCAATGTGGTAGCTAATGAATGACATCTGGCTGGTGTGTTCACTATCGCTTTACCTGGTCCGCTCTTGTAAAATATCCACCGTGTCGCAACTTGTAACGTAATCACTCTGTGTTTCTCTGATCAATGCTACAATATGTTGACTAACCTGGGAAGCCAGTCGAAGTAAAGTGAATATGTGGGAAATACTGAATTATTTTTACAAGCCAGTTCTTCAGCACTGTGTCTGGCACTGAGTACACTGCTGCGTGCAGACATAGAGGGAGGGGCGGGGAGCAAACGCTGGGAGGACTTTACAGAAACATATTAACTCAACATCAACCTATATCGGTATAAACAGTATTGTCTAATTTTATATCTCTTTTGAAATTATATCGGTATACCTCATTATACCGATATACTGCCCAGCCCTACACGACAGTATGTCTGATAGGTTAAGGTTTAATGATGTATTTTAATATGAAAACTGGCTGTGTTTTGTAGAGGCCTTTAACCCAATTCAGGACAACCAGTGAACAATGCATTATTGTAGACACTGTCTACCTGTATGAAAAAGAAATAGGGTGCGTGTGCGTGTATGTGCATGTATGTGCGTGCAAGCGAAAAAGGGCAGTAATCCATAAGAAAATCACTTGGATTACACAAAGTGCCACAGTACACACACGTCTACAGTAAACACACACCCAGTCACACAGATCCAGCAGCCATATACTTGCATGCGCACATGTCCACACCCATCAACGCACAGACACACCTATACACACACACAGCATGTATCCTGCTCCACCGGCTGTGGCTCAGCCATTTTACTATTAGTTTAACTGATTTGTTGTACTTGGCGATGCCATGAAATATTACTTGTTCCATTAGGATGCTGTATTTTTGGAGCTAGTTGTTTTATTGGGCTATTTTGTTGTGTTATTGTGTTTTTCTGCAATCTTGTGTGATTTTGTGTGTGTGTGCAAGAGCTGGTCTTGTGATGGATTCTTATGTGGCCCCGGGGGAAATTTGCATTTTCTTTAACAAAGCCAACGTTACAAAACCAGCTGCAACAAAATAAACCACATTTAAACGATTCTGTGTGTGTGTGTTTTCTCGTCTCACCTTCTTCCATAGTGCTTCTCTGGAGGCCAGACTGGAGCAAGCAGCTACAAACCAGCAGTTTCCCAGCTGGCCTTGGTGCAGGTCGTGGGCACTAATGCCGTTCACAAACAGATGGGGGTTGCTGCATAGGTCCTAGAAGGATAAAGATGATTGTAATGAATGTTAAGCTTTTTATTTTTTCTTTCAAATACACTGTATGTTTTTTTCCAGGCTACAAAGAATTCAACATATAGCATAGTGACCACCAGTAGAGCAGATGGTCTTACTGGGCAGCTGCCAGGTGTACATGAATGAATGTGAAGCAGGGCGTTAGCCAGAGCTGTCACTCAACCGTCATTAGGTAAAGATAGGATAACCACACCCTCCGGTTAAGTAGAAATCACTTCTGAATGCTCAAAGTAAACCAAACCACAAAGAGTTTAAAAGGCTAACAGGACGGCAGACAAATGACAGGGCTAGGATAAACCAGTGGCACACACCCAGCAAGACCACTAATCAGACAGATGTATACATGGCTTACATAAAACTTATTAACATGCAACATCTTGTTTGGAACAGGTTTTTAAAAAACACGATACAACATGTTCACTCTTGAGCTTCAGAGATGTGGGTAGGCAGATTTTGACAGAGCCAGGCTAGCCATTTCCCCATGTTTCCGGTATTTAAGCTAAGCTAACCCGGTGCTGACTCGCCACCAGAAAGCAAACAGGTGTATTTTACAAAATGTCAGAATATTCTTTTAGATATAATCTACCTTTGTACCATCTACCTGGTAGAGTATATTCTTGTATGTGTTGTATTTCCTTTTGCAACTGAAAATTTAGATGCATAGAAAGAAACCAGAAAAAATGTCAAATGCCCTGAAAATTAGGTCATTATTTTGAGCATAGATACTGTATATGCCCAAACACGCAGTCCCATAAAGACACACACATACTAGAGTGTAGAAATATCCTGGGTGGTTCTCCTGTCCTTTATCCTCCTCTTTCCTCCCTAAAATATACACATACTCTGTCGGAACATTGAAAACATAATTAACATATCTGATGCTGATATAAGGCAATTTGTATAGTGCAATTCAACAATAAGGCAATTCAAAGTGCTTTACATAAAACATAAAAGCAACAGGGAAATATAAAAGACTTTTTAAAAGAGTTAAATGGCAAATAAAAACAAAAAAGGACAGTCAAAGTTACAGTGCAAGTTATGAATCTACAGCTTTAAATTTGATTTAATTAAAGGCAGTGGTAAAAAGAAAAGTCTTCAGTCTTGATTTAAAAAATCTGAGAGTTTCAGCAGACCTGCAGTTTTCTTGGAGTCAGTTCCAGATATATGGAGCATAAAAACCAAACGCTGCTTCTCCATGTTTAGTTTTGACTCTGGGGACAGAAAGCAGACCTGATCCCAGACAACCTGAGAGCTCTAGATAGTTCATAATGTAGCAGAAGAGCAGAAGATCAGCAAGAGATTATATATATAAATAAATGTAAAAAATATATAATATTTATGTTTACAAGCCTAAATTATTGATCAGATATGAAAGAGAGTTTAACTGGAGAATGTGACTCCTGAAACTGCCAATCAGCCAGAGAGAAGATGTATAGCTTTGTTGTTGGAGTCAACCACTCTGGTTGTACAGCGGTGTTGCAGAGTGGACCTTCTCCTCCACACGTGATCTTTGCCTGAATATAGACACCAGCTGCAGAGAGGTTAAATTGAATTTTTGCCTTTTATCCACTACTCACGGAATTAACATTAGACAGCGCCAGCTGATATTATCTACTGCTGGCTATTAGCCTCAAAAATCCAGTATCAGCAAAGAAGAATATTTTCGCTATAAATCTAAAAACTATTTTAGCACATTTTAGCTCTGACACTGTCTATCAGGAAGTTTCATCACTACACATTTAAGATTTATAAAACGGACAGTTAAGTTTTGGGTAAAACAACATGAATTCTGTGCGTCTGTGTCTTTCTGTCTCTCTCTCTCTACAAATCAATAATACTGATTGATCGAAGTACTTTAACTTTCCTGTTTAATTATTTATCAACTCAGACCATCAATGATTGACAGTAAAAGCATATTGCGTGCAAACAGTACAGGCTTGAGTTGGGTGCGTTTTTAAACTGTATACCGAGTTCTGGAAGAAGGAGAATGGAAAATGTTCTAAATCATAGTGGAAATCAGACTTGCAATGAAATTAGGTTGAATAAAAAAAATTTAAATACTGCAATTCACGTAATAAAGAAAATCGTCACCCGCCTAAATGAACCGGAATAAACTTGAAAGCCACAAACCAACGTTCATTTTAATGTGAATTAACAGAATTACAGCTAAAGAAAGCCCTTTTTTAGGACCTTATATTTCCCCTTTCTTGTGAGTAAATGCTCATACTCTCAGGTAGGAATATTTGAAACTGCACATGAAGCAGAGAACTGACAGAATCTTGTGTATCTCAATTATGTTTTTTAGTGCTTTGACTATGTTTGTGTCTTTATGAATATGTTTACAGTGTAAACAGCAGTTGATAGAAGCTGGAAAGCCATTAAACAATAACTCTATAATGAGCATCATATTTCCTCATCATGTTACAAAACAGATGCAGCGGTTACTGTTGCACTGCATAAAAACATTCCTAAAAACAAATATGGTTCAGTGAAATGTAGTGGGTGACAAAGTCTCTGAGGCAGGTCAAGTTTGGCTGTTTAAGCAAACAACTAAGATATCAAACATGTTCAGTGTTTATTCTAGACGGAGGCCATCTGTTGAGATGTTTGATTAAATCAATTATCCACCCTGTGAAAACACTGATATCTAATCGCTCAAAATGATTTATTATCAATTAAACATAAAAACTGCCCATTGGACTTTTATAGACAGAAGAAACATTCATGTTAGTTTTTTTCTATGCTCCATACTTTAAGAGAAATGCTTGACAGACGTTCAAAGGAAGACTGAAACAGCCATTTAATGGGTTTGGGATTAAAGCAATAGTTACAGATGCAACCTGTTTACAATTGCAACCAAATTGATGGATCATGCTACAAAGCAGCAAAGTTCAGCTGAAGAAGTACAAACTGAACCACAGCAGGTTTGAAAAGATTAGTGCTTTCTGGCAATGCTGCAAAACTGGCATTGTAACAAACTACAAAATTACAGATTATAATCCTGATGTTGACTTTATAGCAGCAAATCTCCTTTATCTGCGTCTTTGATACTGTGAACTCACTGTGATGTTTGTTCCTCGTTTATCTTGTGACTTCTTTTCTCTTTACTGCTCATATTTATAACCCATTCTGTTTATTTCACTACAGACAGTATCTTGTATTAAAATGTGTTTAAAGGGGAACTCGATTTTACACATTAAAGTAAGTTTAGATCAACCTAATTTATTCTGTTTTATATATTAATTCCAGTAGCTATTCTATAGGGTATAGGTTAGCATAATAATACCATCCCAATAATTCCATCATATTTAACTTTCACAGCAACATCTGAAGTGAAATATGTTGTAACATGGCACATTGTGGGGCGTTAACTCAATTAAAAGCCTATGTTTCTTTTCTACAACACAATCCAGAATTTGGTCCAGCCAAACATTGGATTAGAACTTTCTGAGCCATATATTATATCATATTTCAGTCCCATAGAGCCTGTAGTTCTGATACCACACACATGAACTGAAGTTGGAAAATATAAAAAGGTATGGAGAACCTGTTCCAAGTTGAAATCGGTACCAAATGTCCAAGAACCCGAGATTTGATAAGACACATGCATTTTGATTCTGCTTATCAGTTCTTTACTACTCAATCTGCAGTGAGCATTTTACGGTCTATAAAAGTGTCACTTATCTGGCAGGACCTGCTACGCGGACCTAACATCATGTCATTTGTTTCACAGTGCATCAACAAAGCATGAAGAAGAGAGTCCTTCTGTTTACATTCCTGGACGATGGTGGACTGCAGCAAACGCTCCAAAGTTTGGCTTAGCTTCACAAAAAAAAAACTGCAGTAAGGAGATTTCGTGCAAGGGAGGAAGCACCTCCAAAATATAAAATTCATTTCAATAGGCATCACGGAATCTGAAGGAACGCACTGTGGCCCCAGATACAGCTAACGCTAACAGTAGCAATGTCTCACGGTTCCCAGACGGTGACAAATTTGTGGTGCTTTGGATCAGAACCGAGATTCCATAATAACCGGATTCGGTAAGTAGAATCGGAATCAGATTAGATAAAATTGAAAAGATACCAAACCCTAGTTATTCTGTCATTCAAATATTTGCTCAAAGAGCAAACACCACATGAACACACACACACCAATTCCTGGGTACTGGAGTGGGTTTTCAGTGGGGTAGATTCCATAAATTCCTCTCTCTGTTCAGTCCATGTAACCTCTCCTCTCTTTATCTGCATGCTCTCCTTTGTATTTGTCTCATGACCACCATCCCCCCTTTCCACCTACCATTTCCTGTCTCGCTCTGTCTCCATTATGAACCAGCTAATCAGCTCACTGAACAATCTGTGGTGCAGCAATTGCTGTGCCTTCATCTTTGCAGTATGTCAAGTGTTATTGTTTGTCTAATGGGGTAAACAGGGAGGTTGCGGCTACAGTTTCGGTTGAAACCACACGCTAAGTGTTACTGTAAAGCACATAATGTGGAGAATTGAAAGACAGATCGGGAGCATTTCTGAAAGTCTCTTACGTTCCTTGAGACATGTGGAAGATTCCTATTTAACACACCATTTCTTTTTCCCCTCACCTTAGGCCTTTTCCAGGTGACTCTGCCGATTTGGTTCCTCTGGTAGAACAGAGACTGGTCGGTTGTGGGGAACAGAGGGTCTTCAAACAGGCGTCCATTCTGCTGGCACTGCCTCCTCAGTGCAGAGAATGACTGGCCCTCGTACGGGACCACCATCCCCCTGCACAGACAGAAACAAGTAGGTTTACACAGCTTTTGTAAACACAACTGTGTTTATATTATATACCAAAATGCATACACACTATTTCATAAGACAGTTTTGAACAACAGTGAAAAAAGACCAAAAAAAGGATATCATTCACTACTGTGTCTTCAACCATCAACTTACCTAGAAGACGTGAAAAGCAACAAGGTCAAGCAATTTCAACACATTTATGTCCTGTCATCTTTCTTCAAAACAGGAAGCAGAAGCAAAATACACACTTTCAAAAACAACCAACAGTTTTGGACGCATGGATTCAACTAATCAGCAAAAAACTGTAACAAAACCAGTGGAAGCACGATTAGCATTAAAGTTGCCCAAAGTAAAAAGCAGCTTTCATGAAGATGGAGGCGTTTGTGCAGGATGAAGATATTGTAAATATATGACACAAGTTTACTGATTTTATAGACAACAATAAATGTTTGTACTTCAGCTAAGTTAGTCAAATTTACATTACATAATCTATCCCTCCAGTCATGTGACAGGATGACGAACAGAAACTCGGACAGTCTTGTTTGGCCACAGATCTCCAGCAAAGCTAAGCAAACACATGATTAAAGTTGCATTGCTCCGGCGTGTGTGTGTGTGTAGCTTTAAGTGCCTGATCTGGTGATAGAAGTCCTAACAGCAGCTTCCTTTAAAATACAGTGACACAAAAGAAAGAGGAAGCAGTGTCTGTGTTTGCTTGTTTGGGATAGGGACAGGGGAGGCCTGTTGAATTATTTATTTTAAAACAGTGACAGTTTTCTGAAAAACACAAAAAAGATATTTTCCTTTAACCTGGTGTGTCATCTGTCCAGATCGACTCTGTGAGGTCAGGGTATATTAGCTGTTTGTAATGGAGATGGAGCAGAGGTCTTTGGTTTCAGTTACATTCTCTCACAGAAATCTGCAAATCTCATTGTTAACATCATTCAGCTTCATTCTTCAGTATCATTTTTGTAGCATTTATCAATAAAACTATTTGTATGGCATTGGTTAAATGGATTTGTTTTAGAGCTGTAGATCTGGTTTCATTATTTAGTTCACTACTTAGTGCTGCAATGTTCATTAAATAGTCAGTATACAAACGTTACTTTTTAAGATCTATCTATATAAGATTAACAGCAAATAAAAAAAAGAGTATATCTTTAATTAGAGCATTAGCATATGTTATCAAATTCATGATTAACATGACTGTTTTGGAGGCATTTTTAGACTTAAACAAGAGTTTAACCATCAGTACCTGAAAATGATCATTAAATCACTTCCCTGGTTTGCTGACTTATACACATCTAAACAAAAGCCCCCTTCAGAAATGCCCCTTTTACGCAAGTCACAATCTTACTGGGTTGGATCTAGTATATTAAGTGTAACAGAAATATTACTCTGTAAACATTTCTGTTACACTTTCAAACATGGCACAAGTTCGACTTCAATGCCGTTAGATTAATATTTGATACAAGGCTGCAGCATCAGGCTAACATGAACAGAAATAACGCTCGTCTTATTAGCGTGATTAAGATCACTGTGATTATTTTTTCACATCTCCAGTGCTCAAAGAAAAAAAGACCTGTTTAACATCAACATCATGAATTTTACTTTGTCAGGAGGATTGAAGAGTTGTTAAAAGTATTTTACAGCTCAGTGCTTCTGAAATAAATTGCTAATCCCAGCTTCAAAGAGGTCATATTATACTTTTTGTCTTTATTGAGTTTTATATCTTTTTTGTGCATGTAATTGGTTTGCAAAGTGAAAAAGCCCAAAGTCCACCCCAAAGGGAGTTCCCATCTCCACAGAAAACACTGCTCTGAACTGCCAGCTAGTTTGTAGTCCAGCCTTTTCCTCCGCTTTGCTGTGATGTCACAGCAAAATGCGCATCATAATGCTCGCCTAGCGCCCTCAAAAACACAGGTGGAAAAACACTCTGTGCTGCAGCACACAGTGACAAGACGTCCACACGCTGCTTCTCCTTTCCCTTCCAAACACTAGCTACCCTCTAGGCAGTCGATGGACATAAAGTTGTTACTGTGATGAACAAATACAGCTGAACCAAAGCCGTGTTTACCAGCTTCTCACGACCCGCCCTTCTCTGCTTCTGATTGGCAACTGCACATGTGCAACTCCCAACAAAGATCTTGCAGAAGTGAGATGCATCACTCTATAGCTAAAACGAAGTGTTCACACAGGGTGAAAAGAGGAGCTGCAGCAATGTGCAGTATGACAAAAATATGCTGTTTTTTGAAAATGAAACCACGTAAGACCTGTTCTGGTACAACCCCTAAATAAGATTTTGAACCTGAAAATCAGCATAATATGAACTCTTTAAGGCTTCAACTGCAAAACAATTTTTGAAATCCCTCACTAACTATCATTAAACTTTCCAACTCACTGCTGTTTTCCAACAGTGATACTGTTTGCAGAGCACTTGGCTCTCATGTCGGAATCAAGCTGTAAAAAACATTTACAGAAAACACACCAACATCTGACTGACAAAGAGCAAACACTCATCAGAGCTTGATGAATGTTTTGTATTCTATGTGTAAAAACTTACAACTGACTAACTGAAGTTACCTCTCCACAAATACTACCTGAAGTTCACTTTTTATACTTTAAAAGTACATTTAGCGGATCAATAATGTTTTGAATGCAGGACTTTTTCTTGCAGTATTTCCACAGTATGGTTTTAGTAATCTGGATACTTCCTCCACCACTGGCAGCCAGGATGCTGGTTCCCATAGGGACTGTTTATTGGACACATCAGGCCAGTCAGTAATTATATTAGTGTCAATTAAAGGCAGCAGATACTGAACAGAGCAGACAAAAGAGTGTGTGTGTGTGTGTGTGTGTGTGTGTGTGTGTGTGTGTGTATAAAGAGTCACGGTGTATAACAGCTGTTTCTGAAATAGGGCTGGGCGATAGGGCCAAAAATGTTCACGATAAAACCTTTTGTATCAGTCGATATCGATAATTATCATGATAAATGTCAAATAATTTTTTTCTTTCAAGTTTGAAAGCTGATTTTTGCCCCTGATTGAAAGAAACCAGATGGTTAATTGTGGTTTTAAACTTTTCTTTATGGTCACAACAAACACTTGATGCCAAATATGGGATCACTTAACAAATCTCAGGTAGGACGTTCAAAAAACAAATATGCATGTGCAAAATTAAGTCCCTTTTCCTCAACAATATAAATATTTTAATAGGAAATTGAGTGCTAATTCGTTTATGATTCCAATGAATTAAATCAAACATTTTCTGAACATTTGTTATATTGCTATTGAGGAAAGTTATATCGCAATAATTATCATTTCTGTTTCATTGCCCAGTCCTATTCTGAAAGGGAGATCAAGTTTATTAAATTCAGCGACAACAATTTGTCTGATGACTCTGGTATTTTATCTAGTAGAATTTCAAAGTCTACAGGCTTTTAAAATATGATTTTATCCAGAAGCTCAACTGATTTTACCTCTAGCAATCTGAACTGATGGCCCATCCTTCTGAGGTACAGTATTTTTGAAATGAGTATTTTATTTATTATGGGCATTAATGCTGAAAATAGCTTAGATAATCCTACACCTAACAGTATGCTCACAAGTTCACCCATGCACAGCTCCAGGATTTCTATTTTGGATGGGCCATTTAATGATGGGTTTCCAACTGGTAGTCTCTAAAACACAAGTGACTGATTTCATGCTGTGGAAGGCGACTAACAAACACCTTTGATTCATTTTATGTGTGAAAATACTGTTTCTTGATGTTAAAAAAAACAGACAAGTTAATTAAGATGAACATTTAAATATCCCCAGTGTTATCTACAGACACCAATGTTTGATTATGACGCAAGGACTGAGGAAAATCGGCCAAACATGATGGGTGTGGTTTCATGTGGGCACCAGTAAACATGCCACCGCAGATATGTGACAACAGCTCACTGCAGATGATTAAATGTGGGCATTTTAGATGATGTGTGACGTGAACAGCATGAAAATATTTAATGCAGCTTTGCACTTTGCTAAAACTATATAACTAACATATAACTTTTAGACGTATTCTGTATATGAACTTCAAGCCTTTTCAGTTGTGTGAAGCAACCCAGAGTACGTCAACAATCACACCGGAAATTGATCAAATATTTGTCTCCAAAATTAAAATGCAACGGATAATAAATACTGTCGGAAGCGAAACCCGCCCATGTGAAACAATTAACTTCCCACAGGGTCTTCTAATCAATCTTTTGTGATAGAATGTAATTATTATTGCTTTTTGCAGTGTATTGTCGATCCACCAAACTCCTACTAAATATCAATTCAGTTAAATTGTGTGCGATAACAAGTCAGATGAGACATGAAAGCTTGTTCAGGGGCGGCCAGCAGTGAAGGATTGATCCAGTTTCTTCCCCATGTACCATCAAAAACAATTAAAATCTTACCAACCCTCCGACATAACTTTTTATTTTACTTTGTTGTTGCGGAAGTGTAATTGTTTAGGCGCGCGAACTTGATTTCTGGCGATTTGTTTTCAAACATTTTTCATCCTTTTCGTGAAGACGAGGAAAACGAAACCGTGAACATATGAATCACATCAGCGTCAAAATAAATGTGTTAAAAACTTATTCCATAAATTATATTTAATTGTTCTGAGCTAGAAAACAGACCCAACGGCTGGCAGATGGAAGATTTGAGATGGAAAGATATTTCAGCGCTAAGTTAGCTTTAACTAATTAGACTTTACCTGGAAATATGTTTAGTTGAATGTCAGCTCCGTTGGCGGCTCCCTCTCTCTCTTCTTCCAGGGGGATTTCGGTGTTTTTTGCTCCCTCCTCGTGTTGTCAAGTCGGTGATGTACGGAGCTTTTCAGCTGCAGTTTAGGTAGTTTACAACACTCAAAGTAAAACCAGACACACAGGAGGAGCTCAAACCGTCCGACCCGTTTTCGTTCATCTGAAGGCTCGAGCGAGATTCGCTGATGCCTTCAAGTGCGGCACGGACAAATTCCAATAATCGAGTTACGCGCACTTGCGTAAAATAATCAATACTGTGTACAATTAATACACCGTGCAATTTCCAAGCAATTTCCATGATAACAGAAGCATTTTTTGATCATTTTATCCAGAATGAGATCTTAACCATGGCGTTTCCTACAGCATCACAACGGTTCAGAGTGCATTGTTAGGGTTTTTCATGTCCACTTTTAAATTAAAATAATTGTGGTTGAAAATAGACATAAACATCTGTAAAGCATTAATCGAAGGGACAGCACATATTCGATCATGTTCGAAAAAGTACACTCCGAAGAAACAAACAAGATTTATACAGCACAGAAGGATTTAACTGTAGAAAAAAGTAACATCTTTAACATTTTATGATGTTGGAAGGACTTGATTTCTGTTGTTTTTTACACATCACTGACCTCTCGTGGGTGCTCTAGTAATTACAGGGATAACTAATTTGGGTGTGACTGCTTTTTGATGCTCAAAGCAGAGAAATGCCTGTCTATATTACAAGAACATATAGTAAGTGTTCATATTTCAACCTTCTGCCTATATCAGCAGCATGAAATTATTATAAAACATACACATAACAACCAAAAGACCAATGAGTCCTTGCCACTACAAAAACGTATTCACAAATAATTTATGCAAATCCTGCACAAAGGTAGAACAAGTAAGAGCACAAATTAGAAGTTAAGACATCAGCTACAAGCAGGCTACTGGGGCCCTGCATTCATTATGTAGTAATTAGCTTTTGGGGTAATTTGACTTATTACTAGATTGTTTGGTAATGTGAGTGACTAAATCACAAAACTGAGATGATAAGACCCTTAAGTACGCTCAAATTCTAGTTTTAACAAATTAATACCTTTTTTATTCCTAAATAAATTTGTATTTATTGTAAAGGATAAAACGTTCTGCCCAGGGACTTGATTTATTCGGTTCATTTTCATTGTGCCAACATGTTTTGGGGAAGTGAAGTCTGCATGTGCCAGATATATTCAAGAGGGAGTCCGTATTTACAAAATTAACCCCAGAAATATGCAAATGAACCTAAAAATAAATATGCTTACATGAATATCCGGCACATAGCCTTCATCATCTTTATACAGTATAAACACATCTAAACTTGTACTTATGAAGAAAGAGTAAATGAGGATTTAAAGTTCCCGCCACTTGGGGTTTTTCTGACATGAAAACAGTTGAACATGCTAGATGGATCAGGGGCAAATAGCAGGTTAAACTGGCTCAGACAAAATCCACATCAGCAATAAGCAAATAACTTGGTGAAGTGAAGAAATGATCCCCACCATTTCAGCTGAGAGTAAATCCTCTGGGAGGAAGTTTTAACTTCCAGTTTGAAACTCAACAAGCTTGTCAGAGCCTTCATCTCACATTCATTCAGTAATGTCCGCCCTCCACAGGCTTTACTGTTCACAGGGTTTTCAGTTTGGAAGCTGCTGCTGTACAGAAAGCAGGTGGCTTTATAAAACAACAACACAGTCTCTGTGATGCTGTTAATCTTTAACATCATCAGAGGAGAAGATCTCCACAGTGTCATGTGAGAAACTACACTTTACACTTTGCCAGAGGAGACTGCAACACCAAGACGTTCACCAGTGTGTGTTCGTAACCAAAAAGGAAAACACGGCTGCATTAAGAAGAAATTATACAAGTTGTCATAGGTAAAATATCACTGACTCATTCTTTACATGCAGAGGACTGAGGGTCACATATAAAGGATGCAGCTAAGTATCTCTCATATTTCATCTGTTACATTACCTCAGATCACACATTAAATTGCAAGCTGTACTGTTACCGCTTAAGGTTTTGTTTTTGTTCCATGAGCTGCACTGTGAACAGATTCACAAACTAACTTAAACAACATTACATTGACAACAAAATAAAGAGATCTTTACTGAAAGGCAAATACTTTACAGATCTGTGAGATACTTTGACAGCATCATACGATCACTTACGGTCTACTGTTACTACACTTAAAGCTGCATTAATTGATTTTTTGGCCACTTGAGGGCAGCTTAACAAGCCGAAATTGCAACATATTAAGGCCTCATGAAAATGTTTTGGCGGACATTTTAGCAAACAACTGTCTATTTACTCATCCAACAACTACGGAGCAAAATGATCAATGAATGTAGGTCCAACAGTCACTCTCCTTTTGTTACTGTTTGATCTCCAGTCACTCTCGTTTTGTTACTGTTTGATCTCCAATGAGAAGAATATCTGTCTCTTTAGCTTCTAGATGCTCCACTTTCTTTACCGGCTACTCTGTAACTCTGTGTGCTGTTTAGAGGAGGTAGTTTCTTTTATTCTGTTACTTGCAGACCTGATGTGAATTCAGCTGTCACAGTCTCACAGTCATTTACTGCACTTAATCATAAAAACACATCCGACTCTTATTTCCTGTGCAGGTCCAAAATGTTAACCAGGTGGTTAACTTTCACAGCTTTTCTGGCTGGCTCAGCGAATCCAGCGAGAGCAGCGATTGGCCAGGGTACACTGACTGTCGCACCAACCTGCAGGGTCAAAGGTCATCCAGAGGTAGAGCTGGTTTTAAACTGTGGAGATGGAAAGAACGCAGGTGAGTAAAGAGGATCAACACAAACAAAGAAGACAGTACAGAGAGAGTCCTGCCTCCACAACTGAAGAATTCAATTAACTTTATTTCACCCAAATAATCCACTCAGTGTCAGGACTGCTTCACAAGGAGTCCTGGGAGAGCTGTCCTCCACTCCAGTGTATGTTTTTCAAATTCATGATAGATTTTGAAGAATGTTTTCTTACTTAGGAAGGGAAACCAACAACATGCCTATTAACATGTTACTAAAGATCAGCATATATGAGCAAAACAATAATTATAACCATCAAGAGGCAGAAACAAATGAGTTGGTTATTGTTGCATTTACATCTTCTCTTTGGAAGGCAATCCATATTTTTCTTATTGTCATCAAATCACTCACTTATTTACCAACTACTCCCAATATAATAAATACTCAATAGTTTAATCAGTAGTGAGCAGCAAACTGAGATAGTACACTTGTGAGTCACCAGCATTTTATGTCAACATACATGCACCTACAATGGACTCTGCTTGTTTTTTTTACTCAATTGTGAACATTTGTGAGGCCAGAGCATATATTATCACATTAATATAGTCCACTACGTTGTCAATACAAGTGATTTCAGACACAGAGCAAAACCAACAATGCATTAGTCTGTCTCTCAATACTTCCTTACCCTGTCTAATACACACAATACTTGTTAGTAGGATGAACTTTTGATTGTTTGGGTAAAATATAGAATATCACCAGACTGAGTCCCACATCATCAGCATATACCTAAAGCTTTGTTACTCTCATTTCTAGGTGTGGTCCAGTTCTGGCACACCCCCTTTGGAGAACTCAAACCCCCTGGTTTTCACAGTAAACTGGATCCTGTCTTTATGCACCATGACGGAAGCCTGGTGGTCCCAAACACCAGCATCCTTCACAGCGGTCTGTACTACTGCCTCCTGCAGCACACAGAAGGAACCACAATGTGGCCGTACGAGCTCCATGTTGGTCATAACAGTCAAAAGGACCATGAACACAGCAAATATGTGCAACACAGCATCTGTGGTGCGTTCAGGAACAGGAGGGATGGTGGGTCAGAAACAGATGTTTCAGATGGGCAGTTTGCAGGAGCTGTGGCGACATCAGTGCTGCTGACATTTGTGCTGGGCTTCAGCGCTGGAGCACTCAGCAGGACTCATGTTCTCAGGTGCGTTCAGGTTCACGGTCATTGATTACATAACTTAAAACATGTTTTAAGAGTCTGCTAAGTGATTTTCAAGACCAATGGATGCCTAAAACAGAAGAATATACACTTAAAGTCACAGAAGCATAGGAAAATATGTGAGCTGTGGTCTGAGATACACATTTTGTAATAAATGGGCTGAAAGAAGTCGTTCTAAACATTCTAAATTATGATATGTTAGTGTTGTGAATATGGTATTCTTGATTTAAACTTGATTTCAGCCTAAACAAGACAGCGTGCACACCGGCAGCTCAAAATGCCAGTAAGAGAAAACTGTTTTGCAAGCAGGTTTGCTGTTTACCAACCCTGCCAATCTCTAGGGTTGCACACAAAAAAAGTAAATAACCCAAAACAAGAGCAGTTATCAGAGAAGACAATCTGATTTAAATCTGTAGTATCTCAGTTAGTTGGAATGTCACTTTCTTCTCTGTAACAGCCATTATTTATGATTTAGACTTCAGACTTGGCTTTAGTTAGTTTAGCTTTGAACATTATTTGTGAAGTCTTCTTTTTCACTGCCAATAAAAACCATCTAAAAAACTATGAGAGAGTCAATTGTCAAAATCAAAATTGTAAAGCAGAGATTAATATAAGAAGATAGTGTGCAAGTTATATTTACAAACTCCCACTGCACCATTTCTTCTTAGGTGTTTAGGGGCTGTCACAACGAGGTTGCGATCACTACAGCAACGATACCAAACTGACAGACCAAACCATGGCCCTGAGGTGAACACAGTAACCCTGCCGCCAATGTACGACAACCAGGCCTTTCAGATGGAACAAACTGCGAATTGTGCAAGCATGGAGACAACGATTTCGTCGACAACCTCATTCCCACCTGCCAAACCTCAGAGAGGCTTTCAGAACAAACGAGAGGAGGAAACCACTGCCTATCTGGAGGGATGTGATTACATGAAAGAGGAGAGAGGGATTGAGGAGGAAGAGCCAGGAAGAAGTCTGGAGGAAAAGAATAAAGGGCGTGCTGGACAGGCAGAGGAGGAAAGCGAGTTCAGTGGTTTCTATTTATTAGGAGAAGATGGAGGGAGTCAAACTGAAATAAATGAGGATGAGTGCAATAAGGACAGAGATGAGAAAGATGGAAGAGACAGCAGTGAGGAAAAGAAGGTGTGGAGACGGGAGGAAGGGGTTGAG